GTAAAGTGAGAAAAACCACATAAAAGTGGTCGAATTTTCAAACGACCATAACTCCTACAATAGCAAATATATTTCAATGAAACTTTTTTCTGAAGTAGAGCTCATGGATACCTACAAAAAAGTATTAGACAACTTTTCTATAGGGCGTCAAACAAAATTACTAAAAATTGAAAACGAATTTATAAGAAAAATCGACAAGGGGTGCCTAAATTTTTCGGCGAAAAAAAAAATTTCAAATCGTTCTGGAAAAATTATTTTCGTTTGCACGGGTCAATTACAATCGTTTCTGGTGAGTAGACATACCCCCGAAATCCTACGCTTTATCGAGAAAAAAATTCATTACTGAAAATATAATGTGTGGCCAGAAATGTTGCGAAGATATTTTCCTGTTTCCGATAAAGGAACGGGCGTGCTTGTCGACCAACGGTAATTCATAAAGTGAAGACAATTTCTAGTTGCTAAATAGTATCTATAACACGTTAATTGCCAAGCCAGTTTTCCATGTCCAAAAATACCTTCAACGTTTGTTCAATTTTAGCAAAACGTTTGCTTCTAATCTATTATATATACATTTTAGCTACATTTTTTATCTATTATATATAGTAACTGATTATTGTATCACTAAATACGAAATCAAAAGAATATTACAGATCAGCAATGATATAAATTCAGTTATAAAACTGGAAACTTCGATTAGTACAAATAAATATCATTGTAATTAATTTTATCTTATGCGCGTCGATATTTTTCTCTGTCTAACAATGGAAACATATACCTTACAGCACAGCATCCCGGAGCGTGACTACAATTCGCTCGAGTGTATCTCTTTTCAAGAAATTCCTCACGGACGTCCTCCGACTGTTCATCCCCGCGTTATTACCGGATCTCCATTACCCAACTCTTCGAGATTCCCATCAAAATTCACTGTGGAATCGTCTACACCATCGTCCAAGATTTCGTTTTTGCCGCAGGGAATCCCGGTTACGAAAAAAAGTCTCAATTTCTGGACGAAAGAAAAGAAGTCCAGGAACCTTTCTCCTTTCAATTCGTATTCTTATTTCAAATTGTCCTTCTCCTTCTCCCCTGTCTCTCCTTCTTATTCCTACATTTTTCCTCGATCTATGTCACCCTGTTTTCTCTCCGGTCTGTATGCTTACGCGTTCAACTCCCTTTTCATCTTACCAGCCGCCGCTGTCCCTTTCTCTACTTTCCTTTTACGATTGTCGAGACGATGACGCGAGACGTGATAAAGAAGCCCAGGACGCGCACGAAAGAAAATGACGTGGTCGGTATAATGGAAAGCTGCCGATGCCCTCGAGGGTGTGTACGCGGCTTACACAGAGGGTTTGCAAAGGTGGATTATCTTCAGCCGGATAAATGATGGAGATAGACCGAGCAGCTTGCATTTCATAGTAAAAGAAATACCATAAGAACACCACCGAATACCGACAAACATTCTAAGAAATTTATGCATTCCTGCTTCTACAAAATTAATCAATTTTATTCAACGTCTGCCACGCGAGGGATACTATTGTAATATTTAATCTCAATTTGATTACCTTCGACAAAGAACGAGAAACGATAACTAATCTAATTTATATATTCAACATCAGATTCGGGCATATTTTATTCAGATAACATCTCAAATAAATTCTTCGATACGTTTCCAATCCAATAATTTTATTTTATAAATCCAATTACCGTGGAAAATATTTATTTATTTATACATTTATTATACGGTTAAAAACCCATTAGTGTGCAAGAGAAAATATAATATTTTTAAATATTATAAAATATTTTAAATGGCAAATAATATGTTGAATAGTTGTCAGCTTATATACGCGAGAAATATTATCGATATCCATAAATACCAAGATAAAATCAGCTCTCTTGTTCACCCCATATCTGTGAGTGACTTTTCGTCATAGTAAATATTTTCAAATTCGAACCTTCTCCACGTACGCAAACATTGCATCCTACCAGCAAAACGCTGTGTCATCCGTGCTCTATGAACCCTACGTCATCCTAGCCTTCGTGTCCTACGAAACATCCTAAATCTCGACCTATCCTATCATCCCCACTCAACTTTCGAGATCCTTGAAAAATCGGTGCATTTCTTCGGTTCCCTTATTTTTCGCTCAAACCTTAATCAGTGTGCATTGTGCAATGAACTGTGAATGCGTTCCAAGAAGTAAAATTGTTAAATCTATGCAAGTGTTTTGTTTTGCCTAATAAGAAATCACCGTCTCTCAACATCCAATGATCGTGTAAGCTTGTTTTATTTTCTTGTAATATTTGATTTCTATCTTGCTTCCTGCGATTTTATATATATTTTTTTCTGAACTACCGGTTGACTTCGAAACGATTTTTAAAATTTCCGATCAACCGTATATTCTAATATATTTACATTTGCATTGACTCTTTTTGGATCGTGTGTTTCGAGTTCGTAATAAGGTGTTTGCAATTTGAAATTATCTTTATTTCTTTTTTGTAATGAATCGTTAGAAACATGAATTTCATTCAGATATTTGCTAAAATTTATTGTAATTACTTATTATTATTACTATTATTACAATAGATATCAAATTCTAAGTCATATTTTGTTGTTTAGAAGCAGAAGATTGAGAAAACTTTTTAATCGCAAATAGTCTATTACAAAGTTTTCTTTTTTAAGATTTTAGAACGTTCAAACTTCAGTCTGCTCGAAACGTTTTAATTTGTTCTTAGAATAGACTGTTTTATCTCGGTTTGAAGCTCACGTGTATCGCCTGATGAGGTTAGCGAACGAGAGGCCTAATCTTCATAAACGATGTCGCGCGCTAATTGCTATGACAACCACTAAAACAAACAAAAAATTTGTATGTTCACGATTAAATAGGGATCAAACGGAATCGTATTCTGATTATTTCTAGTTACACGTTCCTAGAATCTTTTCTGAGAAGCCTTAAGCTAGATATGGTTAAAAATAATTAAACAAAGTCGCGTTAAAACTTATTAAACTTCTATTAGATATGATATTCTCCTAAATATATATATATAAAAATCTAGTTATTTTACTTTTTATTACTGGAGGAATTGAATACGTAACTCCATATTTATCGAAATATACAGCGTGTTTCAAAACAACGAGACAATCCGAAACATACAAGTTCCTTGTACGAAAAGAAATCGAAAAATCCTTTAAATGAACATAAATATCGTGAAGGGATTATTCAGTACGTTCTATCGAGGGACAAGCGCGACGTTTTAACGAGGAAGTACCGTATTTGACATAATTATTTTAAATAAAAAAATCACAAGGTTACCATTTACTATTTTGTATAAAATGATTACTATCGATCATCTAAATCTCCGGATTCATCTTCAATACCACTCTAAACTTCTTTACAAAGTTTGAAGTATCATAACACAAAATAAAAAATAATTTCCTATCTGGAAAAAGAAGTAAATACAGAAAATCGTGCACCTTGGTTCAAAACATTTTTTAACGCTGGGAATATTTTACGAATGACATAATTTACGATCCTGTACGATAGAAATACACATTTTTAAACCTGAAATTTGAAACAGAGTGTATAAAAAATAAATGGAAGCTGTTTAATCTGACGTCTGGGAGCAAATCAAAAAGATAATATTTGAAGAAATGTCGAAATTTGTGTGACACCTATAAACGAACTTGGCATTCATACATTACGATTACAACACTGTTTTACCGTCTATCATTTAATTCTGCGGTTACGTAATATTAGGCGTGTACCAAAACTCACACTGCGCACACTGAAACCGTATATAAATGTTCCGCTGCTTCTAAAAACACTTGTCACGTTATCGTACGAAGCTTCTATATTTTCAACCAAAGAAGACAAATTTTGTTCTACGATCGACACATTACTAAATTACAACTATTACGCATAACAGATACATTATGGATATTCCCTTTCAGCTTAGTTGAATTTGAATTATGATAATAAGTGGTACAGTAGCAACTTGAAACGAATCTTATTTTACCAACGCTCCATTCAAGCTTGAACGCGTGAATGTATTTTCAAAATAGTCCATCGTGTGCTTACAGAAGAGCTTATGTTTGCTCTTGTAATTACGAAAGAATAATAAACGTAAGATAAGAATTTGAAAGGTAAAGAAAAAGTAGAGAAGTGGTGTGGGGTAAGGCAATATAATTTGGTCACGTGTATGTAAAAATGATGGTCCAAGATTAAAATGTATCACAGAATTGCCTTCAGGTAGTATGTACGCTTTTTCGCTTATTTTTTGGAAACTGAAATACCTTTTCGAAATAGAATAGAACGAAAAGTTTGATACTAAGAAGCTTGTACGAAGTGTGACAAAAAAAAAGTGCAATTTTTAATTACTTAAAGAAATTTGTAATTATTTTTGCTATAATATTGCTATTTTCGTAATAATACGCTTGTGCCAACGTTTCTTTCAGGTTTCAAAACGTTTCTGGAATTCACTTTGTGGTATGGTATTTATCGGAGTCCGCCATTGTGAGATTTAGCATTTTTTATCTTTTAAAAATAGTATTAGAGTATTATTATTTATTCTAAACCTTCTTCAGGAATAGCTGTCAAAAATATTTGTTGTATTTATCAATTTTAAGTATTTATGATACAATGTTATTGGTGAAATACTGAATTGATACAAATATACATAATTCCACCCTTGTAGGGATAAAATGTTTTCCCCAATTATTCTTTCTGCAAATGTATTGATAAACATAAACTGGCAAAAACTTCGCAGCTGCTCCTTATCAAGACTCAACTAAGCGCCACCGAGAATAATTTTATTTAACGATACGTAAGAAGAAGCGAATCTGTCAACGATGGATACTCGTTTCTCGTACATCTAAGCCTATGTGTCGTTATAAATTTAACGATAAGTAAGTTTCACATCTGATTTACGTATTCTGATATCAAGCTGTTATCTGATATAATCATCAAGTAGAGTTGCAGATCGCGTTTACTTGATTTAGTTCAGTTGCAGATAGATACTCGTTGTAAAGTAAGAAGCTGTGCTTGAGCTGTACGGGAGCCCAAAAATTTTTGAAATGGGCACGGACGTAGAAAAAGTCAAATACGCATCGCCGGACGGCTCAAAAACGTGGGAGTATTTGACTATTTTCACATGTAATTATAATATTATCTTACCAAACAAATATTTTTCACGTCGAACGATATGAAACAAAGCTGGATTGTGATATTTAAAAATGTGTAATTACATTTAAGAAGGTATTCTACTGTATTAATCATTCTACCGCAAACCTTTGGAAAAATCGATCTTCTTGTTACATTTTGTTAAAAAATATGATTTGAAAAATATATGTGCTAAATCCAATTGTCCAAACTCCTCGTGTCTTTCATAGTTTTTTAGTGTATGATAATAATAAAAAACTTTTTATGATACTACATTATAGCCTGTACTAAAATCGATCGAATGTCTCGTTCCTACTAGACTTTTAAAATTCTAAAAAGCATTCGAAAATTAATAATTACGCTTTAAAGTGTTACTCATTTTGTTTCTCATCGTTTGACCACAGTGATCGATAAATTTACCGCGATTAATCTTATTCGTTTAGGTTCCCTGATGGCAAGTTCCATGGGCTTCATCATAGGATGGAATTCACCAAGCATCGTAATACTAATGGATAAAGAATCACCCATTCCAGTCACAGCATCGAGTGTTTCAACTTTAGTAGCTACTGTATCTATTGGTAACACGGTGGCACCGCTAATTAACATTTTCGTGGCTGACAAGATTGGCAGGAAGAACACTGTGCTGCTCAGTGCTTTACCGCTTTTAGTCAGCTGGAGTTTAATTACAATTGCCACGTCTATTTGGGTAAGACACATTTATACACATACGCACATCCTTAACTTCTTTAAACTTCTTGGACACCCGTTGTACATAGGAAGTACAATAGAAACAGATTCGAGACATAAAAATAAGAAAAAGAATTCGTATAAACATATATCAGACATGATCTTACTTACTTAACAGCACAACTTGACATTGGTCCATCATTTTTCCTATTTAAGAGTCATGAGATCAAGCGAATTTATAAACAATAACATCTTGGAGTAGAAAGTACATGTACTACTATCGATTATGTAAGACACTTGAAGCAAGCTTATTTAACATATTTGGAAAACCAGTTTGTTTGAGATAAATAAAAAGTTAACCGAAAAAATTGAAACAAATGAAATTAATGATTCTGAAATAATCAGAAGCAAAGATAACTATATTGATACTAAAAATCTGATTTGACTATTAATAAATGTACATTAAAAGTTCAATAGAAGGATCGAGAATTAATTTGTAGAGCTTATCAGTACCGGAAAGTTCGATTTCGATGATGAGTCCCCCATTCTAAATAATTACAATTACTCTATAAACTACTAATCCGAGAGTTAAAATAATTTTACTTAATTTCCCTGTTGCCGGGCACAATGATCGATAACCACCTTCTGTTGCAGGAACTGTACGTGGCAAGATTTCTGGCTGGAATTGCGATGGGCCTGTTTATTTGCGTTGTACCGATCTACATAGGCGAAGTATCGTCAACGGATACACGGGGTGCCGCGAACTCTCTGCTAGGCGTCACATACAATATGGGTATCCTCGTAACGTTCATAGCTGCGCCGCAGTTCACGTTATCCTTTATGGCCGGGATTCTCTTGGTCGCCAGCATCGGTTTCGTCATCTCCTTTTGGTTTATGCCGGAATCGCCGTATTTCTTGGTGATGAAGAACAGAATGGATCAGGCGGAAGAAGTGCTGGAAAAGCTGCGCGGCAAAACCAACGTTTCCGACGAGATGCAAACGATCGTCACCACCCTATCGAAGAAGGGGGAGGAAGTAGTGAGGAGCGGTACCCTGAAAGATATTTTCACATCCCGTGGAAACTTTCGTGCTTTCGTCATCATCATGCTGTTCACCGTGACGCATAATTTCGGTGGTTTCTTCCCGATTATTATATACGGTCAATTAATATTCAAGTCGGCCAGCAACCTGATGACCGATTACACGATGAACGTTATCATCGGCGTGACGCAAGTGGTCTCCTCGCTTGTAACGATTTTCCTGGTGGACAAACTTGGCCGGAAGCCGCTGGTAATCGTATCCGGCGGGATCGCTGCCATATGCAATCTCGTGATAGGTGTATTCTTTTACGCGAAGGAATACATGAATCTGAACGTGGAAACGTTCTCGTTGGCGCCGTTCATAGCTGCCATACTGTTGGTCTTCACTTTCACTTGCGGTCTGGTCTGTCTACAGATCATCCTGATGTCGGAGATCTTCGCCACGGAGATCAAGGCGATCGCCACGTGTCTCGTGGGCGTGCTTAGCGGTGTCCTGGCCACCGTTGGCTGTAAACTTTACATATGGGTCGCCATAAGTTTGGGTTATGGTCATTCGCTTCCGTTCTTGGCGTATTTTGTTGTTGTGGCAGTCTGCACGGTGGTAATCTACTATATTACACCCGAAACGAAAGGCAAAACGTTTATAGAAATTCAAAGGAAACTAAATAAGGGTTGATTAGCGTAGCTTCTTTTGAATTTGACATCGCGCGTGCGTGCAGAGAGTATTCTGTATGCTCTGCTGAGAAAACAAATCGTCGTTGTTCACAAATATAATTGTATACAGTAATTTCTCGTCTCAAAATAGAATGTTATTAAGGTTCATTAAGAGAGCGAATTATTTTTAATTATTATATATACGTTTGAGAGTTTTTTAGAAACGATTTAGGTGAATCGATCTTGAAACGAGGAATTATCGTGAATGGAAGGCTGACAGCATTTTGTATAAAATTAAGTGCTTGAAAAATGAATGTTCTCATCGGTAATAACAGTCTAAATTGCGAGCGAAAATAATGCCGTGAAAGGCATATGATGTTCAAAAAAAAAATAGCGATAATGGTTTGGCGATTACTTTTATAGCACAAATTATAAACTATTTAATTCCGTAATTTAAGGCTCGTATATTCCGTAAATTTTTTGTTATAAATGACGTATGAATGTATGAAAATTCTTGTTCGAAATGTCTCGTCTTGTCGATGCAGCTTAAAAGGACCTGAGTTTTCGTTTTAAGTTAAGAGAGAAGAATTTGTAAACTTTGTACAAAAATTCCGATGTAATGTAAATAAAGAATACTATTGTATGAAATTGTTTAACGAGTTTAACTTGAATATCAGTATATCCTAAAATTTGTTCTCAAACAATTGATTTTATTATTATAATCGACTTCAACCGAATTTAAAGAAAAATATTTCCGTCGTTCTCTGAGATTGTGGTTAATTTAACTTTAAAAAAGTTTCACTTTTCATTTTTCTATACGCGAGTAAAAAATTATCGCCCAACGCAAAAATCGAGATATTAAACTGACAATGTAATCGTTACCTTTTTGTATATTTCAAATGTTACACGTTTCATAGTTACTTATGTTTTAACATTGGTCGTCGCATTCGACAATATAAGGAGGAGCACATTCGCTATGTTTGACACCGAAAGAGAATATGGGGGTTGCTTTGGGAGGTTTGACAAGATACTTTGGACCTGGACTGCGACAAATTGCTTTTTCAGCTCTTCTATCAGTTATGCTATAAATTGGTGCCCTTGGTGTGACCAAATGTATACTGTAAGGACGAGGACCTGGCACGGGATCACATTTTAGAGCGGGTATACGATGCCCCCTAAAATGCACATATTAAACTCTTATTAAATAATTAAAATCATTTTTTAAGATTGCTTATAGAGGAATGATCCTTTATAAATACAAATGGGAATATTCTAGACTCTAGTATATTAGCCCTTTACACTTGACTGGTTCCTTTAAGAGTCAATAATGAGTATTATTAAATAAAAGGACATTTTTTTATATTTTAAATATACCTTCTTGTACCTTAATAAAGTTTGCTTGTACCAATATTTTTCGAGTACAAAATTCATGAAAATTACTAGAACTGTTAGATTATAATACGACAAAGGAAGTTGTGGAAATGTGGCCATCTTCTAACAAATAGTGACGTATTAGATATAGAAATTAATAAAACCACAAATAACTATAATAACGCGACTAGATAAACACGTTATGTGCAATGAAAAAAAATAATGCGTACATAGAAAATGCTGGGCTCTCATTAGGTAGCGGTACATAATAAGGCCCAGGTGTGGCGCAACCGCCTCTGTGTTTAGTTCTGGATTTGATTGAGAATGCTGGGGCTTTCGGAACTGGTAAAATATATTTCGGGCCAGGTCCACAGGAGGTATCTACGAAACAAAAATTGTAGTTGGAAAAACTGGAGATTAGCTAACTTTTAAATATTGATCATTAAGATAAAAATATTAGAAGAAATAGTTTTGTGTAACTAATAATACTATTGTACAAATAATAAGTAAAAACAAAATGGGGCGTACCAAAAGTTTTTCCAACTAATCCAAACGAGAAACCTTCACGTTTAGGTTCCTTTATCAAATACTTTGGTCCTGGTCCTAAACATTCTTGTAAAGTAAGAAGTCTTGTACCGAATGTATACGCTGGATTCCGATATCTAGAAATACAATGTTCTTGAAAACCCACGAGTGTCTTGAGCCTATATTTTGGACCAGGACCTTACAAACAAATATATATAGTTTAAAATTAGATTTGTCCTATTTTCTTCGCGCTACGATAATCATATTTAATTATTTACTTCTAAGTCCACATATGACATTTACTATCGGCTTCCCTGGTTTAGTGTCTGATTGTGGTCCCGGTTTCGGTTTTGATGACATGTTTGTGCTTGATAATTTACATTTCTTTGACTATTGAATTAATTTAAAATTTTTGATGTTATTTGTACGCCATTATTTTAGATAGAAACGGTTGTTTGTTGAAATTCATGAACATATCTGTGATTTGGAAACGTTCACGCATATACGAGGTGTTCCACAAAATTTTCGTTAAGCCAAAACTTAGAATGTACAGTCCACCAAGATCTACCGCCAAAATTTTTCGAAAACCAAATAAAACAATGTTGAAATACTTGTAATAGATTTTCTACAATAACTTTTCATTTGATGAAACATATACGTTTCTTCTGATGCTTTCATTTGACTCGACTGTACATGATAAATCCTGACAACTCTATAAAAATAATTTACACGAGTCGTAACAATGTATAAATTTATATTTTAAACATATAAACTAAGTTACACACATATAAAATTGCTTTACGAAGATGCAATACATTTGTCAGCCGTTCAAAAAGCTGTGTACACATTAATCTTCGTCTAATTCTGTGATAGGTAGTCCAGCGCATTCGCTGTGTCTGATACCGAAAGAGTACATCGGTGCTTGTCTTCCAACGAACTCGGGATAGTATTTTGGCCCTGGACTAAAATCTATATCTGGTAAATCGTGTCTCCACTTTAATCCAAATGCTGGAGAACTACGTTTCACAACATCAATGTTAATGTTTGTATAAGCTGCTGGACCAGGGCCAATGTCTTCTTGTCTCAGTTCATGATAACCACCTCTATAGCAACGAAATGTAATTGTAAAGAATGCATTTCATATCAAAATTCCTCCTTAATAAATATTCTATATTTAATTCGTTATGCGTATAAAAATGTGTCTCGAACACAGATTATTTAACGCAAATTCTAAATACGTACATCGAAAATGCACCCACAGCTCTTTTGTCCGGAATCTTGGGCCCTATACATGTTGGTAAAGTATATGCATTTGGGCCAGGACCAGTATCGCTAATTTTCGTTCTACTTCTAGATTTAATTGTATAAGCTGGAGGTCTGATATTGTGATTCATCGGTGGGCACTTTTCTGGGTAATGTGCTCCTGGCCCTGGGCCTAAATCTCTTACTAAAAAGTATAGCGAATATCATAAGTATAGCCTGATAATGTTTATTATTATACATACCAACTACATATACGAAATTGTGCTCGAATTAAATAATATAAAGAAATGAAAATAGTGATTTAATTTAAGAAATTTCGAAACGCAAAAAGAACACCTACTGCTGAAAGGTTCTCTGGTAGCTATTGTATATGCTGGTGATTTGTCTAATCCATAATTTGTTAATTTAGAAACATTATATTTTGGTCCAGGACCAACGCTTGGTATAAAAATTTTGGTACGATGACGTATACTATATGCTGGATGCCTTTGTCGAGACGGACAATGATCTTCATAACCAACTAAAGGCCGTAATTTGTAAACTGGACCAGGACCTACATACATGGACATATTTTTACACTATCGAAAACCATTGGTTGGTATTTAAAATTAATAATGTTATTGTATGTACTGAAGTAAACAATTAACCTTCCTTATTTTGTCAAATAAATTATCCTAACCAACGTCGAGAATAAAAAGGATTATTGCACAAAAGTAATAAATATAATTTTCTGGACGAATTCTTACCCCTTATCATGCAACTTAATATCTTTGGTTCGTTCTCTTTGTTCTCCATTTTCTATAGTGTAAAATAGTATTAAAAACGATACAAAAACGATACAAAAACGGCACAAAAATTACATAAAAATGACATAAAAAGTAATCAAACACAAGAATGGAAGTGATTAATAGTCTGAAACTTTAGGAACAATATTCAGAGCATTTACAGTACTTCACGTTACATTCGGAATGGACACTTACAAAATGAAGTTCACGTCAAATGAAAAATATCAGCTGTAACCATATTGATACGCGATAGAATTAATCAATTAAACATTACTGTCATCTATGCATTCATATCTGCAAAATTTTCTTAGTTTCTCTTAGTTATACATAAACGATAGTAGGAAACATTTCTACATATATTTAAGAAGATTGCTAGTAAAGTAATATTTATTATTATTAATCGTTCACATGATATTACGTAATAAATGAATTAATAAACATTCAACGCGATATTTATGAAAAGCAAACGCGAAAAATAGGAATTCGCAACTCTATTTTTAATGGAAATATATTTATGTTTCGCGACGCTGATGCAAATCGCGTTTTGCCCAAAAATGATGGACCAGATGCTGGTGTCTTCCATGATGGATGCAAATACAGATGCAATAAATAAACTAACTACTGCAAACTACTGTTAACTACAATATAGTGGCACATATGGGGATGAAGCTAGACATTTCAAATAACGCAACGCTAAGGGGCAAACAACGCGATCAATCAAAATCGCAACGCTAATTTACAATAGAAAAAATTCCAAACGCGACTTGCAAGAATAAAAGCAACCGCGAATGGTAATTATTCGCAACGCTACCCTGAAAAGCAAACGCGAAAAATAGTAATTCGCAACTCTAATAGCAATCGCGATTATCGATCATTCGCGACCCTATCTTTGAAGCAAACTCCCGTTTCCTAAGTTTGCGTAAAAAGAATCGCGAATCGTGTTTAGTCGCAACGCTAACATATCAACGCGATGAATATTAATTCGCGACTCTACGAGCAAACGCGGACATTGTATAGTGTTTGCAACTCTAACTTTAATCAGGGGTTCATGGTACATGTAAATGCACATGTACTGGCCACTAAATGAACTAACTACTTCTACTGCTACAGTTAGGGTAGAATTTGGGCATTGAAAATATCGCAACGCTAATTTATAGTATGAAAATTGCAAACGCGGTTGATATTCGTTATATGCAAAAAAGAGTAAGAAAGCAACGCGAATAGTAGTAATTCGCAAATCTAATAGCAATCGCGTTTACTGATTATTCGCAACGCTATTTTAAAAGCAAACTCCCGGTGCCTAAGTTTGCAAAAACACAACCGCGAATGGTAATTATTCGCAACGCTACCCTGAAAAGCAAACGCGAAAAATAGGAATTCGCAACTCTATTTTTAATGGAAATATATTTATGTTTCACGACGCTAATGCAAATTGCGTTTTACCTAAAAATGATGGACCAGATGCTGGTGTCTTCCATGATGGATGCAAATACAGATGCAATAAATAAACTAACTACTGCAAACTACTGTTAACTACAATATAGTGGCACATATGGGGATGAAGCTAGACATTTCAAATAACGCAACGCTAAGGGGCAAACAACGCGATCAATCAAAATCGCAACGCTAATTTACAATAGAAAAAATTCCAAACGCGACTTGAAAGAATAAAAGCAACCGCGAATGGTAATTATTCGCAACGCTACCCTGAAAAGCAAACGCGAAAAATAGTAATTCGCAACTCTAATAGCAATCGCGATTATCGATCATTCGCGACCCTATCTTTGAAGCAAACTCCCGTTTCCTAAGTTTGCGTAAAAAGAATCGAGAATCGTGTTTAGTCGCAACGCTAACATATCAACGCGATGAATATTAATTCGCGACTCTACGAGCAAACGCGGACATTGTATAGTGTTTGCAACTCTAACTTTAATCAGGGGTTCATGGTACATGTAAATGCACATGTACTGGCCACTAAATGAACTAACTACTTCTACTGCTACAGTTAGGGTAGAATTTGGGCATTGAAAATATCGCAACGCTAATTTATAGTATGAAAATTGCAAACGCGGTTGATATTCGTTATATGCAAAAAAGAGTAAGAAAGCAACGCGAATAGTAGTAATTCGCAAATCTAATAGCAATCGCGTTTACTGATTATTCGCAACGCTATTTTAAAAGCAAACTCCCGGTGCCTAAGTTTGCAAAAACACAACCGCGAATGGTAATTATTCGCAACGCTACCCTGAAAAGCAAACGCGAAAAATAGGAATTCGCAACTCTATTTTTAATGGAAATATATTTATGTTTCACGACGCTAATGCAAATTGCGTTTTACCTAAAAATGATGGACCAGATGCTGGTGTCTTCCATGATGGATGCAAATACAGATGCAATAAATAAACTAACTACTGCAAACTACTGTTAACTACAATATAGTGGCACATATGGGGATGAAGCTTGACATTTCAAATAACGCAACGCTAAGGGGCAAACAACGCGATCAATCAAAATCGCAACGCTAATTTACAATAGAAAAAATTCCAAACGCGACTTGCAAGAATAAAAGCAACCGCGAATGGTAATTATTCGCAACGCTACCCTGAAAAGCAAACGCGAAAAATAGTAATTCGCAACTCTAATAGCAATCGCGATTATCGATCATTCGCGACCCTATCTTTGAAGCAAACTCCCGTTTCCTAAGTTTGCGTAAAAAGAATCGCGAATCGTGTTTAGTCGCAACGCTAACATATCAACGCGATGAATATTAATTCGCGACTCTACGAGCAAACGCGGACATTGTATAGTGTTTGCAACTCTAACTTTAATCAGGGGTTCATGGTACATGTAAATGCACATGTACTGGCCACTAAATGAACTAACTACTTCTACTGCTACAGTTAGGGTAGAATTTGGGCATTGAAAATATCGCAACGCTAATTTATAGTATGAAAATTGCAAACGCGGTTGATATTCGTTATATGCAAAAAAGAGTAAGAAAGCAACGCGAATAGTAGTAATTCGCAAATCTAATAGCAATCGCGTTTACTGATTATTCGCAACGCTATTTTAAAAGCAAACTCCCGGTGCCTAAGTTTGCAAAAACACAACCGCGAATGGTAATTATTCGCAACGCTACCCTGAAAAGCAAACGCGAAAAATAGGAATTCGCAACTCTATTTTTAATGGAAATATATTTATGTTTCACGACGCTAATGCAAATTGCGTTTTACCTAAAAATGATGGACCAGATGCTGGTGTCTTCCATGATGGATGCAAATACAGATGCAATAAATAAACTAACTACTGCAAACTACTGTTAACTACAATATAGTGGCACATATGGGGATGAAGCTTGACATTTCAAATAACGCAACGCTAAGGGGCAAACAACGCGATCAATCAAAATCGCAACGCTAATTTACAATAGAAAAGATTCCAAACGCGACTTGCAAGAATAAAAGCAACCGCGAATGGTAATTATTCGCAACACTACCCTGAAAAGCAAACGCGAAAAATAGTGATTCGCAACTCTAACAGCAATCGCGTTTACTAATAATTCGAAACGCTATTTTTAAAGCAAACGCCCGGTTCCTAGGTTTGCATAAAGACAATCGCGAATCGTATTTATTCGCAACACTGATATATCAACGCGATAAATATTTTTTCGCAACTCTACGAGCAAACGCGAACATTGTATATTATTCGCAACTCTAACTTTAATCAGGGGGTATTGGTACATGTACATACACATGTACTGGCCACTAAATAAACTAACTACTTCTACTAATACAGTTAGGGTAGAATTTGGGCATTGAAAATATCGCAACGCTAATTTATAGTATGAAAATTGCAAACGCGGTTGATGTCCATTATATGTATAAAAGAGTAAAAAAGCAACGCGAATCGTGATTATTCGCAACACTACCCTGAAAAGGAAACGCGAAAAATAATATTTCGCAACTCTACGAGCAATCGCGTTTATCAATAATTCGCAACGCTACTTTTAAAGCAAACTCCCGGTACCTAAGTTTGCATGAAAACAATCGCGAATGGTAATTATTCGTAACACTACCCTGAAAAGGAAACGCGAAAAATAACAATTCGCAACTCTAAAAGCAAACGCGATTATTGGATATTCGCAACTCTATGTATATCATAACCGCGAGTTATGGGGAGGAATGGCTGGCATGTATGGTGCAATCATGTACCAGGTACATGCACACGTGAGCCAGCCAGAGAAATAAACTAACTACAACTACAGACGAGTTAAGTGACAAAGTAGTAATAGGAATGACTTTTCATTCTCATCCGAGGATGAAGATGAAAAGCCATTTGTTGTAGCCCACTCTTGAGACGGTTTGTCAGGGCCTCTTCGGCTCATCTAGAGCCTTTTCTTTCTTCGGCGGTCCTGCCGATGCCTGAAACTTACCAAAGACTGGGCTCGAGATTTTGTGCAATACGTAGCCTTCCAACAATATACGAATTGTTGCAAGAGCATACGTGGTGAATCTCGAGCGGGACGAACGTTTCGAAAGGGACCTGATCCCGACCGCGAGCGCGAGAGAGCGACTGTAAGAGTCGCGCGATTCGAGGAGTCGAAATTAAAGCCGAAACAAACAGCACAAGTGCACCGTTTGAATCAGCAAGATTTCTACTCTCGAACTCGTAACTACAGGAACAGAACTGCCACGCAAAAACGCGCCTACCCGAATTACTAATGTGGACAGTCCTGCCCTGACACCTACCTACTTAGATCTAAACACACACACCAGAGAATAAGTTACCTGCCTACCTAGCGCTGCATTTAAAAAATTGCAAAACTCATTCTCGCAAACATACACTCCACGGTTCTCATTCTTAATGTCCGAGCGCGACCTAAACTAGAGAGGACTCCCCGGGGTTCCCCCGACACCCGGACACAACTGACTCCTGTCATGCTCTAAATGTACGTACCATTTTCTGTAATCGACTGACAAAGACTAGTGACCATTGCGTAGTTAAACATTTATATTGGACGTCTCAATCTATGTAATATAGATCTATTATCTATTGTATATATATATATGTATGATTATATAAAATTGAGAAGCTAATTTATTAAGTATTTTATAATATTTCTGTCGTGAGTCAACAATTGTCGAATAAATAGTAAATGGCAATTTAATATTATTATTGTAACTAATACAAATTTCATGTTACAAAAATTCTGTATGTAAATTATAATTATAAAAACTTCTGAAACGGCGCACTTCCCACAGCCTAACCACACACACACATGTGGAAAGTACACCGTGCACGATGCACTAGGCAATGTCAGTCGCCAATGCATTATTAGAAATTGTTATAAACTAAGTCATCGTGTACATTGCCTTCGCTCATGCAAATAGCACCTGGGCATGTGCGTGAACTTAGGCAACGAACACGGAAGTATTAGCCTGAAAATCCTGAACTAGAAGCAGTGATTAATAAACAATAATAACGGGCTAACATTTCATTTTTCAGTTATAACGATTCGACTTTTTCTTTCTAATAAATCAAGAATAAAAAATTTCAGATTTGAAATGAAGAAACGCTATTTGTGAAAATTGTTCTGATTAAAATTCAATTAAGAAGAACTTTAAATAATTTAATTTGAAAGTTTCGAACAAATTGTTCAAGTGAACTAATTAAATTATTCAACCCTACGGCGAGTCTGTCGTCAAAGCGAATTTTTAAAACATGAAATCAGTAAATAAATGTTGCTTTTGACTCGAGAATCTACCGATCGCGAAACGTTTTCTTGTACATCAAATGAAACGTGATATTTTGTAATAAATAAAGGAAGATTAATATCTTATATACAAATGAATTTATATTTGAACTTGGAACGGAAAAAATATAAAAATTGCAATCAATGTTGAATACTATATACTCGATAATAATTGTATTGTAATTATATGAATTTAATTATAAGTAAAAATATAAATTCGATTTACATTATAAACATTATTTATTTTGTTACTCTATTTTCAATCTGAATATTTTTATTAAAAATAGTTTATCGTATTAAAAAAATTCAAGTACAAGAAAACCCTAGCCTGAACTAAGTAATAAACAAATATAAGTTACTATTCACGGGTATTTTCAATACCCGCGGTCACTTAACTCGTCAAAAATACTAAGTATACAACCAGTCACCTGCGTTGATTCGAACCTTTCGTTCTACAACGTGATTGGGTACCAGAGGAACACAAATAACATGCGACTCACCAATGATGATAGCATGATGACGATGCTGCCCAGTAGAAGTCATCAAGGAAGTCATCCACCAGTCATCCATCAGTCAGCATGGTCCTGCTAGTTTCTAAGATGTAGGGATCAGGTTCAAAGACTGCAAGAAAACAATTAAAATCTATTGTTAAAATTATAGACTTTAATAAATATTTTTACAAGTATAAATTCATACTTACATTATTCGCTCGCAGAGCATCGCCCAATAGTCCTCTTCAGTAATGTACCGACTCTACTACCGGTAACGAGGAGCTTAAATTTCAAATTGAAAAAAATAATTAACTCGATCGGGAAGTATTAAATTAGATTACCGCGACCGAAGATTGAAAACGGCGAACAAACGAGTCTATTCTCGTGATTCAGAAAACAGGGAGAGCCACGATGCTCTGGAAATGCTTAAAAATTTCGTAAGAAACACTGCTTCTACTATCGCGTTTGCCTAACTGCGTTGTACGACAACTTACTCGGGGTCACTTTACCCTGGAAAACAAACTGTTGCTACGCAGTAAACAATGAGTCTACCGGCCGCCTTGCGCGCGACTAACAAAGTTGCGAAAGAATGCTGAAAAGAAAGATGGAAGAGGATACAAGAAATACAACGAGCACGCGTGTGCCTTTCCTGCTGGTTTTTGTTTCCTTTTCCCTTATTCGATGTTCATCGACAGAAATACTGTATAACTTAAATATAACTCACACTTTTGTCAATTTATAGTTGCAGATGACAAGATTCTTGAATCTGTTAACATTATTCGCTTTAATGAATTATGATTCACAAAGTCGTAATAAATATATCTTTTATAAACAATACCTTAATCACAGACGAGATATACGAGTAGATCTTTCAACTTATGGACTTTCGTGGCCCAATCTGGCTGCCATACCGACCTGAAAATTCGGAGGTGATTTCAGCGCCCTCTTCACATGGATGGCGGTCAGTTGAGAAACTATTCACTGAATTAGTATTGATAGGCAAACAGCGTAGCGCGTAAATACATGCGAGTTGACTATGGAAGGGATTAAAATTCATTTCTGAATCTGTTGGTAACGTTGCAAATTACACGAAAATGCTAATGGCCGAAAAAATACATTAGGTGAAAGGTCTACTCGTATAAGTACCTCGTCTGTGCTTTAGTCACCAATTAAATATTGTTCACACCACCGATTCAATAAGAGTTTGTTCTAACGCCCACGTAAAAAATTAGTAGTGTTACAGCGCACTCTGTGTTTAAGGACAATGACTCTGTGAATCATATTTAACCCGATCATCGACGTCGGTAACATCAGAATATTGTTCTAAAGTCAAGATACTTTTAGATTACTCAGATTAGTAACATCGAGGCCTGATTCTCAAAATTAAAATTTGAAAAGGCAAATGCGAAAAGTTCTTATCGTTTGCAACTCGAAATGGAACTATACAATTAATGCAAATTATTTGCAATTTTAGCCAGATCGAGAAACGCGAATAATTCGTATTTTGCACCTCACATATATTTACACGCAACTACAATCTGTTTACCTATTACACTAATTCAATGAATAATTTCTCAACTGACGCCATCCATGAGAAGAGAACGCTAAAATCACCTCTCAAATAGGTCGGTATGACAGTCAGTTTGGGCTAAGAGAGCCCATAAGGAATTGTATGTAAACAATATTTTACATATTTTAATTAAATTAAGTATACAAGGACATTAAAGTGCAGATACGTATTTAATAAATAATAATTTGTTAACTTGATTGACAACCTATTATAGAATTTAAATGACGTCATTGAACGTAAAAGCAAAAGAGGAGGGGTAACATGAACTGACCCATTGAACCTCGCGTAGCAAAATCAATAATGTATCTCGAGAATCTTTCTTTTTTTATTAAATTTCTTATCGCAACAGTATATAAAAACATCCATTGTACATGTATAACAAATTATTTTATTAAATACTTGTTTAAAAGATTTCATTGATCATTTATACTTTACAATTTTTGTTTACATTCATTATTACAATAAAACTTTCAGATACAATTATTTATTACAAAGCATTATGTATTTTGACATTTCTTGCATAAAATACAATTTAATTTTCTATTAGTCGGAATGTTATTACAAATTAGTGGCATCAAATTTACTACAAATCATATACTAAACAATAGGTTCCTTATGAAAACGTTTACACAAGTGTACAATATTAAAGATTCTAAATTCGCATAATTAAAATTTTTTTTAATTATAAAAAAAAAGTTTTATTATGACTAATAGAAAATCCAAATTGTCTGATTCATACAATTTAAAAAACAAAGTAAAAATTATCTTCTCCTTTATGTAGATATAAAATACAATAAAATCCATTCTTACGCAATAAATATATAACATGTAACAAAATTATCTTGTTCCACATAAATTAATAGAAGCTGTTTAATGATCGTAGAATACTAGGAAGCCTCTTAAAAATATTAATACATGATTGTCAATTAACGAATTGTGAATTTTAGTATCATTAGATTCATCGATACTGCATCATTATTCTTTCATTCTTTTAGCAATGTACCAAACTTAGAATATGATTACATAGTGGCAATTAATGGTACTTCGAATTTAGCAAGCCGTAACAATTACAAAATATGATTTGGACTTCCTCGCGTCTGTGAAATTGTATACACATTTCATTTTTAATAAAAAGTTCCTTAATAATTAAAGTAAAACATGAGATCAACAAGATCGTTTATACAATTCTCAAAGAGAGCAATCTTTCCTACCATTTTCTTGTAATATGCATTAAATCTACTAATAATGTACCTTTGTAGATAATGAATGCCATCATGAATATTTTTTTTTAATTGTTTTCATTTGGTACTGAAAACAGAAAATATTCCAATAAAATATTACCATTGTGGAAAATAACAATTAGTAAATGTTGAAATCCGATCGATACAGTTATACATTTTCCTTTTATCTTATTTTCGATAAAGCATTTATTACCTGTTACCACCTAGCAATTTTTTTGATGAATTAATCTCAATAGAATTCATAAAAGTTTAACTCCAAGTATCATACGCTTTTGCCATTCTTGCAATTTTTTTAACTATTCGGTAATGACTATTACATTAATGTTGATAAATATTCCTTCGATTAAAAACATTTTCTTGTAGACAATGAAATAGTATGACATTCAGAAATATCATAAAATATTTTCAGCTATCATCAAAATATTCAAAACACATTCATTCATAATACAATTAAAAAATCACATATGCTATAAAAACGAACAGATAATAATGTAGGGAAATTACTGACGCAAATGAAAAAAAAATAATTGTACGAATGGAAATACATGGTAGATTAATATCTGATAAAAATAAATTGTATTCGATATCATAGTTGATAAGGACATCATAGTTGGTTACAATTATTTAAATACTATACCTTGATTCTCTGAATATAATTCGTTCTCTGTGACAATAATTTCCAATGAGTCAGTAGGATTGGGCTGATAAAATTTAAATTATGGCAAATAATTCACTAAATAAGGTAAAAATACAACCAATACTTTGTAGTAGTTATAAAAGGAATTTGATTTCAAACGTATGCTTTAATTTATAAATGATCTCATTAATAATGTTACTACGAATCATAATGAAATTAATATTTTATTGAAATATAACTTTTTTATAAAAAAAAATAATGCGATTAAACATAAGAAAATGGCCCAAACCTATGAATGTACACAATCATTGCCTATTTTCAATTTGTCTTCATTTATTGCTATATCATTTGCACTCTCTTTCTATTCTATATCACAGTATGACAAATGCTACATGAATTTTATATGCAATACAATTAATACACATCACTCGGTATAAACGCCGCACACTTATTCACATATTCAAATAAAAAATCATAGCTACTTAAGTATATTGGTTCGGTCGAATTAGATTTTGTACTGAAAAAAATTCACAACTCAAATGTTATTACATAACATTGTTACAAACGTTCTGAAAAATGATATAAACCATCGATTGACTTCGATGTGATAACAGCAGCGACTATAAATAAATAATGAAAATTGTGAAACTGATACTTTTTTCATGAAATATGCATTACGTTAGGATTAGATGATTAACATGACAATAGCATTGACATAAAACTACTGGTAGGACTTATTCTTTGCATTTAGCGGCGCTAAAATTAAAAGAGTACATTTTCAATTTTGTGAAAAATTGGAATAACTTTTTTTATATGATCACGGAGCAAAAACCATTCACTCGATTGTACTCTTTTGACACTAATTTTGGAAAAACGTCCATAAACAAATCATGTCTATGACCCCTAAATGTTCGTAAAAAGGTACTTTTCTTAAAAAATAAAAAAACATCAATTTGAAATTTGGTGAATACATTCATAATCAAAAAGCCAATATTTCACCCAATTTTCAAAGTTTCACGTCAATTTTTTAAAAAGTTATTAACGATTTTCTAGTTCTTATATTTTGACGGCTTTTATTTTTTTACAACCTAACTAATCATCAATCAATTCGAACGTAATGCATATCTTGTGTCATAGGTAATTTTAATATCTATAACTAGCAATTTTTATATTTCACGTAGGACTGCTCGTTTCTGAAATATAAAGGATTTTATGAAAAAAGTACCAATTCGACAACTTTTCATTACATATTTATACTCGCTGCTGTCGTTACATTGAAATTGATCGACGGCTTACATCATTTTTCGAAACATTCGTAACAATATTATGTACGAAAATTTGCGTTGGGTACTTTCTCCAATTTTGAGTATTTTTATATCTAATTTGACTGGACCATATAGATATTTATATATATTTTTTGTTTTCATAATTCTTGAAAATTAATTCTTTTCTTTATCGTGTATGTATCAAATCGACATATTATTACCATATATTTCAAATGTAAATGAGGAGGGTGTACCTACCATTTAGGAAACGGTGTATAGGTATTAAGCCTACTGTGTGATAGCCTACCGAGATGCCATGTATCCCTTCTTTATCCAATCACAATAACACATCTCAAAACTAAAAAATGTGTTTCGGCTTCTTTGCTTTTATCGTATGATACGTTTGTACATTTGCAAACTTGTTCCGTTCTTTATGATTTAATGGGTTGATTAAACTGCGCAGCCAGACGACATTTATTTGTGAATACTACAAAGAGCAAATAGTTTTTATTTATGGCAGTTTCAACAACACATGATTGCAAATAAAATAATGATCAATTATTAAAAATACTACAAGTTACTTACACTGCTTTGTGGGAGTATCGTGTTTCTCGTTATCATTATCACCATCCTCCGTGTTACTGCTATCATTTTCAGTACTCGTAACAGTTGCATCCTCTGTTGAACAGTCGACAATCTTTTCTTGTTTGCACGTGAAAGTTTGTGCAATTAAAATGTTCTCCGAAGATATACTTTTTTTGGGAGTCAAAGAGAGCGACGGAAGTGGCAATTCAGAAGGATGAGGAGCAACGACGATATTACGTTTGGAAGAAAAGTAAGGTGAAGTGCGTGGATTTAAAGGATTTGCCGCAGCCGGTAATAAATTTTTTGTCGGCGATAATAGGTTAAACGTACTATTATCGGATACAATTTGACTCCAGGAAGGAGGTAACGTTAACGGAGGAACCTGTTAATACAAAAAATGCAATGAAATTATAAACTACGCCAGTGATAATGTTCAGTACTGAAAGAATTATTTACCTGCACATTGGTAGCGTGTTCATCCTGTGGATATGTAAACTTCGTTGGAGTCATCCAGACTGAAGATTCCCACTGATTCTTACTTAAATGCTACGATTTAACAAACTTTATTAGTAATTTGTAGGTTAGTAAGAAAAGTATATGCACAAAATAATTTGAAAAAAATACCTCGGGCGGAGAATCTGGTTTAGGAGGAGGCGGTGGAAAACCGTGCGGCATAATCGGAGTACGCATTAAGCTTTTAAGAAAGCTTTCACTTCCATTCTCTTGCAATGACCAAGGAACCAACTGATCTTCTGAAGACGATGTTTTCCAATCCCTGTCAGATTCCTTCGACCACATACTGTTCTTTTCAATTTGCTTCCAAGAATGCTGACTTTCGATCGTTTGTCCTGTCCATTTTGCACGTTTTTTCACCGCACTTGAATTGTTGGAAATGTTCATGCGAGAAGAAGAATCGCTTTCAAACGATTCATTGCTAGAGTCCGTATCACGATACGACGATGCTGATCTATACGTCGGTGGTAATGGTATACCAACGGCTATTTATGAAACAAAATCGAGTTAGAAAATCCTTGAAACGCCAACAATTTTTAGACAGTTACGCATATGTAGTTTTACATACCAGCAAGTTTTTTGTTTAGAGATATAATGTTTTTTTTTTGTCGTGATACTTTCATTGTAACAGTACAAGGTAAAGCTTGCAAAAGTGCAAGAATGTTTGAAAACCCGTATTCTACAGGTTTACAGACAGAACATGTAGTTGACAAGTACGCTGTCTCAAACTGTGAGAGCTTCAATGTTCCGCCATAATTCATCAATACACGATATAAATCACAAGCGAAACAATGTAACGGTGTAAGCTCTATTAACTGCTCGTCGTTCACTGTTGTGAACTGTAATAATATGTATATAATTATACAAGTTACTTTCAGAAATAAGCTATGTCCTTTGAGGAAAGTATTCTGATGTTTCTCAAAGGACACTAAGACTAAACTATAACTTACGCGAACTACGTTAGATAAATTTTTCATAAGTTCGTCTATGTTACATGGCTTCAAATAATACTGTGTATAGAGTTTCTGAAATTCTTTAACTGACATTCTGTATTGAGATTGATTCATCAACACTCGACGGCACTGTAGAGTTAATAGTTGCAACTGAGATTTATCTATCATTACAATTGCTGGTTGAGTTGCTAAATGAATAATCTAAAAGATTGGTAAAACCACGAATTAATATACATACTTTTAACGTTAAATATAAATTTTTATGTTAAGACTCTGTACCTTTACAGAATCTTCAAGTTTCTGCATAAGTTGTAACATAGATGTACATCCAAATAACTCTGGTTTTAACTCGTAACCAAACTGTTGTAAAAAGTTGTGCGTAATGTTTGAAACATTAAGAAAACCTCGGGATCGTGGAACTAATTTTGATATTTGTTCGGAAAGTACACGAAGACCTTGCTTTTCTATTAGAGAAATTTGCCTTTCACCCGAATTATCATCTTCGATCTTGACTACATCGGGTATAGCTTCAAATAATTCAATTAACTTGGTAAACCCGTAATCTGACACGCGACACTGATGTCCAAAATGATGATGATACGAAGGCACAAATTTATCAAACTGCATTCTGCATTGGGGTACATGTCGTAACAATTCTATAACCTACATAAAACGTGAGCATATTTTTTATTAATATCAAATTAATTTCCTAGAGTATTTTTAATGCACTTCTACCTTACCTCTAAAGCGAACTGTTTCGTTCGCTCAATTTCTTCTGCAGTTTGTTCACGTTTAGGAATAGCTATCATTTTATCACCACCATTGATTGTAGTGACAACGACAGCGTTTTCCGATACTTCACGGAGTATATCGTCTATTTCACAAACACCGTAATCCACGATATCCCATGGTTTAGCTGTACAATTTTTATGTTTATTTTTTTTCTCTTCGTAACATGTATGATTACATGACTATGATTACAATTTAGTAGGATACAAAATATTTACCTATTACTCTAGCATAAACGCTTGGAAAATCTGAAAGCGTAACTTGTTTACTAGCCTTAGATTTTAAAACTCTCAACAGGTCAGATGTAAAACGACGTACTTGAGCGCGATGAGACAATGTTACTACGCGATTATTTCCTTCGCCCATTACCTAAAATATATAATGTAAATTTCAAGAATAAGCTTAAATTTACCTAAGTTTTATTTTACTTACTTGTACGGTATGTGTAAGTGCTTCTAATAAGTCGATCAATTTAGTAAATCCATAATCAGCAACTCTACACTGTCTTCCAAAATGATGATGATATGCAGGTATAAATCGATTGAACAGTAATTGGCAGTGTGAAGCAGTTTTTAAAAGATCAACTAATTCGCGACTAAAGAGTGCTAATTGATTGGCAAGAGGAGGACTCACACACTTGTTTTCTAAAAAATAAAATGGTACACTTGCAGTATGTCATTAAAGTGTAAAAAAGTAAGAAATTTACCTTCGTTACTATCTTGCGTTTTATTCCCTGTCCAAACAAGATATTTTACACTACCAATACCCTGTTTTAATTCTACACATGATAAACAGGATACCAAATGTTCTAAAGGTACCCCATTTTCAACCACTTGTAGTTTTTCCTTAAATTCAGCTTCATAACAATTTGGCAAACTAAAAAAATTAATCTGATGATAATAGAATTTTCGAAATTCGATAAAAATATTTGTATATAATATACCTAGGCAGTGGTAAACATCCATTATGTGTAGTTAGTAACTGATGTATACGTGGATCAAGAAGTTTTAAAGAAACTTTTACATTAGGAAGTGATGCTACTTTTTGCTCAGCCCATCCCTTATCAAACCATGGTTTTAGCGTATGAGTAGTACAATATGGTAACTCTACTTGTTCCTCCTACAAATTAAACGTTCACTTTACGCTTTGTGTACAATTTATACACTTATAGAAACATTTCACGTCTATTATTTCAGAAAGTTTTCATCGCTTTGGAAATATCGTCACCGCATTTCACCAGTAAAAGGAACAATGGCTCTACTTTCACTAGAGAAGCTCGAACTCGGCTTTATTTATCCATCATAGTGCGTCTAACATTTATACAACGTTAAAATACATATATAACAATATACCTGAGTTGTAGTGTTTAAACATGGTGATGGCGTATTTCTGTGATCTGGATTAAGAGAAACCATTCTGCCGCTGGGGTCTTCGATAATAATACAGACATCCTTCATTTTATATAATTCCGAAATGCTGATGGTAATCATAAAACGACTCTCATACATTTCGCGGAACTTGAACAGGGGAAGTTTGTGACCTGGCACTTCTTGTAGCAACATTACAATTTGCGCCCGTATAACTTGAGGGCTTACTCGACCGCTATGAGCGTAAGATATTAAAATACGTTTATATCCTAATTTACGACGATGTAATTGAGAAATTGCATATTGCGCGTCCGACAACGATGGAACTTTGACACTTGCAGCAAAGTTACCATCAGACTGTATAAAAATAGACACATTTAACACCTAAAAACAAACCGATATAAATAAAAACATTTACATCGATGGTAATGTAATTATATGTATTATAATTTACCACCACATGTTCCAGGAATATAGAAGCGAGCATATGTCTTAGTTTTGTTGGATTAATATTTTGGTCTATGTTAGTTACTTGTAATTCAATAGGTGTGCATGTTTCATTGTTCACCGAAGTTCCATTGTGATTATTTATTGGATTGAAGAATTTCTAACGTGCCAACAATTGTATATTATTATCTACTTATCTAGTAGAAATAAAACATCTTTAAAATTCAAATACCTCAACTTCTTCATTTTCTGCATCACTTGGATGATAAGGTGAAGTGTTTGCACATTGCTGACTCATCGTCTGTATGTTATTCTCGTAAGGTGAAGGTGTTCTGGTTCTACGTACAGATTTTTGATTCTTAAAAAAACAAGAAAAGTAAACGATTAGAATATATGTAAATGTTTTTCTTCGTATCGTATATTTAATTTATTTTATACCTGTCCGTTCCACTGATTTCGCTCTCGTGATTGTAGATCATACAATGGAGATGGACTACGACGTTTGAACGAACTTGACTGAGAATGCGCTGTAACGTAACAAAAATAAAGTGATCGCTACTTTTCAACTTTATAAGAATAAAAATAAACGAACAAATACAAACCATTTCCATTGAAACTGGTTGAAGCATTTAATGGGGGATGTGGTTGCCTTGATCCAGCCCATTCTGGCGGTTGAACAAAAGAAGTACATGTTCCTCTGATACATCTTAGACTCTCAGGAGTTCGAGAAGCTACATTATTTGTAGCTGTATTATCCCGAGCCTGCGGGATGTGAAGTCTCCTACTAAGCACTTTGGTCTTTTCAACCTTGAAATTATTAATTATTAATCACCAAAGAAATAATGATTACATTTAAAACTGATCTGTAAAAGTACAAACTTTATATTGTTCCTCCCACAAATGACCAAATTGCTGTGGACCAGAGATTTGCCACGATAATGGTGATTGGACCCTTGCAAGTTCATTATATGCTCTATTAAAAGCTACATTATTACTATTTGAATATGATCTCCCAACAAAACCAGACGGAGATTGAATAACTCTGTAAATACAAGTAGAAGAACATCAAGTATCGATAAATTTATACCAATTGCATCATTATTCTTTTAAATGTTATATCAGATAAGATCAAAGCTCTTAAAATTTCATAGCCCAAATCAGCAAGGATGATATGTCATCTACTCGCGATTCTAAGGCTCTCCTCGGAAATTCATCATTTGTAAAAGGCTACTTTTATATTATGACTAATTTGTAGAAAATTAATTACGTTGCTGGTGCTGAAACTGGAGCACAATGAGAATTCCATGCTGAACCATATGTTCCAATGACTGGAATTGAAGATTGATAATGTGGAATTTGAAGCGTTCTCCCACCCGTTACCGAAGTACTTGCACTATACATTTGTCTTGAAGAACTAGTAACAATTTCCGATTCACTTACAGCGCGATTTCTATTTGTTAACTTTCCTAGAATTTTAAAATATATTGTACAGAGATATTATACATTAACACACTTTATTGCTGTTATTATTGTTATCTTCATAACTTTAATAATAAAACGCAAAATTTTTAAAAAAGAAACAAAACTACATTACATATGTAGCGAGTATACCTGGAGTTTTCTGAAAATTACTCCCCTGCTCTTTTTGAAATTTTACAGAAATTTTCGAACCAAGAACAAGTTTTCCATCCATACGCTTCTGAGCCCTACCAGAAAAAGTCACATTGTTATTGAGCACAGCAGACTAACTGTAATTACAAGGGGTCAATACACAACATAATCAAATCTGTCTATAAATGACCTTCAAGAACACATTAAATATGTTTATAACATAAATTAAGAAATCAATCGATTTTCTAAAGACACTTATGCTTCTTGTTTTAAATGCACATTTTATTAAATATTCTTACCCATGTCATATTATAACAACTTTTTGTCACCAAATGTATATATTACCAACTTACCTTAAATATAAATAAAATCATTGCATCATGTCAACATTTTAATATGAATAAATAAAATTATAAATAATAACAATATATTAAACAAAACTTTTCAACAATAATTGCTATAATACACATATATAAATGAAACAAATATGTTATACAAATCAAAATTGTGATCTCTCTAGCATGCCACTATGTACGTTACATTGCTATTCCCTGTTTAAATTCTATCTTATTTATGTATTTATCCCTACTACTTCTAGCACAGTTTTTTTTCTTAACACCGAATAACCCAATAAGATGTCTGTAGATAGAGACAAACGATTGGTTGTACATAGAGCGGGTTATTTAAATACAGACATGATACTGCTATTACTTCTGTTGCAATTAAATTGTTACCTCTATATTTTAAGACACGAAGATACTTTTTAAATAACTAAGTAAATGATGAACGCGTAAAACGATATTTATAAAGGATCAAAATAACAAAAATATATATACCTTTCTGCATAAATTTGTGAAGTAAAACGTAAAACTGCAGTATTTGATTGGATTTCTACTACTCGGCCACCAAAGTTTTCAGACAATTGTTTAAGACGACGCTTAACGGACATAACATCTTGATCTTCAGGAAGATTACTAGCTAGTAAGTCATAACATGTGGTAACCTGGAAGGAACATAAATATTACGAAATCCTAAAAATACCCACATTTTTATACAATTAAAGGTAAAAACAAACAAAAGAATTATTGCATTACTTCACAGTTAATTCCAGGAAAAACAAACACTCTTATATGTATACTTCAAACATACACATACATGACGAGTACATAGAAATGTTAGTAATAATGAACGAATAAATACACATATATAGTTCTAGTAAATAATAAATTACATAAGAATAAAAACACGCATGAAATTTATAATAAAGCAGTTTATTATGTAAAGTAATTTTAGAAAGTTTAAATTTTTTCATATTACAAAAAAAAAAGAAATATAAAAACGAATAAGAATACAGTATCTGAAAACAAATTTTAATATTAACAAGTCCATTACCTCCACAGTCCTGGACGGCAGTGATTCCATTAATTCTGAAAAGTCATAATGCTCATTGGCACAAAGTATTAATGCTTCAGAAGTATTCTTCATATGTAAAAGTATCACATGGATTCTTTTTCTATAACGTAAATCACTGAGATCAGCAGCAAAATTAATATCACCAGATATTAAAATTATAGCTGCTGGACTTCCATGAATATCAGCAAACCTCCTAATAGATTGTTTGAGCTTTTCATCAGCAGCATTTTTACACCTTGTAGCAACATGTATTAAATTAATCTAAATCACATAAGATTTATGAATGAAACATTACATTATAAATGGAATTATCTAGGATATATAATAAAATCTTCAAAGAACACATTAAACGAATTTACCTGAGCATCGTTTAATTCCTTCACGACCTGACTACTTTCTTTACAAACATCACAAACTACAATAAATTCTGCTTCCCTGTAACCACTAAAAAATTTGTCTCGAATTACTTGTATTGCAGCCATAGCAGACTTTCCTTTTGGAACCTGTAATAATTTTACACAAACGTGTATTTTATATGCTCAAGTAATATATTTTGTTAATTTTGTTTATGTAACAAGGAATTCTTCTATAAGTAAATAACATTCTGTAATTTATTAAAATAAAAATTGAAAATATATTTTTTAAATTTGAAGTACCAAGAAATAATTATGTCAATGCAATTGAAAGATCTAATTCCATACTAACATGACAATTTTCTATATCCCAAAATACACCAATAGGTGGAAGATATATTGGAGATGCAGGCAAATTGACTGGACTGTCATGATGTAAAAAGGAATGATCATATTTATAATGGCTAAGCAATGGTGAGGCAGATGCTTTATTTTCAATTTTAAAGCTGTCTTTATTGGTGCTGATGCTATCCAATGACCGAGGTATGGTACTTTGAGCATTTTGCGATAAAACTTTCTGTGCAAATAATAACTGTATTAGTCTCTCATTTAGATCTTCAATTTCTTCTTCGTCATTCGCACAAAGTGCTTGATAATCCATAATATTTTGGTCTGCCATGTGTTTTATAGAATATCATTTATCATTCCAATATATAACCTATAACCAAAATAATACAGACGATAAAATATATTCTACTGGAAAACAGAAAGTAAAACTTTCTACTACTATGTAACAAACACAATAGAAGCGAATAATAAAAAATTTACGATGAACGTGTAAAACGACGTTATCGTAAAATTGATAAACTTTAGTATCGCATTTTGATAAAATACATATATAATGTTATCGCTAGTATCGTTGAATCTATAATAATAGTACATATAAATGCAATAATACAATATAATACAATATACAACTGATTCGTATATTACCTAAAATATTAACTCATTACAATCTTAAAGTTTGTATTGAGTGTGTAGCCATACAGAACGTTGTCAAACTTAAGGTTGATGCAATTCTTTTAACAAGTTCTAGAAAATGCACAAAACATCGCACGAATTAAAAACATAAACGTACGTACACATGCATCGTACTAATTCATGACCAAAACTCATACCACATACAGGAAGCAAACACCGAGTAAAGTAGCGAGTAACCATCCGATTTACTGTCTCTCCCGCTTCTTGCGCAGCACGCATGCATACATGTTATAGGCGGTTCTCATCAAACGGTGACTACGTCTCTTGCATCACTATACTGCATCCAATAGGCGCACTCGAGGTAAATAAAATCACGTGATTTCGACCAGTATAGCTTGTGTAGTGTTGTGTGACCACGCGAACGTAGCCACAGAAATATGTATAATCGGTAGGTAAATTAGGAGCGAAATTCAAAAGCGGATGGTTATGCGTGATTGAGAGAATATCGTTAAGAATGCGCGATGCTGGTGGCACGCGTGGGAAAGATCTTGGGTAGAGCTCGAAAACAGGAAGAGGACATCAATTAACAGACCCCGAAACGAATCGCGAGTTTCTTGTAAGTCACGTAATCTTTTGAAAAGGCCTTGTCCTTTGTTAGTCTTTAGGAGTGTCGATCGACTCCAGAGGTGTTGGCGACGCTAAGGAAGTCATAAATTTCCTTCAAGGGTAGTTTTCTCGATCCTCGGAGCAAAGCCTACTTTCTTTTCCCACGTAGGCACCCCGCTGTGTAACGGAAAAGCGCGGCTCCACCGAGTTTCCACCATCACCCGAAAACGGTGGGAAAGTTAGACGCCGATTCGCGGGGGCGTATGTGTACATCAGAAGGACGACCTACCGCTTGGATCTGATGCATCCTTCATCCTGATTGGACTAGGAGGATTTGGCCAACGACTTCGGCGAGGACCTCGGAGGAGACTTTGAAACGCTACGGGCATCAGATTGTCGATTTTCATTTGAAAATAAAGTACGAAGCAGAGATGCCAGAAAAGCACCGCCGGGTGCACACGCACACATGCCAGATACGCGTACGTGAGCTCGTGGAGTTTCGGAAAGTCGACAAAGGCAAACTGACGCATGCCCACTTTCTCGATTCTCCGAAGCTGCCCGAAGTAATTTCGGATCGCCTCGTGGGAGTCGAGAGAGAAAGGCTCACATTTGCCTTCTCGCTCTAAACAACTGAAATCCGACCTCCCGTCAACGGCATACGATTTGGATTCTCGAGCCGAGATTCTCGACTGCCCAGGCATTTTTACTTTCCGACCTATGTAGGCGCACATAAGCAAAGTACCCATAATGAAAAAAAAATGTTGTAAAATTTATTTTACGGAAATACACGTTTTAAAACCCCCTGATCATATTTTAATTATTGAAAAAAAAGAAACTTTTTTTATTAGTCCCATGTCTGAGCACACATATGTATATTATTAATACGATTTTTGAAAATCAAAATACTTTAAGATTGAAAATTAATAAATTAAAATGAGATTCCACTCATTACCAGTATTGTGCCCGCTGTGGTATTTTTCAATAAGAAGAGTTTTTACTTTTATAACATAAACAAAACAGTAGAATTAATAATTGCAGAAATTAATTATTAATGATTTTCCTCGATTGTTTTGAAATAACCGTATCAATTTGTTATGACGAACTAAATAGAACTAACTAGAAACAAAGGAAAAGTGATCCCGTTTGCCAGTTTAATACAAAGTATGGGTTGTATCTTAAATTTTAAAAGGACATAGTCGAATATTTTTAAAGGTACAAAACATAGCGTTTCATTGTAGAACAGTAACATAAGTTAGCAGGTAATGTCATAAAACTGTTTTCCCCAGCTATATCCCTTTTTACCTGAAGTATAAGGTAAAAAGTACGAGCTACAAGGTACGACTATCCGAAAATCGTTCACATTTTATCAATGTAAATGAAGCGGCCTTTCCATCAGAGTTAAATACAAAATTTTGTAATTTCTGTGAAAACAAAACTTTCAGTAAATGTACGTGGTGCTTGAAATTTTTATGTTTTGACTGTTTTTGTGAAAAGTACCATCCAGATTCATGTACTTCGTACATTGAAAATAACATATGTTAAATGTAATCGGTTAAATTTAACTTTAAAAAAAAATATTCGAAGGTCAGACAAAAATATAATGTCATATTTAGTGTACGATTAAAGTATGATTGAATAAATAAAAAAAAAAAGTTCAAGCAGGGTTCGAACCAGCAGAGCAGAAGAAGTTCGGAACTTGCAGGCAAAGACCTCATCACTCACGCCACGCTCATTATTGGTGAACATAGTTCTATTTCTGAAAATAAGTACCTGTAATAACTTTAATAATATCTCAAAGTAAAACCTAACCCAAAACCTGGTACCATTCCAACTTTTCCTTGTTAGAAACGAGTTTTCAATTTGTCTTAGCGAAAATCGCAATCACATTTTGCACATTATTCTAAAACATTTGTGGTATTCGTTTTCAATGCGATTTAAGTAAGCATGTAATGTATAAGATTTCATTTAATGTTTTCTTTTCTAGAGAAGATAGAGAAAAAGTTTATATAATTTTTTTTATATAAAATTTAATTCGTCCTAAGATTTGTATGAAACATTTAAAAGATTTTTTATACACTATGTCTATATATCGGAACAACTATGAAACAAGAGGTATAATCTGTAAGGAGTGTATGTGTGTGGCTAGGAGAACCGTTATCGTTTGCGTCGATAGGAGTGTTTAGTCTAAGCTAGAGTAGGTATCGAGTGAGGTGTTTAGGTTTAAGCTGAAATACGTTTTAGAGACTGCGTCTCGAACGTGCGTTTTGTTTGACTTTGACTGCAGGAACGTCACTCTGTATCGAACGTTAGTCGAGAGCAATCACAGTTTTACGTTTACGTTTTATGTCTTTCTTTTATGTTCTTTATGTTAAATAGTTAGTAAATATTAAATAATATAATTACATCGTTACGTTTAGTGTTCACGTATTTGAATCCGTCCACACGCCTTTGAAATGAGAACATAAAACTTAAATGTAAAGTTTCATTTAAATTCATTCAGCTATTTATATTCAATCGTATTAATAATATACATATGTGTGCTCATACATGGGAATAAAAAAAAATGTCTTTTTTTTCAATAATTAAAATATGATCAGGAGGTCTTAAAACGTGTATTTCCATAAAATGATTTTTACAAAATTTTTTTTTCATTATGGGTACTTTGCTTATGTGCGCCTACATAGGTCGGAAAGTAAAAATGCCTGGGCAGTCGAGAATCTCGGCTCGAGAATCCAAATCGTATGCCGTTGACGGGAGGTCGGATTTCAGTTGTTTAGAGCGAGAAGGCAAATGTGAACCTTTCTCTCTCGACTCCCACAAGGCGATCCGAAATTACTTCGGGCAGCTTCGGAGAATCGAGAAAGAGGGCATGCGTTAGTTTGCCTTTGTCGACTTTCCGAAACTCCACGAGCTCACGTACGCGTATCTGGCATGTGTGCGTGTGCACCCGGCGGTGCTTTTCTGGCATCTCTGGTACGAAGTTAATTTGAAAATAGCTCTTGAACATAGTTTTATTTAAAACTCCCACACTCCGACGAGCAGAGCGGTTCGGCGCTCCACGGGCACCAACCCGCGTTCTCATTTTAAATTCACCGTTAAAATACGCAACAGTAGCTAGATCAGATTATAATTGAGACATTAAGAGTATCGGTCCATTTATCTATCTTGCTCCCTTGCTCTAAGGCAGTCCACATGTGTGTGTAACTGTCGCGACGAATAGCGAGCTAGAGATCAATGTGTGAATACGTGTATCCCTTCCAGCTCTCCCGCATTCCTTCCGCGAGACTTCAAGTCAGCGGAGGACTGTACTTACGTACACTGGTACCAGCCGATTGGTCAAATGACTGGATACTAGTAAAAACAAGCAAGAACACTTTTTTAAATATTTTCTAGATGCAATGCGAAATCTCATTAGATTGCATACACAATGAAGTTGCTGCTCGGTTTCTACTACTATTTCACGGATTCCATGATTGTTGCTGCGCGGTGAGCCGTCTGAGTTATGGTCACTTCAAAAATTTCGATAACATGGCATCGTTAGAAGACGAATCGTTTAGTGAATTGAAATCGCATCTTGTAGATGCTATGCAAAAACCAGAATGGATTCCCTTGTCTCTTACTTTAGTCGAATATCCCCAAGGTAAGTACTTTTTAATTTTTTAACAGAACTTTAGCTCATTTCTACATTTTGATTACGTGTAAATTTTGTCGGTAAATATGTTCGTTTCGCCTAAAAAATATTTCATTTTTTTAAAAGAAACAACGATATTCAACTTATGTTATTTGTATGTTTTACGTTTAGAATTATTTTTTATTACCCTATTTTTTTTTTTTATCAAAATATTTTGGTTCGAAGTTTATGTATGTATTATTCTTTGTGTTTAGATTTCGTTTGTTATATTCTAACTTAAATTTTATATTTACAGGTGATCTGCTCGGAAAGTTCTTAGCTCTAATAAGTTTAATACCATTTGCTATTGTAACTGGTTTTATAACATTAATACTCTTTAGAAGAGATCTACATACAGTAAGTAAAAACTTTAGAAATAATAACTGTATTTCCGATTCATGTTTAAAAATGATTTTTATTTTTAGATTGCATTTTTTAGCGGTGTTATAATTAATGAGTGTATAAATTTTATATTGAAACATACAATTTGTGAAACAAGACCAATGGAACGTAATGTTTATGTTGAATATGGTATGCCATCAATGCATGCACAATTTATGTGGTTTTTTGCTGCATATATCATACTTTTTATATGCATCAGGTAATTTATTTTAATGTGGAAATATACGACAGAGTTATCTTTTACTTTTTTATATTTCTAGGTTACACCATAACAATAATAGTAGTGTATCGGAAAGATTTTGGAGACTCATTGTTATAGCTGCTTGTATAATTATTGCAGTTTTAGTGACGTACAGTAGAGTTTATTTATTATATCATACTAATTCTCAAGTCCTATGTGGTGCGATCATAGGAATTATCTTGGGAACGGTATGGTTTATAATAACACACGTAGTACTTACACCAATTTTTCCTATAATAGTTTCACGGTAGGTTACTATTTTCATAATTTAAATTGTGTACTGTTTGTAACTTGCGTATTATGAGTAGTATTATATTTTCAGGCGGATATCAGAGTACCTACTATTACGTGATACAACATTAATTCCTAATATTCTATGGTTCGAATATAGAAATATTCGTACAGAAGCACGAGCACGCTCACGAAAACTTGTATCAATGAAGTTGCAATGACGTCTAATGTCTGGCCAATGGGCTGACAACAAATAGGAAATAAATGACTGAATAGTAAATGTTAAAAGAAAAGTGATATCATTCCTTCGGTCGGCCGAAACTAAAAAATTCAAAATTCGTTTGGCTCAAAGAAATGTCTTCAACCCTTTGCACTCGGAGACTTTTCTTCGACCACCTACCACTAATTCAAACACACTTTCTTAAGATTTAGATAGTAAAAACTCCAAGGAAACATATCTTCTTTTTTTTTTTAATTTTCCGCTTACCTATTTTGTCCTGTATAATCACTTTAAAGCAATAATCTCTTTGTGTTCCTTTAGAAGGTACATCCAAATTGTTTGCTAGATTTAAGATATCCTCTCAGAGGGGACAGCCGAGCGCAAAGGGTAATTACTGGCGCCGAAGTTTGTTTAAAGAAACATTTAAATGTATAAGGTATTAGTACAAATTTTGTATACAAATTTTCACGTTTATACTACTATACGTATACGTTTTGATGATTAAGTTTTTATAATTTTGCATAAATTATTTCTCAAATAACATTATTATCTTCATTAACCATCACGGTTAGATACATATTCATAACATGTCCTATTGTTTTCTAAAGACAAGTTTTATTTGTAATTTTATAAACAACTATAATTGACTATTTTAAAAAATAAATAAAATTTAGTGCAATAACAATAAAATATGCAATATATAAAATATTAACTGATATTAGGTAATGATCGTTTATTTAACATTTCCAATGTAAATTAAACTGGCGATACTTTGTTAATACCAAACACAAAGTTTAAACAAAGGATGTTAGTAAGACTCATCACTACTGTTCGAAGTTATTATATCCTAGTTTTAGACAGAGTTGTTATTAAATTGTTAAAACTACATTTTTTATTATTTATTTTGTACGTCACTTATTAAACATGTGTAAATACTTTGTCAGTACGTGTCACTAATTTTTTGTTTCATGTATATAAATATAAAATACTTTTTCATCATTTTTATAATTCCAAACATTGTATGTAGTTCCTTTATTTACTTCTAAAGGCTTCAATGTTTATTAAAATTCATATACCTATTTCATATTAAGCAATTAAGAAAAAAAAGGCATAAATAAAAGTAAGTAAGCATTTAAAAGAAACTGAATGCTATATACATACAATAAATTAATAATTTATTTTAAATTGAAAGCTGATTAGTTTACACATTAATTATTGAACAAGGTGGCATCATTTTAGCTATATAGTTTATACATATTATACGTTTGTATTTGGTGCTGGGTGTATTAATTTTGCTGTAAAAGTAATATAAAATTTATTACCTTATAAGTCGATCGTTATTATGTTGCAAAGTTAAATATTATCAATGTAGCAATTGTATAAAATTTAACATATAAAATAAGTAAAAAGTAAATATTGCATTAATGCAAAATTATCACAGTGTAAATATGTAATAACATTTTATAAGGAAACTTTAAATAAAGTTGATGCACTGTATAATGGATTTTTATAACATCTTTTAAAGTTCTAAATATGATTATATATATATCTCACCCAGATGCAGAATTTATTGTACATAACATTAAATTTTATGTGAATTGAAATAAAAAACAGTGCGTTTTACATTTTAATAACTGTTTATAAGTTAACAAAGATTATTTAATCATAAATAAACACGGTATATATGTAACAACGCAATATCGATTTATAATTTTAACCGGATACGGGATAAATGATTCTTCAACGATATCGAGGAATCGAGATTTAAGTTCGACAATATGTCCGAAAACTGCAAAACGCAGATAAGAATTCAAAATCGAGCAGAGGTTCGAAGTTGCTTATTGAATTCTTATTGTCATACTTGATATTTAAACTTAACAGTACCAAAACAGCAAGTTAATTTGGAAGAAGATCGGTGAGTTTCATCAGAATCAGTAATATAAATTTTTAAGTGATCAAATAAATAAGTAAATGACACTTCACGTTATCGTATAAAATTAATATTTAATTTTTACTCGATATGTTAAACGTATCAACCTTTTTGTTGTATCGTAGATTAATTAAATAAAATTTGTGCATTTAATATAAAATTTGTTTGACTGTCGAGGTTACTGTATACTTTTCAATTATATTTTTATTCATATAAATCAAAAATATATGTGAACTTGGTAAACATTGAGTTAATATTATTAATATATTACAGTTTATACTAGAGCATAAAATTATAATCACTGACAGAGTAAAATTTTCAATAATTTTGATTGTTAATTAAATTTTTATATTAACTGTCAAGTCATTTGTTTTTTGTTTTCATACACTTAAATTAGAAGGTCTGAAATGTATTTAATTATTTTAGGATTACAGTAAATTCTTTAAATCAACGCTGAAGCAGTTTTTCTTTCCTCAATGAAACCTGTTCTGACATGTCTTACACTGAATTGGAACATGGTTATCAGGTACATAATAATACTATTCATTTTTTGAATAAACTTAATGTTTTACTTATTCTGTAAATTAAATTGTTATTTACTAATTACTACTTTTGACAATTTGAATAACCGAAGTACATTTTATGACTGTTCTTTGCCTGAACTTTTACTATTGTAGAGTACATTACTTAAAGAAAAGATTATATCATTACATTTTTGTTCTTAATAATACATTTGTTTCTTTTTAGTCAATTGTAATGTTAATATTAAAATAATTATGGAAAGAGCATAGTTAAACAGTATCCATTTTAATCAATGTAAAGTTTCGTTTTAATCAATAACTAGAATATAAGTTTCTTGCAATATTACAATCATTTTAATTGAATGATAATCGATCAATAGGGTTTACGGAATGCCACTCGACCAATTTTTTATGTAGGAGACATAAACACGGTACAACCAACCCTTGTGGGTCCTGTTGCTTCTTCTATATATCGTTCATCAAAAAGAGTAAGTTTTATTCTATGTATTAATACAGAACACTTATTAAATCATTAACTTTGAATTGGTTGATCTATATATTAGTAAGTTGAAAATTATATTGATATTAAAATTAACTTGATGCTATATTTTAAATTGTATTCTATTGAAAAAAAATTGTTAGGACATTAAAGAATAACATATGTTCAATAATTTATTAGGAATAGATAATATCACAGAAATATATTTTATGTATTATAGTTCGAAAATACTTTTTATATAAATTTTAATCAATTTATGTTTATGATTCATTATGTAAAGTTATATATAAAGGTATGTGGAATTTACCTTATTTTTACATTGTAAATATTACAATGTTTATGAAGAAAGTTAGAAAATGATTTCATTTACAAGGAAATAAAGTTCATTATTATTTTAATAATGGATAAACAAATGGTTTTTAGAAATAATTAAAAAATTAGAGAAATGTATCAGCTACTTACATTTAAGTTGTGTAATACATATGAAATCGTAAGTATCTATATGTAATATTTCAATGCATACAATTGTAAGTTGTATTATTATATGTATTTTAACCAATTTATCTTCTTCAAAAGGCATATAAAACATTTTATACTAATTGTAATAATACTCTCATTATTAATTTTGATTGTTTTGTTATCTGCTCTACAAATAACCTAGTGACTTATAAAACCAAAAACATTTTCTTGGTATTTACTAGTCTAAAAATAAATTGGCATGAAACCTACATTAGATTTTGCAGTCTTCTGTAAACTCATGTGTAATGCATAAATTTCAAATATTATGTAATATATTAAAGATAATCCAGAAGTGATTAGTCCTAATATTGAAATAAATTAGTGTCTGATTTTATATTTAATGTGTCATGTGTTTTCCATGTGACTATAGTGAATTGAAATACAAGGTCATTGTCAACAATTTAGACATATTGTTGTATAAGTGTTACTACCAGTTAACTTGTTCAAGACTGGAACAAAATACATTGTAATCATAATGTTATTAACATAAATATATTATAATTTTATAAATGTATTGTAAGTATTTTTAAGTGTTTGAATGGTATTATTTATTGTACGTTGATATATATATTTTGAATATTTTAAACTTGGATCTATAATGGAAAATACAAATTCTTCGTCGCCTACAACAGTTCCTGATGTTTACATTTTCGATTGTGATAATGAAGCAGAACCATATTGGCAAATAATGGTAGAGTTTCTTTTTATTTATTTTTTTCAGCCTTGTATTTTATATGTTACTAAATCTGAATGTGTAATATGACAAGCTGAAGAAAAGAACTTGCACTGTTTTATTAAATTTAGTGTGTGTTACTCTTTTTCATTGTAGCTATTAATATTTTATGATTTTAAGTGTTTATATTGTTTAATTTTTTCTTATTTGTATTTAGCACTACTGTACTCTTCTCAGTAAACAATATTGTTCAAACATACGTATATACACTTAATGAACATTTTTGTTCAAAGAAGATCACTATATAATAATATTGGCTCATATATTTTATAAACCATCGTAGAAGCTGATACAATTTTATAGGCTGCGTAAAATGTGATATCCTAAATGCATAATTCTTTCTTTATCATTAAGCAAAGAGTTCTCTGTTTGTTTACTTATATTCATTCTCGGTTAAACACACAGTTACCTAAGCAGTAATGTTAGCTTTAGAAGAATCAAGAAATAATTTGGAGCTTACAGTTACCTATGATTGTTAGCTTCATTTATAGTCATGATATGATACCAAAGTGAACAGTGTTTGTGCTAATAACAAAATTTTCGTACATGACAATAAATAATATTCGTTTATAATAATAGTATACTGATATAATATTTCGAATTATTACATTAAATTCTCTTCAAATTTTCAGACAGCCCAGAATATTTAGAAACAAAGAAAGTCCAAGGGTAGGATATGATAAGATAAAATAATATATAAGTATATCTGTTGGCTTAGAAATTATTGTACAAGATATGTAACTTAATTGCGTATTATACATATTTAAATAAACTTCTTAATTTTAAAATATATCAGTGTTGGTGGATAGTACAGTGCAATGTACAATAATAAATTCTAAATTATTAATTTGCAAACATAATTTTTTAAGTGTAATATGTAACTGAATTAAATTTAAATATAATTAATAATATGTTAAAGTGACTAAAACAAAAAAATTAGCCACAATTACTTTTTGTTCAACTGTGTGAAGCAGTACAGTAGTGAATTTATGTTGGTGAAGTGTTATTTAAGAAAGTATAGTTATGGAGTGGACATGGTTAAAAGACTGGTGGCGTCTTAAAAAATGGCGTAATAGTAATAAGGAACAGAATTTTATACCCACCTCTAATGTTGAAGATGTCACAGGCTTGGATGCACAATGCTATTGCGATGAGTGCTTTGTACGTTATAAACAATGTTTCAGCAAATTGTCAGATACAAGATTTCGTACTATATAAAATTATTGTTGCATTCTTCACATACATTTAAACGTTATTTTATATATATAGTTTTTTTTATTTTATGACTTGTAAGAAAATATCGTAATTGAGAAAAGTTTTGAAAATATTTATTTCTCAGTTTGACTGTTAACAAAAATAAATTTTTTTTTTCATAATTTTTATCTTTGATTAAAGGCATACGTTGAAAAGTATTGTGATGTATTCATTTTTGTTAATTTTTTAAATATATATTGGTATATACTAAATTTATAAGGTAATAAATATTGCTTAAATTGTATGTAACACAAATATAACATTAAGAGTACATTCCTGTAATAATATTTGCCTAGCTTCTTTCTTGCTATAAGCCAACCAAATGTCTGTACGTATTAAAAGAAAATGTGATTTTTTTATTTAAAACTACTTCAATTTTAGATATAAGAAATTAGAAAGAATAAATACTGTATAATGTATTTTAAATTTGCAAGCTATGATCAAACTGTATATTGAAAAATTATATATAATAGTGTTTAGTATTTCATTTATGTTATCCATTTTATACAAGCAATAATGCATCTGGTCAATCTGTAATTTTTATACCTAATTGCTTCAAGATCCATGTAATATACAGTAATGTAACTTGCATTTTGCTAAATATATTATATAGTTTTATATAAGCTGAATTATATATGGAAATGAATGACTATAAAAAAACATCAATAGGAAAGTAATAAGAATAATATTAAAATAATTCAATTATATAAAAGAATTCTTTATTTAGGCCGAGCTGTCGGACGGGTGTAGCAATGATGATAGTTGCATGGGTGGTAATGATTTGGAAGGGGAAGGAAAACAAGTTCTGGTTGGAGTCTGTGCGATGGCCAAAAAGTCGCAAAGTAAACCGATGAAGGAAATTTTAACAAGATTAGAAGAATTTGAATACATTAAAATAATAGTATTTCCTGAAGAAGTTATTTTAAAGGTAAGGCAAGAAACTTATATGATTTATTAACTTATTGCTTCATAAAAATATATATTTATAGGAATCGGTAGAAGATTGGCCAATTGTTGATTGTTTAATAAGTTTTCATAGTAAGGGTTTTCCTCTTGACAAAGCTATAAATTATGCTAATCTTAGAAATCCTTTTATTATCAATAATTTACCAATGCAATATGATATCCAGGTAAGTAAGTTATAATGAACAATGTCAAATATTGTAAACTACAATAATAAAATGTGTTTTCTTTATGTTTATTTAAATTTTGTATTTGTTAGGACCGCAGAAGAGTTTATGCCATCTTAAGTAGCGAGGGTATTGAAATTCCAAGATATGCTGTTCTGGATAGAGATTCTTCTGATCCAAAACGTATATAACATACATGCTATTTCACGTTTATCTAGTTTTATTTTACTTAGATATAAGAGTGGATTTATTGTAGATCATGAATTGGTGGAATCAGAAGATCATGTGGAAGTTAATGGTGTTACGTTCAATAAACCATTTGTGGAAAAGCCAGTATCCGCTGAGGATCATAATATTTATATTTATTATCCTACATCTGCAGGAGGAGGCAGTCAGAGGTTATTCAGAAAGGTATTGTCTAATATTGGTACAATTACTGAGAAGACAATTATAGGATAATAATAATTAAAATACTATTTATCTTTATTTTATAGATCGGAAGTCGTAGTAGTGTATATTCACCAGAATCCCGGGTACGCAAAACAGGCTCATACATTTACGAAGATTTTATGCCTACTGATGGCACAGATGTTAAAGTTTATACCGTGGGTCCGGATTATGCCCATGCGGAAGCAAGAAAAAGTCCTGCGCTAGACGGAAAAGTTGAAAGAGATTCGGAAGGAAAAGAAATTCGCTATCCTGTTATATTAAGCAATGCCGAAAAACTAATCAGTAGAAAAGTGTGTTTAGCTTTCAAACAAACGGTTTGTGGTTTCGACTTGCTCAGGTACACAGAACTTCAATTGTAATGATACTAAAGAGAAGAATATTATAGATGTGAATCATTTTTAATTAGTAGTATAAAACCTTCTTTATAAATAGTGTATATAGACATTAGTTTTATTATAGGGCAAATGGTCAATCATTCGTGTGTGATGTAAATGGATTCAGTTTTGTAAAAAACTCAAATAAATATTACGATGACTGTGCTAAGATTTTAGGAAATATGATTCTAAGGGAGTTAGCACCTACTTTGCATATTCCGTGGAGTGTTCCCTTTCAGTTGGATGATCCACCTATTGTACCCACTACATTCGGAAAAATGTAAGTTAATTTCAGTTCTTCTTATTTCTGAGCTACAATTTAAATAATACCGCAGGATGGAATTACGTTGTGTTGTTGCTGTTATAAGACACGGGGATAGAACTCCAAAACAGAAAATGAAAGTGGAAGTTCGACATCCAAAGTATGTTTTTAATACTTATGCTAAAAGGATACATATTTAAAAAATGTCGTACATTGTTTTTCATTTAAAACAGATTTTTTGAAATATTTGCAAAATACGATGGTTATAAACATGGTCATATTAAATTGAAACGGCCTAAGCAGTTACAAGAGATTTTAGATACCGCGCGTAGTCTATTAGCTGAAATACAACATCGAGCCGCGGGGCCAGAATTAGAAGAAAAGCAAGGAAAACTTGAACAACTAAAAAGCGTTTTAGAAATGTAAGCACTATGCTTTTAAAGTAACTTTTCTTTTGATCCGAAAATACCACGAGAAGTTAAAATTATATTGTAGGTACGGTCACTTCTCAGGAATAAACCGCAAAGTACAAATGAAATATCAACCAAGAGGACGACCAAGGGGAAGTTCCTCGGATGATGGTACAAAGAGTAACATTTCTCCCCTCAGTTATATTAAGAGAATAATATTAACAAATTTGATAATTGATTTCTTTCTTTTCGTTAGATCGACTTGGAGAACCATCGCTTGTCTTGATCCTAAAATGGGGTGGAGAATTAACACCAGCTGGTCGAATTCAAGCAGAGGAGTTAGGAAGAATATTTCGCTGCATGTACCCTGGTGGTCAAGGTAGACACCTTAGTGGTTCGTATCTTATGTTCATACGCTTGTCATACTCATTTTTAAGTTAATTCATGTGTTACGAAAACGTGTTTATTTAATAAGTTTCATCTGTTGGCTGAACTTCAACTGGGTCTGTCTTTCGCCTGAATTTCTTGATTAAGCGTATGCATAATACGTTGTTGTTAAAATTGTGCACAGTATATATGTATGTATATGTATACGTATATGATATATTCCATGAAATAGATTTCTGGGTTAGGCGTGTAAACGTTAGGCACTTGACTTTATTAAAAAGTATTTATTCAATACTACATGTATATGTAATGATGTTAAGCAGGTAATTGCATATTTATAATTTCACATTTCAAATCAAATCGCAAATAACATTGATGTAGTTAAAGGATAGTAAACATTTTATTCTTTCACAAAAAAGCATTTGATTCATAGATAATTTCAAATATTATTTCAGAGGAAGACTCAGAGATGTTACCAAACCACGGTAACTTTTTATTATGAATCAACGCTTGTTCGTAGTATGTAGATTGTGTTACAATGCATAGAAATAGTAATAGTGTGTTTAATCTTTAAATAATTCGTATTGTGTATGCACAAAGATGTTAAGACAGCGTTCACAAGGTATTAAAAATAAAGCACTTAAAAAATATGCTATTTCTATGCTGGTTCTATGTGTACTCTACTATGTCGTAATGAATTGCTTCACAATTCAGTGGTAGCTGCTTTTATATATTTTGTAGCCTTAAATGTTTATCTATTCTATTCTTTAATAAGTCTGTTAGTTGTGTTTCACTGTCCATACAGTAACATGTAAAAATTACACATATACAGTGCAAACTTACCTGTACACGCTATTACATATTCTCATAAATAGATTTTGGCATCTCCATTACTTCATCGAAACGAAAAATAAATATATCAATCTATTGTAAAGTTTATGTGGTATTAATGAAAAATATAATACCAAATGTATAGTAATTATACATATGTTTAATAGTAAAAGGTAAACATCAACATTTCATAATTACTGTCTGTATGTATGTAAACTGATATGTAGTTGATGATTTTTATAGCAGTCTATTATGATCTTCTTACCAGAACACAGATCATACCCAGAATCATATTCATCCTTTACGTTTGTTAAAACTTAAAGACATGTTTTACTATTTTATGATGCTTTATTCTTTTCTAACGTTTTTGTTATACATATATAGGTGACTATGCTGGTGCTCAAGGTTTGGGTTTACTTCGACTTCATTCGACTTTTCGTCACGATTTGAAAATTTACGCAAGCGATGAAGGAAGAGTTCAGATGACAGCAGCTGCTTTTGCAAAAGGTTTACTCGCATTAGAGGGCGAATTAACGCCCATATTAGTACAGATGGTTAAGAGCGCCAATACTAATGGTCTCTTGGACAATGATTGTGATAGTAGTAAATATCAAAATATGTATGTAAGAAAATTTTATATAAATACTATAAGTAAAAAATGTATTATTTTTAAATTATTTATAATTTGTAATAACGTATCCTTATAGGGTAAAAACACGACTCCATGAATTATTACAACAGGATAGAGAATTTACTCGCGAAGATCGGGAACAAATAAACCCTGGGAATGCATTGAGTATTAATGCAGCCATGGATTTTGTTAAAAACCCTGTTCGATGTTGTCAACACGTACATATTTTAATCCAAAAATTAATGGATATTGTGCGCATTAAAAAAGATGATCCGAAGACTAAAGGTACACATTCACATGGTATTGTACAGTCAAACCACCGTATTCATGAGAGTTGTACACCTCTCCGCGAATAATAGCAAATAATTTTGATTGGATTCTTCAATTCTAATTTGTACAATTTGTAACATTGTGGAAATTTGTTTTAATATCTAGATTACTTTCTTGTCTGTTTTTTGTTTTTTACCGTGACAAATTGCGGTTACGAAAATCGTGAATACGGAGGTTTTACCGTATGTCAAAATTATTGTTATCTATAAAATATGTTTAGATGCAATTCTTTACCATGGAGAAACATGGGAATTAATGGGCCGTCGGTGGGGAAAGATTGAAAAAGACTTCTGTACCAAACATAAGAGATTCGATATATCAAAAATTCCGGACATTTATGATTGTATAAAATATGATTTGCAACATAACAATCATACATTGCAATTTGAGCATGCAGAAGAATTGTATATTTATTCCAAATATTTGGCAGACATTGTTATACCCCAGGTTGGAATTTTTATAATTCATAATTATTTCAATTACCTTTACACAGTTCTATTTACATGTTTAAGTTTGTATATTTGTAACAGGAATATGGATTAACGGTGCAAGAGAAACTTACAATAGGGCAAGGTATTTGCACTCCTCTTCTAAAAAAGATAAGAGCGGATTTGCAAAGAAATATTGAAGAATCAGGAGAAGAAACGGTTAATAGGCTCAATCCAAGGTACAATTATATAAAATACAACATAAAACTCGCTGTAACTCGAATAGTAGGTTAAATAGAACATATGTCTGCATGAACATTCATTATTGTTTTTATGCGTAAAATCAATTGCTGAATAAAACAGTTTATATAGGCCTTATATACCATGGTATACTTTGTACACTACGAAATTAAATATTTTAGGTACTCTCATGGAGTTTCGAGTCCTGGTCGTCATGTACGCACAAGACTTTACTTTACAAGTGAAAGTCATGTACATTCATTGTTAACAGTTTTGCGTTACGGTGGTTTACTTGATGTAAGTAATAGTTATTATTTGTTACATTTTTCTTGCGTTAAAGACAATGAAAAAGTATTTTTGATATATTAATAACAGGTAATGAAAGATGAGCAATGGCGCCGGGCTATGGAGTATGTTAGCATGGTTTCTGAATTAAACTATATGTCACAAATTGTAGTTATGTTATACGAAGATCCAACTAAGGATCCCAGTAGCGAAGAACGTTTTCACGTTGAATTACATTTTAGTCCCGGTGTTAATTGTTGCGTGCAAAAGAATTTGCCACCGGGACCGGGCTTTAGACCTCATTCGCGCAACGAAAGTAGTCATAATATTGTAAGTAAATTATATAAAAAATATTTTTAATCGATAATTATAAATGTATTGAAAATTATATCGATCATATTCTCAGGGTGAAAGTGGTGGTGGTTCTGCTCAAGATACTATTTCTCAATGTAGCGCACGAATAGAAGAAGAAGATGTAGAACTAGGAATTTTGGAAGATGATTTCATGAATCCGTCGATACAATCCGTATGTATGAATTTCCATTAGAACGATTATAAAATACTTTATGCAAATTGTTTTATGTTTTTATACAAATTTTGAAGGATACACCTCCTCCAGTGATGGAAACAGATGTCACAGATTTAACTATGGATAGTCCAACAACTAGCAGAGCTGTTGATATGATGGATCTAGATCCTAATATGATGGATGAACCATTTGATAGTGGTTTCTTGCAAAGTTCGGCACCAATTCCAATAAGGTAAAATTTTATCGTAAATATAAAATATTTTTAATAACTTGTTTAACAATTTGATTATTTAGTGCTAGAACTGTAGCGGGCCATGAAGCAGCTAGACTTGGTAGCCAATTAGCTGCTAGTCAACGTCAACGACGGAACGCAGAGAGAGGTGGAATTGTTGAACCACGTGCACGTAGTTACGATCATCAAAGACAAGATAAAGCTGAAAAAGGTAAGCGTGTTCAGTGTTGATCACTGATTAATAATAAGTAGATGTATCTTTGTAGGAATTATGAATCAAAGCTAATATCTTTGGTTATGCATGACAGTGACACCTATAAGTATTTAACTTTTTGCTTAGAACAACGGAAATAAAACTTGTTTTTAACAAAAAGTTAAAAAAGACCTTTGTAAATATTTGTCATATAAATTTTGGTCAAGTACTGCCAAAATAAAATTGTATCACAAGAAGGTTTGATTTCGTTTCTGATTCTTCATTTTTCGGAAATGTATGGTTCAGTTTGGTCAACTGAAATTTACAATCAGATGTTATCACAAAGCGTGGTATTTTTCATGTCTTTTTATAGCTGCGGACAAGCTGCAGTATCAGAGCTTGGACGCGGTCAACAAAGAAGGTATGTCATTCCGACTTCCTGTTATAATTTCAGCAGGAAGGCGTTAAAAAGAGTGCATTTACGTTGTATATTATCCTAGTCAATGATCGTTGAACTGGTTTCTATCAAATCTAAAGTTTTGATCGTTTCTATTTTTACATTTTAATAGAAAAAATTTATTCTAATTTATTTGTAAATTTTCTTACAAAATATTTAGATTGTCAAATATTAATCTTCGCTTTTGCGATAGTAATTTTTAGTTGCGTCATAGACTGCTGTAATTTGCACCTTTTACTTCTTTTTTTCTATGAATGTAGCATCCCCACATATTTATTGGTATTACAGTATTTATTATAAAGCATTTAAACTATTTAGTGTCTCATAGTAACTTTAGAATTAAGTACACACACACACATACACACACTTGACTATTTAGCAATATAGTAGTTCTGTAGTGTCACGTCCAATCCTTAATATTACATTATTTTTATTTATTATGAATACCACTTTCTTTTGTATTATATTAATTTTCACGTGTAATGTAGTACATGAGTGAAATAATTTATTTTTTGTTTTCAAGTATTATAGTATTGAGAGATTGTTCAGTTTCAGTGTAATTTACGAGCCAGAGCTTAAGTAACAAAACTAATTAAACAAAGACACAGATACATATAGACTGAAACAGGAAAAATTCAGTTGAAATAACTCTTTGCTCAGTGATAGTTGTGCGCGTGGAAGCCAACTAATTTATATCGGCGACTGTTTGAGTTACATATCAACACTAAATGTAATGTGATTCATTCAGTTGTCTTCCTGACTCCTTCATTCCTAAGCTCACTGTTCCATCGAGATTCGCAATTAACAGTGCTTAGTTATTTTCTAAGATCATATCTGCTTTTTCTTCATATGTACTTGTTAACGTGTGGATTTCATTGCATATATATCATCTTTACAGTTTATGTTTTCTTTATTACTTGTATCAAATTTTGAGGAATATTATTTAAATATTTGTTCAATGAAGTTAGTGTTAATATTATTTCACTATTTGAACTCAGCTTAGTAGCTTCTATTATGTTAAAGTTTTATATATTTATTTTTGTTTGCTATCATGTCATTGTTTTATTATTTTATTGGTGTTAGAAATTCTAAATATAAATTAAATTTAATCTTAAAACCATTACATGATTAGATAGATGTACGGTAGCAATCAAAAATTCGACCACAGTTTAAAATAATTATATACAGTAGTGTCTGCATAAAAGAAGTCAATATATAAGTTCTTAAAAATTTTTGAAATCTTTGGTTGCCATCGCTATACAAATTCACGACCATACATACTAATCATTAATGAAGTGTTCTTGTATTCAAATTGATGTTGTCTGGTTGGCTACTGGTTGTATGGCTATTGTGTGCCATGGATGTATAACACTAATTGAAGTTGTGCCTTCTAATTGCAAGTAGGTTAAAGTAAATATCGTTTTCTATATATTTTAGTTATGTTATTCCCACATTGGTAATGAATCTTTTTTTCAAAATGTCATTCATAATAATTTGATACTATAAATACCTTTGATTTAAAGAATTGCTAAAAAAATTATCGAAACCATTTAAATTTTACATATCACAAATATCTTCAAAAAGAAAATCTTCTAGCAGCTTTTCAAAGTTCGTATGATATTTTAAAGCTATTCATTGTTTGAAATACATCAAATTAAACATTGATGAATACTCTCCAAGAAAATAAATTCTCAAGATCCTCAGAGATGACTGTTGATAAAAGACTGGACATAGGTAAAGGTTCTTGCCAATGATTACTTTTATTTCGTCGGTAATGGGTTTATTTAATAGTCTATTTCTCTTCTTTTCTTTTCTTTCCTTCCTTTATATCCCATCCTGCTACTAAATTGCCATTCGTTCATTTTAACTGCATCATTTCATTCACAACCACGCATGTATCATACAGGAGAGCATGCTACAGAGTGTCGAACACAGAGATCTAGCCAGGCTTTGCTGCACGTGCCAATGGGAAAGTCAGTGGCTTTGTCGCACTCCTTCAGTTCACCAGAGTTACCTGTTCCTTCGACTGAAACCTTTACTTCAACACCTTTGGTGACTTTACATAATACTCCCCTAGTTTCACCGAACAGCAGGACTTCGGATATCACGAATATCGTGCTCCCAGTTCCCACAGTTCGTTCTTCGACATGTCTTGATACCGATTCTGAAGAGACTCGACCTCGGCCACGTTCTCAAAGTAAGAAATACGGACGTTCCCATACAGAAATGATTCTTCCCTGCGTCGAATGTAACGGTGAGTTGAGCGATCCTATGAAGCTGCCACGAAACAATCCGTGGCCAAAGTCTTCCCTTTCGTTATCCTGTCACGAAAGAATCCGAGATACCGCAAAAGGGCGAATCGAAACCGAGAAACGATCTCGTTCGTTGTCTCCCTACCTACCCAGATGTCTTTGTTATAACTGTAATGTATCAGAGCTGATATTGCGGAGCAGAGAACTACCACCTGTGGAACGTTCCAATTTCGACACCTACTTCGCTCGCTCGCTGTCGCATAAGTTTTTTAATTGTTCCTGTTACTTAAACTTACGTCAGGACGAATCTACTTGTTCCTCTTGCAGCGTTTCTTCCAATGACAGTTATGGAAATGTCAATGAATCTCGACAATCGGTCAACTTTGATCTAGACGTTGGGTTATTCCATGCATATCATAAAGGACAACGTTCTGTGTTCCTTGAAAGAGAGATTCCTAATTCTTATTGCTCAGAGTCTGCGTCTAGTGAACCTTCTGTGTGTAAACGTCAGATATCCAAGGAAAAGCAGAAGTGGAGACCCAACATGAAAGTAACTAAACGGATGTTTAATGGTGGATCTGTTGTTGAGAATAACCGTACGCCAACCAGAACGATATCCTGTCCCAATTTGTCTGTATCTGATATCCCTCCTCTTGTCAGTTCACTTTGTTCGATTAAAAGTTCCTCAGCCAGCTGTTCTCGGACACGCAGACATCGATCTTGTACTAATGTGAGTCTCCAACGGCACAGTAGTCTGGTAGAAGTACCAGATCATAGTAGTATGCTTTATCATACGTCCTCTGTGCACAATAATGATGTTCACAACTATCACGATATTCCTCGCAAATCTAACTATCGTACCAAGTGTCCACGTGCACCGTTCTCCCGACTCCAGCCTCAACGATCCTTCTCATCTCCAGACACACGACCTTCAATCATTCAACCTGACCCTACCTGCACAGCAAGGCGCCACCGTCACAGTATCTCCGGACAGATGAGTTATTTCAAGCTGTTGGGCTACAACATCAACAAGAAGCTAACTGGATCAGCGAACAGTTTGTTCAGCACCGCAGTTATCAGTGGATCCTCAAGTGCCCCGAATCTAAAGGACATGGTACCTCCTCATGCATCCGCTGTTGCTGGTGAGTTATACTCTCTATTACAAACAAAAAAATTAAAATCTTGAAATTAAAAGAAGACTTGCTGTACTAATTCATAATTTATAATTTAATGAATAGCCATAGATGGTTTCGGCGGTGTACCTCCAATAAGACCTTTGGAGACACTTCACAATGCACTATCACTACGTCAGTTGGATTCTTTCTTGGAAATGATGACGAGTGCTCCCTTGTTTCGAACACCTGCTTCTTCGCCTCCAAAATATCCGTCGCCCGCTGGATCAACGCACGAATCCGTTAATCAAACACTCGGTATTGGTGGAATCAGTCGCGAGTACCACTCTTCCGACCTGGAAGCTGTCAGGTACCGTAAGAAATTAAGTAAACCACCATTGTGAGTATTAAGCTTTTTTTTATTTTGTTTCGCGCGTGTTCTTTAGCAAAATAGTAATATCAAAAAGGTCGTGTCACCTTTTATCGTTGCTCAATGATTTTTAAATATTTCGTTTCTCCTACTTTTTAACTGCAATAATGTATTTTTAGATAAAAATGAAGTGATTTTCTTTTAGATACATCACACCGACTCCTATACAATACAAATCTTCAAACGACGGAGAAACTTGCGACATTAGAAATCAATTATCTCCAACTAGTCCTAACAGTGAGTATTTTTGATTCATACAATTCAAGATACCATTATTCTAAAAATGACATAGTATTGAAATCTTTAGGTACTGGATGGAATAGTGAACCACAATCGTTTCTATCATCTGAACCTTCGTCTCCTGCTCCAACTTCAACAGGAGAGTGTAGTATGTCCATAAGTCTAATTAGCAACGAAGGGTACGTAATAGTTAATCAATGACACTGTCTAACAAATCAAAATCTCAAACACGAATACGGAAGCAGAATTGATCTTATTAACCCTAATTTTCGAGAAACACAAATTTTGTTTAAAAAGCACAATTTTTACTTTTTTATTTACTTTACTTCATGTTTGACGTATTCTATGTTACAGAGTACAGTCTTTTAACACGGGAGCTAAATTTCCTACGACTCCTTGTCTGGATGTTGATTTCAACGAATTTTGCATGAATATTGATCAAGATCATAGAGAAAGTCGTGGTAGTGTGTCATATACGGATTATTATAGCAACGAAGACGGTCAAATTCGGAAATGTGGTTTTGGAGCCGGTTTTGGTAGTAATTTTCAGAAAATCATACGCACCGATGATCTTCCTATTGATAATATCGATGACGACGAAGACCATACAATAACATTAAAGCAAACTGAAGAACAAAAGAAACAGGATGTTAAAGAAATATTTGAACAAAAGGAGAATCTGAATATAAAGTCTAATAGTTACAAGAAAATTGGACGGTTTGTGTCACTTGAAAAATGTGAAACAAAAATAAAATCTACGCGTGAATGTAATCACTTTGTTTTGTATCTTTTTTTTATAGATTTCTTGTTGAAAGTATGGATATATCGGATGAAGACGTCAGGATCAAAGAAGTGGACGCTATATTTGACAAAGTAAAGCCGTCCATCTCTCAGAAAGCTGAATCTTCTAATGCAGAAAAAGGTCAGAAAAATAAAGATAAAAGTACAGAAATGATTCAAGACCAAAAAAAAACCCACCCTCCTAACAGTCATAAGAGGAAAATTTTTTCTCGGTCGCAAAGTGTTTCTGCGCCAAAAGCGGTTGTATCAAAGGCTGAAACGAACTTCAGTTATAAATGCACATCCAAATTAAGCTCACTTTCAAATATGTCGGGTAAAGATTTAGAAAATTGGAAGCAGAACATGATGCAACCAGAACCTCCTCCGACCACAGTAAACATAGAAGAACCAATCCTGACAGTTGCAAGTAGTTTGACAAGCAGCACTAGCGTAACAATAGGTTTCAATGTTGAAGAGCAGAAATTAGAATGACTTGACTCTTAAAAGTGTTATTTTTGTCTTTTATTATTGACGTTTATCCATAAATCTAGCTTTTTAATCATAGAACGTTATTTTACTAGATTAGTAACAAATAGATATTCTCCTTACACATAGTATTCAAAAGTTGTTGCTTTATATTTAAATACAACACACTAGCAAAATAGTTTGAAGCGAGAACACTAATAAACTGAAATTTATATTACGCGATCAATTAGAAATAAATTTCTACATTTCATTTGTAAACATACAAAATTACATTTCTATGTTACTTTTTCTTCATAGTTTTCGAAGATACTACAAATATTTTAAATGAATTTAATATCTTGAAAACATAAGTATTATACCGATAACTTTATTTAGTATGTATCCCCATAGCATACAGATGTACATATTCTTTTACCTTTTGTTTATTGATGAAGAATATGAGCTTTTCTTTGTGATTTAAAAAATGAATAAGAATTGCTTATTGATGGATAATATTAAAACTGACCCAATAGTGTTAACATTCCACTTTTTGGTTCTTCAAGTTTGTACTTATCACTTTGTAGTAGATTATTTTTAAATTTATGCTTGTATGTATTGATATAATAATACTTGTGTAGATAATATAGTTGAAATCCTAATATTCAATCGAAAGTAAAATGATCTAAGTTTGAGTCATGAGAACAAATATCGTTTTAAAAGAAAAAATTTGGAAATTATAATTTTTATCATTTTGAAGTTATGAAATGCCTAAATAATGTTTCATATAATTTTATATAATTAAAATATTGTTTCACTATGCTTTATATAAATTAAATGTTTACCGAATATAAATTATATATATTTTTACGACTCAGAATAATTCAGGAAAAGGAAATTGCTGTATTCTTTCTGATTCTTATAGTACGATTTTATAGAAGAGGTCTATTACAGTAATGTTGCAAATCATGTATGAAATCTATTTTCTCTTTCATTTCTAAATGATGTACCAACATTTTTTTCAGTATTAATACTAAAATTTAATATTCATTTCTTATTTATTCTATGTATTATTAAGTTGAAGTCTATTTTAGGGAAATTATTATGACTGTACAAATATTTAAAATTATATAAAATGTTAAATAAGTCATATATAATTGTTACATAATAATTGTTCCATAAAGAACATACTATTTTCAAAAATCAATATAAATATCTCACAGATTAATCTGATCAATGGAAGATGTACATACACTATTTTTCTTATGAATGTTTTGAGAATGCTTCTCATCAAAGAAAATATAATAGTTGAAATTACAGAGATATAATTGCAGTTTTTAAAAAATTACAGATATTGAAGATGCTATGTAAATTGAAGTTATTATGTTCCTAATTGATTTCTATAAATTTAGCAATAAAACTAGTACAACTACCTATACAGATTACTTCACCTAATTTTATTACTTGAAATATTTCTTCTACTCATAAAGTTTCAAATAGGAGTAAACAAATGTTTTGAATGCCTCCATCATTTCTTGTAGAATATATATACTATACATATATATATTTTTGTTATTAATTCAAGAGTAAAAGAAATATTTTGAGAAAATAGTGACATGAGATTGTGTATGTTATTTTAATTTATTTCTGAAGATATACCAAATGTTTGTACTCAATAGACCTTAGTTAGACAAGTAAAATTTTTTTTTGCTACAACTTTCTTGTTACTATCAAATTATGTCATTTATTTTTTATAGACATAGTTGACTATATTATCTATTTTGTTTTTACATTTTAAATTATAATATCACTTTAGATAACACATTGTCCTGAATCTAATATTATATGTTAGCAAGTAAATGTAACTATAATTTTTAGTATACAGATTGGACTGGAACATTGAGTGTTCATTACTACAGTTCATTAGTTTCTCACTGTTAACGAATCTCCTAAGTGTGATTTACAGTCTCTTGCTTTCAATATGTATTCACTGAAGACTGTAATCACAATCTCCCACATGCAATGTATTAATAATACATTTTAAAACATGTCATTTAAAGTTATAATATTACAACATTTTGTAAACATTAATAAATAACTCTTCTCCCTTTGTAAACACATTTGATCTTGTAGCAAGCAATACAAATTAATGTTACATATTTTCTGTTAAGCAAGTCACAGTGTAATAAATTGTATTTTATGTATTAATTAAATAACAATTAGTGCCTATGAAAAATATTAAAAATATAAAATGGTGTTTAGTTATAGACATGTAATTACAAAATCTTAGAATAAAGTAAATAAAACTTTTAAAAATAAGTTTTATCCAATTGTAGTTTTATTTATGATGTAGTAAGAATATCTGTGGATAAATTATTCAAAAATATCAAGTGATAAACCTCTTAAACCCTGCAGATGAAAGCAGAGTTATGCTTTAATTGATTATAATTGTAATAAACTACTGTAATTGCAATTATAGAGTACATTTTGTAATTATTAATAAAAGTTTATAATAAACTATTCCCTTCGTGTCCCACCATATACATATGAATAAAGCATTAGTTTTTTTTTATGCAAATCTTTCTTTACGATAGGTTAATGTGTTTTGCCGAAATATACCATTATCTTTTTCAGGTATTATTTTTATACAATACTCACTTTTTACTGCGTGTAATTTTAATATTCTTTTATCCAGTGGGTTATTGAGTGTCGAAGCTCGTCCACAACACTTAAAAGAATATTCAAGGACCACGGAACTCCCGCGATCTTTTTAAATCAGCCGGCATCCACAGAGTCTGCGCAGACACGCAATTACTCGGAGTTTGGGCTCCGCCAATCAAAATCGAGACATCTGCCGCCTTGCCGCAGAAGAAGCGACGCCGGCCCCGTGGCTGCTCATCCCAATGGAGATACCACCCCAACGCCCTAACCTCGCCAATATCCCCAAGAGCGATCCATGGCGGCAACGCTACGTGGAATATCTTCGCTAGATCGACACGCTAACCCCGGAGGAATAATAAACCAAGTAAGTCTAGGGGAATCCTTTCTCACCAACGCCAACGAATTTCGGACGTAACACTAGTAATACTAGTATTAGTAAAAAAATTCTTTCCAGCCGGTGATGTAACAGCGATAAGGACCGAGACTATATATATGCAAATACAGTAATGATTCTTAAAATGAACAATTGACTTGCAAACACAGTTTTTTCCTGGGCATAAGATACATTTTTACATTAATTAATAATCTACATAGTTTAATATTATCTGGAGCAGAAGTTTAAAACTTCGTTCCAGTACCAACTGGGCCGTGTCGTCGTTCCCAGATCATACGATGCTTTTGTTTCATGAATGCATTAATTGCGTTACACTTGATACCAAGGTCACCATCTATGTAGCAATATAAAATATATAAGTTAAATAACCTACAGAATATCTACTAGAACGCATTTCAGTATGTTCCTAGCAAACGGACCGTTCACCGATCGGGGTGAGTTACACGTCATTCGATTCGTCTAATCCAGTACATTATTAATATGCATTTCATTATTTGCGGAAATTCGTTATTTTTGTTTAAATTTGTCGGAAAGTTGCAATAAAAAAGTAAGGTTAAATATATTTTGATAGGTTCATACTGCCAATCGACCATTATTTGTCCTATAAAATAAGATCACTGCAAAACAGTATTTTTATCTAATTTTAGTTATATAATAATATGACATTGCTCATAATTGTATATTAGCATATATGTTAATTTTAAGACATTTGTAGCCGAGTTAGGTCTGGGTTAGGTTAGGAGACAGGAGGGGGACAATATTTTGTACCATTGCTGCACATACTGTCTACCTGACCTACTCCTGTACAGTATGTGCATAAAAAAATGACTTTTATGCATACATATTTAACAAATTGCGCATTTTACTACCTGGCATTTATAATTTACACCAGAAACACAGTAACGACAGTCATTTGTTTCTACTTGTGAACCTGTCAAAATATACTTAACCTTTGGTTTTTCCTGCAACTTTACAAGTTTAAACAAAAATAACGAATTTCCACAAATAATGAAATGCATATTACTAATGTACTCACCTCGATTGGTGAATGGTCCGTTTGCTAGGAATGTTCCAGTATTGCAAGCTCTTACATTTTACTTGGTATGCTGTAAGAGCATCTTGGTGTGTTTTAACTATTTCATCACAAAGCTCATGATTTTCAGGATTTTCCATGAAACAATCTTCTTGACGTAGTCTTGTTACATACAGAATCTCCTGGTCAACCAACCTAGTTAAAATTAATTGTACTCAGATACAACATGGATATAAAATCTTATATAAAGAATATAAAGCCTTTGGTATAATACTAAATAATTAGTAATCTAAAACTGAACATTTCGTTGTCACGTTTATAAAAAATAAGTTTACCAATCACGCTGAAATTGAAGTTCTGCTTCAACACGACAAGCCATATCAAGTTCATAGCATTCATCAATTGTTGGAACACGACGAAATTGTTGATGGTACCACGGATATTTCTTCTGATTCGCAACGACGATATTTTCTGTCAAATACAAAAAGTTTGCATTTTCGTTGATTTTTCTTTCTCTTTAAACCTATTAGAATAATAACATAACCAAATGGTTGATTAGATAATACCTCGGAAATAGACAACCGGTTTATCTATTATGTCGTATACAGACTTTATAAATCGAACAAACTTATTTGGTTCCTCTTCCATTTTTGTATAAATTAGTTATAAAAAACCAAATACAAAAATGATTTAATTCACTAAAAGACTCTAGTTCAGAATCTGACAGAGCCTTTATAATATAAAGGCCATACTCTGAGGCCGTAAAATGCACTTTTAAAAAACCCTATTGCCTAATCACCGATAGTCTGATATTTGGTATATTCTATATAATTATAATTTTTGTTATTTGTAAGTATACACTGTAAAAAAATATAAATTTTGCTAATTTCTTTAATAAAGCATGATATTCTTCAATTTTAACGTATAGTGAAATTTAATGGTTTCATTATTATTTCTCATAAACGGTGTATTATTAAACAAGAAATTATACTTGTAACTACTATGTTTAAAATATAATTACAATTAAATTGTTAAATATTTTTATACAATATTGTTCGTTTTTAAATATTCCTAAGTCTAGGTACTTTTCTGCTATAACGTTTGTAGACCTTGTTATTCTAGAGGTATATAAGGAAATTTCTGAAAGCGCTTCCTCCATTTTCATCGTTGCGAGAATAATGGTGAGTACGTCTTTGATAGTAGTAAAGAAATTTTTGGCTAGATACAATTAATTTCGTTCTAAAAACGCAGAATTACTTTCAAGTATTTTCAATGAATTTTTCGCGAAGTGGTTGTCTTAAATCTCATTCTTAATCCATCGTGAATTAAATAAAATGTCTCCTGTAACCGCTAGAAATAAATTCGTGTATGGCAGCCACGTGGTTGAATTTTGTTCGTTTGCTTTTGTATGATGATTCTAGATGTGTAAAGTTTATGGTTTTCAACTGAATAACCATGAGGATAATTCTAGGGCGGTCTGACTTATAAATTATTCGAATATTTATTTAATTCGGCTTATACCGTGTATCTAACATAAGGTTCGTTGCATAGTCGCACAGGAAATTCAGTGCACCCCGGCACGGGTCTATGGGATTCTATCCCAAGAAAAGATCCCAGCGTCATCGCGGAAAAGTTAAAGCCTTTCCTAAGGATGATCCGAGTAAACCTGTTCACTTAACAGCTTTTGTTGGTTATAAAGCGGGTATGACCCACGTGGTCAGGGAAGCGGATCGACCAGGCTCGAGTGAGTGGATACAAAAATATTTTATTTCAAAGATTATGAAATTATAGTTCTCGTTTTTTAAAATAAGAGAATTTTGTATTTAAATTTTTGTCGTCAATTACATTTACGAAACATTGTACTTATTATTCGACACGTTAACCTTTGTTTGATAAACACAGAAATGTGTTGGTCAACATTGGTTGCGGTTTAAGAGCTGCTTGATATTGTGCAGTATGGTCTCAACCGCAGTGTCGAAGAACAATTGTGTGCTCTGCTATGCAAAGTACACAGGCAAGGCATATTCCATAACCTCTTTGAAACCCATTGGGTGATGATCATTGAGACAAACCATGTCTAGTACAGTCTTACAATATTAAATGTACATTATTTTTATTTTCTTCTCTTTCCTCCTTTAAATGTATGATATGTACTTTTAGAGGTGAATAAAAAGGAAATTGTGGAAGCAGTTACCATTCTTGAAACACCACCTATGATTGTGGTTGGTGTAGTTGGATACATAGAAACTCCTCATGGGCTACGTGCTCTCACCACAGTTTGGGCAGAACATCTTTCGGAAGACTGTCGCAGGAGATTCTATAAAAACTGGTAAAAACGGCCTTTCGATTTAATATTGTACTTTTAACGTCTGTTTCGTAAGGTTATACTTGTACAATGTGTATTAAAACAAACCTTAAATTAGCTCTCCGCTCAATTTGATGAGAGCAAATATTTGGATTTAACCACAAAGCAAAGTACTCTTTGAATGGTTGATCCAAAAATTGTGTACAGTCTCCGCTCATTATGAAGAGACTGGCACGTTACGGACAGGTGCTGATGGTGTAGATGTGCATAGAAAGACAGCCATTATGGTTACTTTTCTACAGGTACAAGAGCAAGAAGAAGGCATTTACGAAGGCGTCCAAAAAATGGCAAGACGATCTTGGCCGTCAATCTATTGAAAGTGATTTGAAAAAGATTATCAAATACTGCAAAGTTGTACGAATTATTGCTCATACACAGGTAATTCACTGGAGATATACCCGTTAAATTAAAAATTATTCTTAGTTTCTAACAAATTATTGTCTTTAAATAGATGAAACTTTTGAAACAACGTCAGAAGAAAGCTCACATCATGGAGATCCAACTAAATGGTGGAACTATTGACCAGAAGGTTCAATGGGCACGTGAACACTTAGAGAAACCTGTACCTGTTAATAATGTTTTTGCTTCTGACGAAATGATTGACGTGATTGGTGTCACAAAAGGAAAGGGGTATAAAGGTAGGTGTTGTTGCTTTCCTTTTCTCCATCTAAAATATACCTATTAAAAATTATATAACCAAACACTTGGACTATATGATGAAAAAACATGATTTGTAATTGTCTGAACATTTTGATGATATTATCATGCTGCCTTCCTGCTGAAGTCCATAGAAACGTTATAGTAGTAGTACATGTTTATTTTTAACCGTGAAAAGGAACTTGATTTTACAGGATATAACTAAAATATTATAAAATATCTTACAGCCATCCATACTTTCGTCGAACATTCCCCCCACTCTATTTTCTGTTTTTGCACTCCTTTCTACATTTGCTATTTAACTTATTCTTAAATGTTTTCATGTGGTTTTCCTGATATTACAGTTGAATCTCAAAGAAAGAACTAGTCTTCGAATTATAGAGGTTCAATCTAATACTACTATCAATGTTATCAATTTTTTATTCGTGTATATACTGAGCTCAAGTAACTTAACGGTGTAAAAAAATGATACGCTTTTTTCGTAGGTGTTACATCGCGTTGGCATACAAAGAAACTGCCACGTAAAACACACAAAGGTTTAAGAAAAGTGGCTTGTATTGGAGCTTGGCATCCGAGCCGTGTGTCGTTCACTGTTGCGCGTGCTGGTCAAAAAGGATATCATCATCGTACAGAGATGAACAAGAAAATCTACAGAATTGGGCAAGGCATTCATACAAAGGAGGGCAAGGTACTCATCTCTATTATCTTGTACACGAAAATTCGCTTCTTCCCTATGTTAATTTTCTTATTTTATGAAGATTAATAATATCATAAGAGGCGTATATAAATGACTTGTAGTCATAGTACCCAAATCATACCATTATGTTTCGGGTCTCCAAAGCAAGCGACACTCGTATAATTTATATATTAAAAACTCATTTAGAAAGAATTCGTTACAAAGTTTAATATTTATCTCAGATCGTAAAAAACAACGCTTCAACGGAGTACGATCGCACTGAGAAGACCATCACTCCCATGGGTGGTTTTCCTCATTATGGTGAAGTGAACAATGACTTCATTATGATCAAGGGTTGCTGTATGGGACCAAAGAAACGTGTAATCACATTACGTAAGGTAAGAAACGATGATAGTTTTTTAAAATCATATTGTTTGTTTTCTGTGATGAGTAATTAATGAGCCTAATAATAATTATGAAATATTAATGATATTTAATGATAGGACTGATATCTTTATTAAAATTCTAAACTGTGTTTTATTTCATTATGCTTATAATATAAGGTTATGTTTTGTACAGTCATTGTTGGTACATACCAAACGATCTGCATTGGAGAAGATTAACCTCAAATTCATAGACACCAGCTCCAAATTTGGACATGGTCGCTTCCAGACCGCAGCTGACAAAGTTTCGTTCATGGGACAACTTAAGAAAGATCGTATTCGCGAGGAACAAGTCAAAGCTACAACCTCTGCACCTCCAACAGCAGCAGCTCAGTAACATTGTTTCTCTGCATTGTATACGATTGATAATACAAAATTCACACAAATAAGAATTGTTTCATCTTTTTTTTCTATAAAGGGTTTGCCGCAGTAAACAATTAACTTCATTCATCACATTATATACACTACAAGTTTGAATAACGCTTGAACTGATCTAAAACCTTTTCTACTTTTATTGCATCTTCACAACAATAGTCTAACTATTCTTATTTACATATAATCCATACAACGTACAAGTAAGAATAATTGTAATACTGTCATGTTCAATCTTATTTTCGTTTAGTGAACCCCAACAATCCATTGATAATACTTATTGAATAATATATTGAGAAATATGATCTGCAGCTAACTTGCGGCAAATATCCCATGCCCCAGTCCACTCATACCGGTGTTTGGTCTGCGGGAGCTTTTGCTTCGACCTCCGGAATGTCATGCAAGAATCGGTCACCAGCCTTCTCAGATTGATGAACTCATCCCCGCATCCTATCCCAGCGGTTACCCCTATCCGCCACCTGGGGACGCATCACGTAGGGGTTCACCTCCCCTGCCCCCTGGACAACAAAACGTGTGCGTGGGCTGGCCGCTCGACCTAAACTTTTGCCAACACCGTGTGTACCAAACTTTAAATCAATATATCTCGAAAATGAAGGCCCATTATAGAAAAACCTATTAAATTGTTTTGATGCTAGATATAGACTGTAACTTGTACTTGCTATCATTTCAAAAGCCATTTCCACGACTGTAAGGGAACCTTGTGGGTGGCGCCAGTTACCAGACGGTCTGGTGCCACATACAATTAAGGAAGAATTCATATGTATATTTTTGGCGCGAGATTCTATTGAATTTGTATAGTAAAACTCTTATATTATAGAAATATTGTATGCAACCTGTGTGTTCGTATGTATATGTAGTATCCTTTTAATAAACAAATTATGACAAGTTTATCTCACGTTCAGCGTGTTAGAATGCTGTACAAAACAATTTTAAGGTTACATCGCGGTTTACCGATTGAAATTCAATCTTTAGGAACCACTTATGTTCGTGATGAATTTAGAAGACACAAAACGTGCAATGAAGCTGAAGCAACTATCTTTTTAAATGAATGGACAGTGAGTAATATTGAACAATGCATTCAATGGCCCCTTAGAAAAATTAGGTTACCTTTTATTTAGTTGCTTTAAAACAAATGTCAGAAGGTAGGATATAAAACATTAACTCCTATTTCATACCTAAACATTTTTGTCTTTAAGGTAAATAAAAAAGATTTCATTTTTTGTTGTAGGAATATGCACTAATGCTAGCTGATCAGCTTGGATTAAAGGGACCGCACACTGCCAAACTCTTAGGTCAAAACTTGGGAAAAGAGGACTTTGAAAAATTTAGAGATGAACAAGTATATCAGTTATATGAGCTAATGAATGCAGCAACTAATAAAACTGATAAAGATATAAAATAAGTAAAACCTAGTTGACTTAAAATATTGAGGTTTCTTATGTTGTACAGTTGATAAAGTATATCACATATATATTTATAAATGTAATAATTGTAATATTTTCGTGTACATAAACTTTCTTTTGATGTTTCACACAGTAAAATATTATCCGTAGATGGTTTTCATAAAGAATAACAAAACTATTATTTCTAATGCAATAAAAAACAATGGTATAAGAACTATATGCAGTTATGTATTGATCTGTATCTATTCAAAATTTGAATATGTCAATCGTTCGTTTATTTTACGTAACGTCACTGTCATTCCTTTATGTCATATGGACAGCTTTTAAATTTTGTTAGGTTACAAAATTAACTTATGGAATCATAACCTTGCCGATTACTTTTGTATAAAATCAATTATATAAGTTCTTCGATATATTTATAAAATTACAAGTGCTTTAATTAACAAAGAATAATGAAAATTTTTAAAGAATCGGCGAGTTTAATTCTAGCAGCTAGACATATGCAAAAATATATTCGTTCTTCACCTCCTACAAACGTAAGTATTACAATTTGTTGTTTTTTGTCTTAATCGTTTATAATGAAATGTTATAGTGGTTTACTGTTGCCGATAATACAAAATAAGAGTTGATAGATATTATAACCAAATTTAAACGTGACTGTTAATTGCAACATTGAATTCGTCATATCAAACTGTAAAATTGCGCGAAAATTTAAATACAATTTATTACATGTACAAATGGAGCTTAGAAAATATTGTATAGTTTCAGTACAATTATAATTTGTTGTGCCTGAAACGACACCATAATTCAAACTTTTTGCCGAGCACATATGTGTTCCCTGGAGGGGTAGTGCATTCATCTGACGCGGATTTGAAATGGCACAATCTTTTTTCCACGTTTGGCGTCGACACCAACAGCTTTGCATCTTTAGTACCAAATAGTGCTGTACGACCTCGAATTTTTAAACCGAAACCAAACGAATTACCAAAAGAAATTTCCTTACGAATTACCGCTATCCGTGAAACCTTCGAAGAATGCGGCATATTAATTTGCAAAAAATCGCCAAACCACCTACATTCTGATTGGGCAGAACACGTTGAAAGTAATTCGATTGATAGACTCGAGTTTCATAGCAATTCGAAAGTCTGTTCATTATAATAATAAAATATCAGCTTTAGACGAAATGAAAAAATCATTAAAATGAAACTATTTTCTTTGTTTAGTTTCCGAAATTGAATTGCACGATTGGCAGACGAAGGTGCATAACGATGCCACGGAATTTTATACGTTATGCGAGAACTTTAAGTGTTACCCAGACTTGTGGGCCCTTTACGAATGGAGCAATTGGTTGACACCGACTTATTTCCCCGGAAGACGTTACGATACTGTGTTTTATTTAGCCTGCGTGCCAATTATGCTTCGCACTATGTGCGAAGTTACGGAAATAGAGGACTTGAAAGTAAAATTCTACTCAATGGTATATCTTAATAGGGAAATTTTGATCGTGTCGTAAATATTTTCTGTATGTATTTCAGTGGGATGTGCCAGGAAATTTTATATTTTCTTCTTCGGGTATTGTATTACCACCTCCTCAACAATATGAAATTGCAAGAATAGCAAAATTTGAAAGTATAGATAATTTGCTAGATTTTGCAATCGATCGTAGCAAAATGGGAGTGCGTTTGAATCTGCCAGTACGTAAAGAAATTTTTTAAATCTGAAAAATGTTACAATTCTAAAAATCAATTATCGAATAATTTTAACAATTTATTATAATAATGTACGTTATTAGGTGAAAGTGGAGTTAAAAGATGGTAAAGTGCATGTTTTGCCAGGAGACTCGATGTATCCCAAACATGCTAACTTATTTGACGAGCAAATAATCGACAGAACCGACGTTACTATTAGCGAGTTTCGAGATATATCGCCCATAAAAAATAGAATGGAGTTTTTTAATTTAGAAGTCAAGGAGCTTTTCGTTCAAAATTTCGATAGTGTGGATGGTCATTTACCTCCTATGCAATTGAAAAATATTCGTGTGAAACAGACACACAAAAAGTCAAAATTATGATACATTAAATATTCGTCCCTATTGTGAAAGTGAATTATGAATAGATAATAATTGTAAATAAATGTGCAATTAAAGTTGTACTGCGTTCCTCTGTACTTCAAAATATACTTTGCTATGTATAATGTATACAACACAGCTATGTTATTTTTGTTCTATTAATAATTTCTTAAATAATGGCGGGAAAAAAGCGCGGTAAACTCGATAATACAACAATGGCTGCTTAAGCTCTAAATGCGAAAGCAGAAATATCCAACGAAAGTGCCAAGTGTTTTGAGATCCAGCGTATGTTATGAATGATCGTATTCAGTGTGTAAAATATCATTCGTTAGATATATGTAAGTTTTTTCGTGTGGCTTGGTAAACATAATCATTCGATAATTCTTTTCTTCGTTAGAAAGTAACTTGAAATGACCGGTATGTCGATGTAAACACTATGATATATTTAATGTATTTAATATAATCGAAGAATTATGACATATTTGTATTTTAGAAAATGGAATACACAAGACGACGACCATATTCAGTTAATATTGAAATTGATAACCTTCAAGATATTTATCAACATGATTTACAGATGTATGATTTCCCTCCAAAAGGTGAAATTCCATTTTTAGAGTTTCAACAGTTAGGCATGGAAAGATTAAAACGTAAGTTTTACTCTAAACTAGTAAGAAAACTGATGAACGAATGTTATCTTAAATTAACTTGCTTGTAATTGTAAGCATATTGTTCTTTATAGTTCTACAACTTGTTGAAAATTCCTCGGTGCGAACGGATAGTAAGAAATTAAAGGATCGTAAGGCTGATCTAACTACAGATTTAGAAAAAGATGGACTTAAATATTTTTCACGTCTCTTACATGCAAAGGGATGCAAGTCTTCCACAGAAACAGATTTACAACATAGACAAAAGGATCACCTATCACATTTTATAATGAGATTATCGTATTGTCAAGATCCAGAACGACAGAAGTGGTTCATTAATCAAGAAGTAGATTTCTTTAAATTAAGATTTGATTCGTTAGACAAAGAAGGAATAGAAAAGTTACTTGATATGTATAACATTGAGTGTCGACTAGTAAGCAAAGAACAAAATTAAAATTGTCTATGTATTAAATCCACAAAAATTTCGTACATTTAATATTTTATTTACAGATCACGCAAGAAGAAAAAGATAAAATTAGAGAAGAACTTCTTTCATCCAATTCGAAATTTTTAAATATTGATCTGACAGAATTTTACACAGTGGCTTTTCAGAAAGTCACAGACCTAGTTAGATTGCGTAAGGTCTATCTTGCTCAAGGAATGGCATATATTCCGCAAGAAAGTTTGGTGTCTTTGTTTGTGTCTTACTTTAAGAAACAGTTAGTAGATGGTATGGAGGTATGTCTTGTCACATTGTTATATAAATTACATAAAAAATGGTTACATTTATTTTGATCGAATATATTTTTATTATACAGTATGCAAAGAATTGTGTTTTAAATATATCCGATGATGAAAGATTAATGTCATACCTTAAATCATTGCCTGGTTCTTTCTCTGGGATGACACGTGTTGTTTGGACAACAACTACTACACCTATAGACAAATTAGATGAGGTAATTAATTTATTTTCTATATCCTTCCTTTCGTACAATATTACTTAATTTTAGTTATCAAAAACCTCCTATCCTTTGTGTATGAGAACATTACACGAGGCACTTAGGACTCATCACCATCTTAAAAACAGTGCGCGTATTCAGTATGGTTTATTCATAAAAGGTATAGGGGTAACATTAGATGACGCGTTGCGATTTTGGAAAATGGAATTCACGAAGAAGATAGATCCAGATAAATTTGATAAACAATATGGTTATAGTATAAGGCATATGTTTGGCAAAGAGGGAAAACAGACAAATTATACCCCTCTTGGATGTCAGAAAATTATAACTTCTGCTGTGGGCCCTGGAGAATTCCATGGTTGTCCATATCGACATATGAATTCTGATTCATTGAAACAAAAATTAATTACTTGCGGTGTACCGGCACAAAGTAAGTATATTGTAACATTGTGTATAAAGTGTTAAGATTAATACTTGTTGTTCCATGTATTTCAGGAGTTAATGAAATAGCAGATCTCGCCAAGGCTGGTCATTACAATATCGCCTGCAGAACATATTTCGAGGTTTCACATAATCTCGTGCCAGAGAAGTCTATTATAATTATTCACCCAAATGTATATTTCACAGAAAGTCGAGCTATATTAACTAAAGATAATCCTACAGGTAAGTGAAACTCAGTTCTGTATATTCAAAAAAGTTTAATAATTCATTAATAAATACATTTTACTTTCTTTCTTTGCCAGAGGCTGAAAGCAACGAAAGCTTCTCGCAAAGCGGAAGATTTAGCGAGAGGATAAGTAACACTCCCGCGAGAAGTGAAAGAAACTTTGGCACACCTTTAAGAAATAACGATAGATCGTTCGAAACTCCTTCAAAATATGCGGAGCGAAATAGCACACCGTCCAGAAAGCTAGATAAAACGAGTATAACTCCGGTAAGAACAGTTAAAGCTACTCCAAAAAGAATAGACGATAGTTATCTCAATGACGATGATATCGCCGAATTAATGAGTGGAGACATGTGAAAGTAAATAGTACAAATATTATTAAAGTATTTTTACGTTTTATTTTTATTATAAAATAAATTATGTTATACGTAACTGTTGACCTGCTTTAACGATCTTTTGGACAGAAAATGTGCTTTCACGTCGCGTATCATTGACTCCACGAGTCTCTCTAAATTGTATTTGTGTTGCCATCCCCAATCACGTCGCGCCTCGCTGTCGTCGAAAACTTGTGGCCAACTTTCAGCTACAATTTAAATGGTACTCTTTAAATGGTCTTTTGTTTAAACGGGCGCATTGCCGATTAATACACCTGACAATATAATCAACTAACCAATATATTGTCTTCCATCCGGTTTGTATGTAATCTTTAACTCTGGAACGTGTTTTTTAAGCTCGCAAAATAGTTCTTCGGGCGTGAAACTCATTGCAGTGACGTTGTAAACACGCCTTTGCAATTGTTCGTTCGGAGTATTTAAGAACTTATAGAGCGCGGACAGACAGTCTTCTATGTACATCATCGGTAGTTTCGTGTAAGGTTCCAAATAACATTCGTATGTTTTATTAAGCAATCCTTCGTGGAAAACTGCAACAGCATAATCTGAAAAAAAGACACGTAACTGCATAGTTAAATTTATTATTTCATTATTTTTACGGGAAACAGGCTCTATCCCGTTGATGTACATATCAATATACCAATTGATATTCCGTGAATACCGGTTCTAAACAAGTATTTTGCTGCAACTCGTGGTCTCAGTTGTGTTTCGTTTACGTGGTTACTCTAAGGTTTACGCATCAGGAAATAAAGGAAACGCAAGGAGCGATCTCACGGCTCATGATCAAGAGACGCTCAACAATTTACTAATACTATTGTCCTTGAGTAACGATGGATTGCGCCATTATGCTGTTACTCTAATCGTGATTGAAATATGCTCTATTTCTTCCTGAAAAAGGCTATATTTATAGTAAAATATTACCGGTTGAAAATCGAGGGAAAGGAAACGAGTGTAACGAACAATTAACTCGTTGTTATACGTCTTTATTTATCAAAACTTTAAAATGAAACGCGAAATACGTCTAAAAAGTAATGAAACTGATTTCTTTTCTCGGTATTTGCCAGCACTATACAAGTGTTGCTTTGTTACTTGAGAGTATAGTATTGCTCTATTTACAGTGTAAGTTCCAGTTCGATCGAGGAGATAATGTAAATTTATCAATAAAATACAATTTTTATAAAACCAGTCTCATTACATTTTAGGCGCGCCATCTATTACATTTTAATTACCTGTGGTACCACCGCCCGGTGGGTCGCTACTGATCACTCCCGGAAATCTTAGACAACGAAAATCCAACCCGAATCTATGGTGGTAATATTCGCCCATTAGCTCGGCGTGAACTTTACTGACGCCATAAATCGTTCGCGGTCGTTGAATAGTAATATTTGGAGTGGGATTCCTTGGTGAATCCGGACCAAACGCTCCGATTGTCGACGGAATGAATATCCTTAATTTGTACTGTTTGGCCAGTTCAATAACATTGTGCATTCCTAGTGAAAATTAAATCTTTATAATATTCGCGGCTGAAAATTATTTCGTGCGCCACGTTAAACCATATTCCAGTAAAGGTAGCTAAGAAAAATCCACTTTCTCCGATGTGCTTTCCTTCTTGGCGTCGGGTAACAATATAATTATTATCATAACGACAAATTCACTTGGCACGGCATTCCATTTTACTCGAGCGTAGTCTCGAAAAGCAACGAGGCGCTTCTAGAAACGTGCGTTTTGAACAGTTCATTAAAGAACGAACGAGTCGTCTTACCTTCTATGTTGACTCTCACAGCAAGCGGAACGTTTTGTTCGCCGACAGCGCTGAGCAGAGCGCTGAAATGAATCAGCCAGTCGACCCCGTAGTCTACCACGATTTTCTGAAGACCTTTAAAGTCAAGGATATCGGCAAAGATAAACGGTCCGCTCGAAAGGCTTTCTACAGTCGGCTTGATTATATCGGAAAGTATCACGTTCTCGTTTCCATACTTTTTTCGAAGCAATTTCGCGCACTCGGTACCCAATTGTCCGAGGCCACCTTCCAAGAATGCATATGAAAAAGTCGATAATTTATAGGAAGAACAGAAATTTTTTTTTTATTGAAATGTCATCGTTAACGAATGTTATTCTTTTACTTTTTTTTTTTTTACCTAAAATAGGTAAACAATGAATAGCGTAATTTTATGCAGATTTCGAATAATCTATACGCGGCTGTTTTTTGTTTTAAAAATAGAGTATAGTAAAACGACAAAGATGTAACTGGTTTTATGCATTATAATTTCGTTTTGGAAATCTTACATACCAGTGATGAGTATCCTTGGCGTTCTCTTGGCAACGTCCGATCCGTTGTTTTCGTTTTCATTGAAGTTCCGAAAACACGAATTACCCGCCACGTGGAAGTCCCTCAAGGTATTTTTTGAGAGTCGTCGAGAAATTTGTAGAAATTTTTTTTGCCACATTTTTTCCGTTTCTGAGAGTCACACGGGTTTAACCGAAGAAGGAGTTCTCTTTGATTTAGTTGTAATAATACAAGTCTTTGAGTTTAAGAGCACAGATTTTTATTTTCGTTGAAACGTAAATAGAAAAATTGTAAAAATTGTTCGCGGAGCTACGAAAAATCGATCGACCCTGTCTGGTCTCAGTGGCGATAAATAACTGACAAAGGCTCGCTTGATTGTATGATATTATAATGTGGTTGATTCTGAAAACCTGTTAGAACATAGATTTTCTTGCCTTGTGTTTGTGCGCCAGTAGGTGCAGGACCTTCAACTTAACGATGGATATGTCTGGAGAAAACACGTGTGCAATAGACACACGAGATAAGTCCTGAATTTATTCAAAACAATTATTTACTATTATTTTGTTACATAATTTTATTACAGTGTTTTTCATACACTAAATACCAAATACGTAAAAACTATTTTAGTTAAAAATTTTCATACAGTTTATCTCAAGGAAATCGGAATTAAATAAAAAAATATTTCGATTTTAGTAGAATCTTGTTTACAAATTAACTGTATTAAAACATCGGATAATAAAATAGAATCGTCTACGCTTCGTGGAAGAGTAAATCGTTCGTTCGTACAATGTAGAACCGGTTAATTCTAGAAGGTAAGTTTCAATTGATTATTACGAAAAAAATATATATTTTTTTTTTAAAGTATTTATTGTGAATTTTATATTGCACAGCTTAACTATATATTTTAATTTCATTGTAGAGTGTTGCCGCCTTGGAAGAAAACCAAACATTAACTGTTGTATGATCGACGGCAGGGTTAAAAGGAGACACGATAATAATTAAATGTAAAATATGTATAAGTATAAAAGGGGTGCATTGTACTCGTTAAATTCTTTGTTTCCTAATCGAGCAAATATTTTACAATAATTGTTCATCTTCTTTTTTTATTTTGCGTAAGTCTTAGAATTTTTCGATGTTGAGAAGGTTGAAGGATCATGGTTTACACATATAAATATTTTTTTATTTATAACATACTGAATGGTAGAAATAGACCGATTTTGACAATTTTATCAGGGGTATACCTTCTAAAGAATATGAAATACACAATTATTTATCCGGGAAACGTTATTAAAAATAAACGTAAACTTTGAAATAATTTTAAAACTAATTAATTTTAACTTTAAATAATAGAAGGTAAATTCTTCGTAATTTAGTGTCAAGTATGTTATAAAAATTATAAAATTATGTTTATGTAAGAGTAAGAATCGTCAACCCATGCATTAATATTATGTTCGCAATAAGGAGCAACGTTTAAATGTATGACAAAAAGGTAATATTATTTGATTTAAAAATATACATATTTCGATAATAATAATATATGAAATATAAAATATATTATTATTATTATTATTATTAGTGGTATATACATACAATAATATACGTAATTTGAACACTGTTAAATATTTTGTGTATATGTTATTAGATAAAAATAAAAATAGATTAGAAAGTATTATTGGATATACGTGTGAATGTACAGTTGGTGAACGGGTTGTTGGTTGCTGCTGTCACGCGACAGTAATCTTATGGTTTTTTGGATATGTCTGCTGAATTTTTAAATATTTCTAAAACTATTTCGCTGACGAATCATCATCGTAAGAAGAAAATATTGAAATACATTAACTGGGCAAGTATCGCGCAGAGTAGTTCACGCTTATTTTTAATAATTTTCCCATCAAATCCCGGATGAATAATTGTGTACTTCATATTCTTTAGGAGATACAGAATCAGAGACCCGACAAGATTTTTCGTTGGCAGCGTGGCTCAACGTCGGCCTATTTCTACCACCCTCCTTTCAAGTTGGTAGGTCAAGCGACTTATTGTTGGCTTTAAAGTTTCAAAGTAAGCTTTAAAGATCCACAACATCGCCAAATTTTCAAATTTCACAATATCATCAGGATAAAGTTTGGAACACTTCTTTAGAAAATGCAAGAATGAAAAGAATTGATTATTTAATTCGAAATTACTGGATCAGAGCCCCCTTAATTGGAGGCAACAACTGGTACCGTTGCTGCATCTGGAAAAAAGACGGAACTCGTGACATCTGGACTAGAACACATCCAACTACGTGCTCCTAGGTAAATCATAGATCATCGTGATCGTCGTTGATTCAAGTAAAAGAATGTCCCAATATATTTATTAATTTAAACATAAACGAACGTTAAAGATTTCAAACGATCCGCCCAGAGTCGCACGTAAAAAGTAAACAAAATTCATTTCAGTTTTTTCAGCGATATTCACTGAATTTTTGGTTTTTGGATTCGGGAAACGTTAACTCGAAAATTTGTCACCGTGGCCAAAATTCATTCGTACACAACGGTTCGAAGGAAAGGGAAGAATTTCCTGGAAGCGTGCCGTTCACGGTGGTTGGGCACAGCACTTCGCAATTCTCTTTTCGTCCCGCCATCGTCCACACCGCAGTCATCTTCTCCCCTCGACTTTGTGCATCGGCACGCTTTGCAGAAAACTTCTTCGTATAGTTAGTCCGTGCCTGCCCGTAACGAGAGCACCGAGAGGTTCTGGGTTTTCCGAACCGCCTAACAAAACGCGCCGTTTGTTGCTCCTTGGTTTGTGAACAGGCAGTGCTATACGCGATACCTTTCTCTGCTCGAGGAAACATCGAGGGGCTTCGAAAACCGCCCGGAACTTGGAGGAACGCAGCGAACACGTTTGTTAAGGGATAATCTTAATTTTTCGTCGAGCCGCGCTGGATCAATAGGTAGGGTGCACAGCGATGGGTTGGGACAGTGAAAATTATTGGAACTCGACATTAATTGCCCCGAATGTTCACCAAGAATATATATATAGCTTGATGTCAGATATACGACCTTATTTCGAAGTTGCGTAATTCCCAGCGATCGGACTCTCCGGGGATTTAGTAAGAACGAGAACAGAGAAGGAAAGTCAAGGAACCCCGTGTGTATCACTTTCACTGAAACGATACGCGATTGGCCTGGTTCGATCATAGTTGCCCAGCGATGCTGCTGACAGGAGGACCTTACGGTCGTGGTAATTGCTTTTGAAAAGATAGCAGGTGCAAGTTATAGTATATACCTACTATCAGAAAACCGTAATTAGTTTCTTCACAGTGGGCCTTCGTTTTTGAGATATTTTTATTTAAAGATTACGGAACAAGATTTGGTTGAGTTCTTGCTCTCTTTTTTTTTTATTATTTTGAAATGCAAAAATATATTTTATTTAATTATGTATATGTGAGATCAATACTAAAGCAAACGATCTTTAAATTTTTAATACAAAAAACAGTAGTAAGTACAGTAGTAAAATAGCCTCCATACTGACGATACGAACGACCAATACGGTATTTATTTGACAATGACTAATACGAATTATTAATATGGTAATAAATAAAATATATTTTTGCATTTAAAAATAATAAAAGAAAAAATGAAAAAAAAGTAATTTAGCGGGAATTTGAGAACTCACTACCAAAGTCTTGTACTGCAAAATAAATTTAAGTGATTCTTTTATCAGGTGCGTACCAAACTTTGAATAAAAATATCTCGGAAACGAGGGCCCCTTGTGAAGAAACCTATTAGGAGTTTTCAGTACTAGATATACACTGTAACTTGCATCGCTTAAAAAGCAATTTCCACGACTGTAAGGTCCCCTTGTGAGAATGCAGATTGCTGCTGCACCTGTATCAATTGTACACATTGTGAATCGCTAGCGAACGCAACAGTGCGATTAGGTCAGCTGTGCGTGGTACCCGCCCCGAATCACGCGAAGCCAAGGAACGCGTAACAGAGAGGATTAATGTGGCCCCCGATGAAATCGAACGATACACTTTTGCGGCTCATTGAACGACGGAAAGCTATTTCTTTGCAATCGGAACGGGCTGGTTCAGCCGCGATACAAACGCAGTCACGTGAGTGCAGCGACCTGTATTCCTCGATTCTGACGCGCTCCCTTAAATATCCGAGCGGACGCGTCGCCTGAAACGCGCGCGCGCGATTTTTTATTAAATAGTTTTATATTTATTGACGATCCCGCGATATCAACATTCTTCATGTTCGACTGGTTTTCCAGGCCGTCCGATTGTTCGTACTTACGGAAGACGCGTTATGAAACACACGTGGTCACCCGTGACCGCATCCTCGAAGAATACCTTTGTTTTCGTTCTACTCGATAGAGCCAAGGGACTTTTCTCTTCCGCGTCGAGCCCTTTAAATCGGTTCCCCTATTAACCCTAATCGTTGATCAAAATGTTCACTGTTGTGCAATGATCTAGCCTGGTGGGGACGATACTCCAAGGTGTCCTGTTTGAGTAAATCAGATATATTATAGCGAAACTCCGTTCTAACATTTTAACTCTGACCATAGCAAGATGTTACTTTGAGTCACACACCAAATTCGAATAATTGTATTGACTGAAAAATAATATTAAAGAAGAAATTATAGAAATAAAAAAATAAAAAAGTGCAGAATATTTATCTTTTTATTGTAATTGATACATAAATTATCGATATAACAGGCACGATAAACTCATGTTTGCCCAAAAGCCAATTTGCACATTTTACCTTTAAACTTGTAAGTTTATGATTTTATCGTGGTAAAGAATATTTTAAAAATTATTTTCGATCATAGCTACATCGTGACAAATATTATACCGTTCTATTGCAAACAGATCAGCGAAATAAGAGAAGACAATTATTCGTAAGAAGATGTAGAAAGACTGAACGACAAATTTTTTTTTTCAAATAACATTATTTTAAATACACATGGCATTGTTTTACAAACATTATCCGCTTTCTATCTCACAGGTCTTTGCTTATTTTCGTTAAAGTAAATTATATTTGAGGAAAAATATTTACACATTTTACAGTCACCGAAATTTGAAATGTGATTCAAAGTTACATTACGATTTGAGAGTTTCGATTAACGTCGCGCTACGTACTGGTTCTGGAGATTTGAGCAAAAAAAAAAACGATTAGCAATGATAATGTAATGCGATTCTGAAGCCAATTGTCCGTGTGATTTACACATACACTTAAGTGGCACGTGCCGTCATTGATTCTCATTTAAATAAGGAAATTACAATAGATTTCATTCAGCCAGACTTGTATTCGCGCAAGCAACTTGGTATTTTAAATAAAAATGGTGCTCCAATATGTCACACGTACAACATCAAAATTAAAACAGATGAACGATAAAGAAAAAGGGCACAAAAGAAACGAAAGAATATTCTGAAAGAAAAGAGGATAAGACTCGTATTATTATTTACTGTTTATGGACTGAAAAATAAAGAAGAAATTATTCAACATTGTAACAAAAACAAATTAGAACGATACAATGCACATAAAGGAATTAAAAGATACCATTAGATATTTTTATAACATGCTCAATGTTCATACTGTGACAGAGTGTTTTCCAAGTGAAAATAAAATGAAAATATTGCATAGAGTAGACCCGTAAATGCTCTATTATATGTATTGTAACAAAACGTAACGCAACTTATCCACGATATTAATCTTGTATTAACAAGAATCGATCGAAGGTCTTAATAATAAGTGATTAATAGAAGTTGCATCGATCACCTTCAACGAAGGTGAGTTAATACACGTGCATCGTATATTCAAATTACATAAGTATCTTCGATCTATTCTTCCTGAGCAGGAATTCGTAAGACTTTTTAAAAAACAAAATAAGGCGAAAATGAATAACATCGAGATCAACTTATAATTTAACTCACAAGGAAACTATTGTAATCAAGAAGTCCAATCACATTTTGAATAACGAAGAATACATTTTTTAATACGTGAAACACTTATTCTACGTAACCAAGTAATATACAATTCTTCAACGTAGATTTGCTCAAAGGATTTAGAACATTTTTAGAATTTAGAAGTCCAATCACATTTTGAATAACAAAGATTACATTTTTTAATACGTGAAACACTTATTCTACGTAACCAAGTAATATACAATTCTTCAACGTAGATTTGCTCAAAGAATTTAGAACACTTTTAGAATTTAGATGGAAGAAAAGGGTGTCTGGTTTTTGAGATAAAGGTTCGATGTTCAAAAAATGTCTGATTTCGTCGACGTTTGATCGGTATCACGGATGTTCCAGGCGACGGCAAATTATTACGGGGGAAGATTGTCATAGCGGTGTTTAGCTTTGCTTACGGTACAAAACATTAATTTAGTCGTCTACGACCGTGACGTGTAGACGACACGTAGGTACATATGTATGTACCACGTGCCGCACTTCACGCATAGAAAACACCATGGCATCCAAGGGCAGTTCTAACGCCCAAAATCCACGGCCACGTTTACGAAAGTCGTTACGCGTTCCCGTTTGCGATTCAAAGGGGGGAATGGAATATTCTACCGGTCGTTGGAACCGAGCGTCGCGCGAATACGCTCGAAATTCGAAAAGATCAACGGTCAAACGGACGATCGTATCTTTTTGAAACGAGGATCGAATTCTGTTTGCAGAAAATGCGGGACTGGCATTTAAGGCCATAGACCAAGGTCTAAATGCGCGATGGTTAAATCCTCAGGGGGTGGAAGTTTTTTTCTAACCGGCTGGTTTCTGGCACTGTGTTACGTCGGTGTCAGCGGCCAACCGAATTTGGAGTACGGATGTCCTACTCAGGAGAGGATTCTACCTTGCAGATGCTCCACTCGTGACATGGAGATACAAATATGGCAAGTGTACGAGCTTCAGACAGGTCCAAAATTGGTCAATTTCTACCATTATTTTATGCCCAACGTATCTCAAGAGACGATAAGTGGAAGCCAAACTGATCAGTAGTCTTCCAATAGGTGCAGTCACAGCGAGTTACCAAAGGTCTTGGAAGGTCTAAAGGCAGTGAGCCACTACCTAGATCGACCTGTGGACGAACTGATCCTGGAGAACAACAATCTACCTAGTCTGCCAGGCAGAGTGTTCGCCACCCTGCGCGTGCTACGTTTAATGCTTCGCAACAATCGCCTCGAGAGAGTATCGCCAGGCTGGTTGGAGGGTCTTCACGATTCCCTGTTGGAACTGTTCGTCGTGGAGCCGGACCTGCGGTCCCTGCCGGTGGACAGTCTCGAGAATCTGCAGGGTCTCGAGGCGGTGACCTTGCAGAGCCGAGTGATGAAGAAGCTTCCAAAGTTTTCCGGACTATCCAAGCTCAGATACCTTCAGATCAATTCCCCGGCCCTGGTGGAGCTGGCGCCCAGGAATTTTCGCGATCTGCCCAGTCTGGAACAGTTGCACATCTTTGGTAGCTCGCGCCTCATACGTTTGGAGGCCGGACTGTTTCGAGACTTGCCGCGACTCGAGCTGGTGAATATCACCGACTGCGGTATCCACTGGGTCCATCCTCGAGCGATGATAGATCTGCCGGAATTGAAGGAAATCTCACTGGTCGGGAACTCGATAGTCGACGCGGGTATGATCGGTCGCGCCTGCATGGACCTGCCATCTTTGACCGCGATACGGCTCGATCGAAACCGTATAAATCATCTCGGGGAGGGCGCGTTCGTCGATCTGTTGGTCCTCTCGCGTCTCTACTTGTCCAGGAACCAGATCACCGAGGTGTTCGCCAGCGCGTTCCAAAGGATGCCGGCCCTGAAAACCGTGGACCTAAATCACAATCTGATACATCGCGTGCATCCGGAATTCTTCCCGCGCAGGCCCGGTAACGCTCTGGAGGAGATGTGGCTGATCAACAACGATCTCAGCCACGTGACCGAATTGAGATCGATCATGGAGGCGCTGCCCAGGCTGAAGTTTCTCGACGTCAGTCACAATCAAATCGCGGAGATACCTTTCGGCGCGTTGAGGGGTCACTCGACGTTGGAGAGGCTTCACCTCGATCACAACAGAGTGGCCTTTCTGCAAAGGGAGACCTTCACCGCGATGCCCGCTCTACGGGAACTTCGATTGAAAAACAATTCTTTGTCGAACCTGTTGGAGGCCCCGTTCTGGAACTTGCCGGCGCTGAAAGTGAGTTTTTTAGAGCGAGACCGCGCCGTTTCGGACCTTGCACGACCGAAATCGCGTCTAGACGCACGCAATTCGCGACCCAAACGCCGCTCGAGACCGGAGCCTTCGATCGGATACGTGTTTCGTAACACACGTGACACGTGTTTTTGTATTATTTCTCGTCGAGAACACGGTATTGGTGTTTCACGTGTATTTGATACAGGCATGCACGTGACGTATGTTTCGCGTGTACACTCCCGCTCATAAAAAATTGGATAGTTATAGTATTTTTCCGTGAGCCTAGAAAAACGAAGTAAGCCTTGGAAAATGCGAAAGAAGTTGTTCTCTTCACATTTTCGTATTTGTCCACCAATTGCGTCTAATGATTCTTCTGTAGGGTTAAGGGGTTACACCACCTCGTATTTTCACAATTTTTTCGCAGGAAATATCTGTATTCGATCGAAATGAGCTGTTTACCATGTACGAACCATTTCCTGAACCTTTGAAAAGAATTTATTTTAACGCCATTTTTTCCGTTATAAATAAACATAGAGGTTTAAAAAGAATTGTTTTCAAAAATCAAGATGGCGTAACTCCTTAAGGTCCAATGATCGGAGTAGTCTTTTCATGATTTTCGTTGTTTTAATAAGTTTATAAATTTTGCAACTAATTTTTCGATACGATTAAAAGTGAAAAATTTGTTCAATTAACGTTTAAATAACCTTCTTTGGCAAATGATCAACCGCAGAACTCTACGCGTTTCGTTAAATGTTCGACGTGACGCGTCGCGGACCAAAATGTTTAGATAAACAAGAGGAAAATCTTTGGAAATTGATGGAAAAGTATATATAAAAATTGAGTACCGTTTGAGAAATGCACGCCTTCGAATAATTTACAAAATAATAATATACGAAATGCTAAACTTTTACACAAAACTGCCTAATGACTTATAAGCAGGACTCTACACGTGGCTTAAACCGTGCCATTGAAAATATGCGCATACGTGTTTAAACCAGTTTCTCTTTAATATGTTAACTGCCGCATTTATTACTTATTTGGTTTGTTTACGAATGAATATTCAGGTCTGCAAGTCATACTGATTTTTAGTCTTTCGAACGCCTGCTATCAATTATTCACTCATAATGGTGTTCGATGATAAATTATCGGCAAAAATTGCTTATTTTACACATCTTTTATCAGATCGTCTCATAAATTCGTACCATTTGTTCTTCTTAGACTGACGAGACTAGAATTCGTAAATTACTATTAAAGAGAGTCCATACACAAATAATATGTATCATATAGAATATTATTCAGTAACATAATTGCTATATACTAGAAAAACAAAAAAGCGTCGCTCATTATGAAAGTTCGACATTATTTATTGGCCGAACTAATAAAAGTGACTCATTGATAAACGTAAAATCAGGTGTATTGTAACGCTAATATATTTCACTCAGAGTTAACGAATAAATACTTTACAATTATTCGTAAGCTAGCTTTTCTCCTGTATATCGATTTAAAAAATCGTTAATGATAATGTATATCGATTCTACTTTGGTTAAAGCCAAAGCTCAATTTCGAGTGCGTTGCGTGCGTCTGGACCCGAGCCCCGAGGCTCAATTTGTTGATTTCGATAACATTTAACAGGCCGTTACGATTCCAGGGGCTGGACCTTTCCGAAAACTACTTCCGCCACGTGGAGCCTCGTTTGCTGGCGAATCTGCCAAGCTTGAGGCGTTTGGATATCAGCGGGAACGCGATCGGTCTCATAGAGCCCGACTCGTTCCTGGGCACGCCAGCCCTCGAGCACATAAACATCTCCGGAAACGCGCTCTCCGTTCTCCATCCGCTGACGTTCCATCGTCTGAACAACCTCTACGAGCTGGACGTCGGCTGGAATCGAATGCTCGAGATCGTTCCCGGTCTGCCGCGAAACATAGAACACCTCCACATGCCCATGAACCGTATCGTTGTTCTGCCAGCAGCGTCCTCTCAGGATCTAGCCCTTCCGGTTCTGAGATCCCTGGACCTCAGCGCGAACGGGATCGAACGAATACCGCCTGGCAGCTTGGCCGATCTGTCGAGCTTGAGGAAACTGACGTTCGGTTACAATTCATTGCGAATCCTGGAGGACGGAGTGTTCGACGGTTTGTCCAGGTTGGAGCAACTGGACCTGAGGTACAATCGACTGGTCACCCTGCACGGAAGGAGCTTCAGACCGCTCAGATCGCTGATAGATCTGAGCTTGAGGGGGAATCGACTGGAGGTTCTCAGGCCGGACATCTTTCAGGAGAACGTTCGTTTGCAGAGGCTGGATCTCAGCAGGAATAATCTGGCACAGATCCCTCACGTGACTTTCGCGAACACCAGGTAAAATTGGACGAAAGCGTCGCCGTTGGACTTTTGTTCTACAAAACGGTACAACGAGTAGGCGTTATTTTTTTTGTTAACACGCTGGCAGAAAAGCGGTTTCACTCGTGGTCGTTTGGTTGCGTCACCGGCAAATTGGTATCTAGAAAGTTCTTCGTGCTCGCGTTAAGTGTCCCCTTCTAGTTACGAGGTGGCATCATCCTGGCGTGTCGTCGATTTTCTAGTAGCTCGTGTTTGTCTAACAATCGAGTTAGCACGCTCGTGGATTTTCATTGAGATGCATAAGCCACATTATCGTGCATTCGATTATTAATTTAGTGCAATGGCTAATTTGGTCCATCGGGTATTTTTATTTTATTTTCTTTCTCAACACTTGTCGTAAATCACCTGTCCATTTTCAAAATGTAAAGAAAAAAAGGAAAGGAATAATTCATTTTTTATATAAAAATGTTTTCCTTTCGTTGGATAAATTTGTTGTTTACACGTTACCTCACAAAATTATACTTTGCTCTTGAATATACATATAACTTGAACAAACTCTATGATGTATTCTTACAGGCAAAGGTTTAAGACTGTGATAAACAGTTTTTTATTTGTATATTCATCACACTGTAGATACTCGGGACTATTCAAATATCAGAGCACCAAACAGTCGAACGTATTTTTAATAAAATCTATAATTCGATTATTTATCGGATGAACCATGCATTTACCGTGGTCTTTATCGAAGAAAATTCTCTTCGATCGTTTCTGACTCCCAATTCGTCGTGATCTATTAAGAGAGATTTGGACGAACCAATCTGCCCGTGTCGGAAACGACTATTTCTGTTGACGATGTCAAAGGGAGGAAACTACGTTAATTGCAGAGACCTTCGTGAACTGTACGCGTCGCACAACACTTTGACCGAGTTACCCGGATCGTTGCACGGCCTAACAGCTCTTCAGGTTCTCGACTTGAGCTTCAACAAGCTGAACATCCTGTCGCCGGAAACGCTCAGCAGCCTGTCGGCCTTGCTCGAGCTGAAGCTCGTCAGGAATCGTATCCGTGAACTTCGCGAGGGCGCGTTCGATGGTCTGCCACGATTGACCTTGATCGATTTGGAAAATAACGATCTCAGGATCATCGAGAGGAACGCTATCAGAGCCCTGCCGGAATTGCAGGCGCTGAGGCTCGGGAAAAATCGTTTACAGGTAAGAACAATGCAATGCAAGTTAATATTTTCATTTTCCTATTTCATTTCGATAGTGTATTACACTTAGAGTTTACGATATATATACAAAGAACATACCATTGATCTGTTTCTTTACAAACCTAACATGAAGGTTTGTAAAATAATTTTCTCCTTTCTCCAAGAATGTAAATTAGAAAAAGAACCGTTGTTAAGCACATAAACCTGTATGGATGGTTTCGAACGTTTAACAAAGCTAAAAATTTGTAGATGATTCCAAGTGGTGCCTTCACTGAGTTGCCGCTCCTCCAAAGCGCGGAACTTCAGGAAAATCGGATTCAGGAAATTGCAAGCAACGCGTTCATTAACGTGCCTCACCTTCTCTTCCTTAATCTGAGCTACAATCATTTACCGGCGTTGGATTACGTTGGTTTGGAGAGTCTTCGTTCGCTCGAAGTTTTGGATTTGAGCAATAATCGACTGTCCAGGGTGTCCAGTAACAGCCTAGCGTCGATGGAGTGGTTGGTTGAATTGAAAGTGAGTAAAGGAAAATGTTTCCTTCGCGTTTGAATTATTTCACGGAAGTACATTTACTTTTTCCGGGCTGAAATTTCTTATTTCTTATCTTCGTTGATTGTTATAAATTACTAAATTCGTGATCTAAAATCAACCCTGATTTTTCTAACTAAATGTAATTTTACTTTAAAGAATGTTAAATTGCAAATAATATTTAATGATTCTTTAAAAATTAAATTTACCCAGTAAACCGAGGGTTAATTTTCAATTATAAATTTAACAATTCATTGTTTAATTAACTTGCTTACGAAAAAAGTCCAAATGAAGACTACAATAATAACAATATAGTTAATTATAGTATAAACTCTCTGGTATAAAATATTAACGATAAAAATATACTTATTAATTAAGACAAGAAGAATTATATAAATATATGTACATCAATATCATCTACAATTACGAGTATACGAGATAAAAATAATAACATAAGAATTTACATATTATTTAATTCTAGGTCTCTTCCAAATAATTTAAAGTCGACCATCTTTCATACCGAGAAAAACACAAAGAAAGTACGCTTGATTCTGCTACAATTACCTATTTCATTTTTATTATTTTATTCTAATTGTCACACTGATAGAGTAAAATGATAAACACACTACGTTGCGTTCGAGAATGATGGTAAATATAGTAGTTGCGTTGATAGTCGATTTTTCATAATTATCGTACTAAATGAAAACGAGTAATGAAACAAAAATGACGGTGGGGATCGACTTTAGTAATAACGGCGAATACTTTCTCGTCGAGAGTGAAACTTCTCTACGAACCGTGGTGCGAGGCCACGCTCGTTATGCTAGCAGAGCAATTATTCGTATAGCTGAATCGTTAATTACAGAGATAGCGGATCGTTTTACATACGTTTTCCAAATTGCCCGCAGATGGATAACAATCGTATTTGCGCCATCCAAGGCTCCCCTTTCGACGAAATGCCGAGGCTTCGGGTTCTCAGTTTGAGAAGCAACCGGATGGCTTCCGTTTCGGAAGCGGCGTTCAAACGATTGCGATCGAACATCGCTGTTTTGGATATAGACGGTAAATAAAATTCATTCTATCGTCCTCTTGATATTCTACAGAACAGAAACAAAATTAATCACCTGTAAAAAAGTTTAAACATTAATTTATTTCTCTTTAATCGATAATTGATTTTTTCACGGTTTTAATTTATATCTTGGTTGTTTTAAATAATATTTAACAAACACCGTTGCATACGAAATATGGCGGCAATAGTAACTGCGTTAACTTCATTTTTTTTTAATAAAACCAGACTCTTATAGCAAACTTCGATAGATAAATGAATTTCCAGAAAGAATTCTTATAATACTGTTGCCACCATATTGCGTTCTCCTTAAAGTCATACCAGTTTGCGTGTAATGCTTTTTTCTTTTGTTTAAAGTAGCGAAGATATATTAAAACGCCTTATTTTATAAAACTGTCAATTACTGTTATTTTACGCGTGGAAGGCAATCCACTTTCGTGCTCTTGTGGAATGTTGTGGTTGAGAGGATGGTTGCAGCAAGCCTCGTCCGAGGGACCAAGATGCGCGGATGGATCTTTGTTCAAAGAAATTCGACTGTCGCGGCAGGATTGCCAGCGAGAAAGGCAAATCGATCCGATTCATCCCGGCTGTGAAGCTGAATTCATCGACGCAGCACCTTATCCTGTTTCCTCTTCGAGTGAGTCGAACTCAGAAGGACGAATGCAGTGGAAGTACCAGATTGTTTTTAATGCACTTGATACATTCAAAGATCCATGTATTCTTAAATCTTACTACAAAGTAATTCTCTCTTTTATCTCAGGAAACAATTCAAAATTGGTAGTCATTAGCTCGGTGTTACTCGCGACAATGGACTTTTCGTTGCGGACAACACTGATTACCGGGTCTCATTACTTGACCATTTATTACTATAAAGTGACCATTGTTGACCATTAATGGCTATAATCCAACCATTGTCGTTCATTGATGGCTATAAAGTGGTCATTGCTGACCATCGATGACCAAAAACTGACCATTTTAGGTCACTAATGGCCATAAAATAACCATTGTTGGTCATCGGTGGTCTTAAACTGACCATTGCTCACCATTAATGACTATAATCTAACCATTGTTGATCATTGATGGCTATAAACTTGACCATTGTTGATCGCTGATGGCTATAAACTTGACCATTGTTGATCACTGATGACTATAAACTGACTACTATTAACCATTGAAGATCTTTTATAAAGCCTTTCTACAAGGATCCCTTTAAAACTTGATACATGATTTGTCTTCAACATTTTGAACACGTATTTGAATTAAAACTGGGAAGTAAAAGAATAAATGTTAAACGGACATTTGCAATAAGACTTTTACTTAAGGCACGTAGTCTCTTGGGTACTTCCACTCTAGTATTTGAGTCGCAAAGTGTTCATAACGTTTTGCTCCGTCAGTTTTCGGGGCAACGGAGATGGTACCGCTTCACTTGAACATAAAAGAATCGTCGACGCAGAGGTCACCTAACTCCCAAAATTCCGAGTACTTTTACGAGTATCCGGATTATCAGGAAGCTAAGAACTCGACGTTGAACTCGACATCCCTTCAGTCGCCCGCCACCGTGCCGACGAACGCCATGAACATCGTCCAGACACCGGAAAAGGTTCAAAGCAAATCGAACGCTACTGTCCCCGTGAAGAAGAACACTTTGATGCCTCCCTCTCCTAGTAGCTCCGGTTTCACATTTTTCGGAGTGCCGTTACCCAGCTTGAATTTCAATCTATGGGGAAACACGGGGAAGAAATCTGAACGGAAGAACTCGTCGGGTAGACCCGGAAGGGGCCGTTACAGAACATTTCCGCCAACGGAACCAGAGATCCACAGAGGCGGTTTCATACCTTTGCCACGCGGTCAGGGAGGTTTCGTGCCCATCGTCGACCCTACGTTGACTTATCAGAGGCAAGTTAAAAACGAGACTTCGTACAGACAGAATTCGAGCGTCATACAAGAAGAGAAGAAACGATGGAGGAGCGGAAATGGTACGGTAGTGAAGGTAGAAGGAACCCACGTTGTAACGAGCAGACCAAAATCGGGCTTCAAAGAGAGGGAGGAATTGTCCACGATGGCTACGCACGAATCTGACTCTCGAAGGAAATCGTTCGCCAGGGGTAAAGGCAGGTAAATGTGTAAAAAAATGGTAACCGAATCGACAAAAATCTAGTAAAGTTTTTGCAGTATTATTATGGTATTTTTGAACATTTCAAATTTTTATGATTTTATCAGTTGTAAATTACAATGGGAAATATTATGATTACAGAAATTTTATTCTGTTTTCAAAATTCTAATTGCATTGATACTTTTTATGTGAAAGTCAGCATACCGAATTTCAAGATTTTCTGATAAACAACTCGGTAGATATAAAGTAGTATTTTATTCATTCATACTTACACAAATATAAAATATGTCAATATCTCCCAATACTTAATCACACTTTTAAAAAAGTATAATGGCTCTAATGGCCCGCTTATAGAAATTAAATTTGCACATACACGTGAGTATTCACTAAATTCTAACAAAAGTATAATATAAATGGATACTTTAAATTTAAAAAAATTGAATGCACTGTAATGCCTCCAAAATACTCAAAATTGTTCCACTGTGGGTCGTAAGCTTCACATTAAGAAACACTGTGCAATATTTTGTTAACCAGAATCAAGAATCAGGCGAATCTGGTCATTAACGTGTTAATATCGTTCCATTTTCATTTTTAAGTCCGAGTAATTTAACGAAAACCTCGGACTCGAGTACCGCGGCAGACGAATCGCCCCAAGAAGCGAACGAAACGTCCATGGCCACTGAGATCCACGATGACGAGGGTTTGGAGGTAAATCGATCACCAAGCAAAGTCGAAGAGAAGCTTCAAACAGAAGTCGCGAGTAGGATCGTCTGGACGACACCGAGAACGATTTTAGAGTCAACGAAAGGACGTCCTGCCAAAGAAACATCGACGGAAGCATCCAAGGGAGAAAAACCCGCCTTTTGGAGTTCCAAAGCGGTGGAATTCCAAGAAATATCTACCTCAACAGCGGCGAATATTCAAAACGAGCCAACTGGTAAGAACACGCGCGTTAAAATTCAATTTAGTATTACCATTGGCACAATGGGAACTGGAGAACAAAGGTGCCATTTTGGAAAAAATAAATATCAAAGACAAAAATAATAAAATAAAGGACTGTCGTTGAAATGTTGAAGAAAATGCTTGAAATGACTTATCCTTGCAATAATTGGTGCTGTATATATTATTTATAGACTATTCGAAGATTGCTACGACGGAACGACCAACTTTCCACTCGACATTCTCGAAGAATCGTCAGAACTTTTCCGCGTCTCAGTTTTCTCGGGAAACGGAAGCCTCGGCTCTTTCGGCGTTTCTGGTTCCCGGCGGCCAAGTGCCCTCCTCCGTGTCGACACCAAATCTACGTCCATTAGGTAGATCAACTATAACAAAAGTTCCCTCGCCGCATCTCGATCTCGCTGGTGAAGTAGAGAAACAGAAGTCCGTGGCTGAAGCTGTTCAACGTAACGTGGAAAACATGGAGGGGCAAATGCTTAATAAAGACGAATCCTCCGGCGAGAACGCTGAAGTTATCGAGGACAGTTCGTTCAATTGGTACTTCCAACATTACAACGATACCAATTTAGAACCGTACATGGGCGTAGCGTATAGCGCGGGTGAAAAAACAAGTGTTTACCGATGGACTCTATTTGGTCAGATGTGTCTTATTTTTTACACTTTTGTATAGAAATGAACAAATTAAAAAAAAATTAAATATCGAGCAATTTCTCATAAAAGAAAGACAGAGAACATCTGTAGGTTTTTTTTTAAAGGTTAAATCAACAAGTCCGTTAATGAAAAACAGCGTGTATCTCAAATTATGTATCGTACAGGTACAGGCATGATAAAATGCTGTTTCACAGTAGACAATTTTGCGCTGACGCGCGTACTTACGTTTAAGTATGAATTTGTATGATACAAAACAAGTTGTGCACGATCGATCTCAACTTGAATGCATCTCATCTTGATCTTCCGTAAAGTCCCTTTGTATTAACAAAGAATAAATAAAACCGTTTGTTCGAGTGATCGATTCTTCTGTTTTTTTTTTTTTTTATTAATTATGTAATGTGTTAATTATGATAGCTCAAGTTTTTTTTAAAAAATATGTCTGTAGCGCCTAAATTGTCTACAATAAGGTAATCTTATCTAGTATCTTCAAATAATATAGAAAACTTCGGTACATGTGGGGCAAATTGTTGACAGTGATTGAGCAATTCACGTGAAAATGACCGTAGTTTGTCGATATCGATACATTACAAAAAGTTATGTAGTTTGAAGCAGATTCTCATTCCTAACGATATAACAAAAGTTACTAGTAAAAACTCGGTGATCATATTTGTTGCGTTGTTTCGTGAAAAAAATTATTTAATGTTACAATTTTCGATGATTATACTCCGTTTGCTAAATTTAAATTGTGGAAATGTGTAACTGCGTTCCTACTATCATATCCTTTATCTAATGTAAATACTTTTTAAATTCATACTATACTGGAACACATAAGAAAAACATTTTTATTTTTGGTGTTGACTCGAAATACCGGCCATTTAAAAGCATGAAATACATTTGTACATGTATAAACAAACTTCCGTAAGTTTTGTGACCTTTTGTAAGATTAAGTTTCAATCGCACAAGTTAGTCTCGATTTCACTTTATTCACTGGCTTTTAGCTTTTGCTTTATCTTTCTCATCCTTTTTCTCGTCTTCTTTCTTTTCGTCCTTCTTCGTTTCTTTCTTATCTGTTTCTTTTTTCTCGGCATCGCGATTAGTTAATTTATTATTAATCAAATTGTGTAGCGCTATTACGGATCTAACAAGAGCCGCGAGATACACAACTAACATCTGATCGTTCGTTTTTACGTATAGTGAATCGACGAAATTACTGTGCGTCATATCGGGTAACAGGTTAAAAATGTCCTGTAGTTGATAAACAATCTGATGATTTATTGGTAATTTACCACTGCCAACTTGAAGCAGGTAATCTCTAATTTCCCTAATTTGTTCGTGAAGGCCCTTCAAGCCTAATAGCTGATTTGTAATTCTCTGGCTAAGGGTACCAACAGTAGTATCTTTTATATCTCTCAATAAATGTTCTACACCTACTTCTTCTGCTTCCTCTGCACCAATTTCACTAGGGATGTGTTCAAAGGTTTTAGACGTTGGTGATCCATCCTACAAATAATTTTAAATCATGTCAATTGTATTAAAAATTGTATAACACACTATACAGGGTATTCGGCCACCCCTGGGGAAAATTTTAATGGGAGATTCTAAGGGCCAAAATAAGACGAAAAACAAGAATGCCAATTTGTTGATCGAGGCTTCGTTAAAAAGTTATTAACGTTTAAAGTTCCGCCTGTAGAACGGCAATTTGCGAGCAGCTGCGTGCACGAGATAGTGGTTCTCACTCAGTATGAGAAACTCTACTTAATGACGTATCGACAGCCATACAGTTTTGTGAATGAGAACCACTATCATGCGCACGCAGCTGTTCGCAGATTGTCGTTCTACAGACGGAACTTTAAACGTTAATAACTTTTTAACGAAGCCTCGATCAACAAATTGGTATTCTTAATTTTCGTCTTATTTTGGCCTCTAGAATCTCCCATTAAAATTTTTCTCTTAATTTCGCGACTCAGTCTTTCGCCAACAAATTTTTTTCCCCGTGATCGGATCGACTTCGAACCTTTTTTATTCGTCGTTTGAAGATTTTTCTATATATTTGGCCCAAAAGTTAAGATTTCGTGATATCAATGTCGCGTGCACGGAATACGAAAAAAGGCGCTCGATTTACGATAAAAAGCGCGCCTGCCGGAGAAACAATATAAAACTTACATCGTGAACCTCCTCAACAGCTTGATATGCTTCTGTTGGAAGACCAAGATCTTTGGGTTTAGCATCAATGATGACCAACACAGAATTAGGACAATATCTCCTAATGAGTTCATTGATAGCAACATCATTTTGATGTAATTTAGGCCCAGTGTGATACCATCCTACTACCTTTTCACGAGCTAAGAATTTATACAATGTTAAATTTATGTTTTTATTAAGAGAATTGAAATTTATGTACAATGGAATTAGTTTTTACCATTAACTTTTTTGAACATTCCATACATGTTTTCCAGATAATCATGGTCAAGAAACCATACACTTTTGTCTTTGTCATCTTCGTCAAAGGGTACTGTAAAAAAAAATACGGCAATTAACTTTCGCAGTTCGAATTTCTTATTTACACAAAATTTTTGAGCCTGTGTGTAATCACTGAAACCAGTCAAATTACAAGTCAATGTGTAGTACAAATTTACAACACATTTACATGGTAATTACTAGCGTAGGAAATTATAAAGAATTCATCATAAAAAGTGGTAGTAATTTTAAGAAGCAGCGATAAAAGTTGGAGGAGTCATTCTAACCTGCAAAACTGTTTGACACGTCCAGCACACCTTTGGCCCTCCAACAACCCAAAAGGACACCGACAACTCTTTTTTGATTACCAATCTTTCCCATACGATTAAAATGGTCAACTACACTCAATAAAACCAAAGGGTGAACCACCACTTTTGTAGTCACAACCTCTTGACTCGGCATTTTTGAGCACTTTCTTTGCTTTCCACAATGAACATAGCTGCGTTGGAAATACTTCAAGTTACACGCTGTTCATTCGCTACAAACCCTTCTAGGTACAAACGTGCAGCCATCGTAATTGGAAATAGGTATTTTCAGATTAAACTTTTAAGAAATAATTATTTCCTAATGAATTGTTATTTACCACAAACAATTTTATAAAGGACATGCATGGAATTTTTGTTTAACTTTAAGCATTTCGTGGAATGTAAAAATTCTACAAAATTTACTTTTCTGTTTAATAATTAAAAAAATATTTTTTTTAGGGATTACAATTGGCAGTACTGACGAGGAAACACGTTGTTCCACAAGTGTTTTCCAGCGTGTATTTTGTTGCCCATCGGTTATCAAAAGGTAGTTTTTTTTATCGTGATACTTTTGACATTTATTGGTACTTGTAACAGTGATGCAAAACGTGTCTTTTTGTGTATTTTAATTCAATTTTTTCGGAAAATAGTATCAAAACATTTCATATGATACCACATTTTGCTATCCTAGTGTGGCTAGGTATAATTGAGTGCATCGAGGGCGAAAGTAGTTACGACGGATTTCCTATAGTACCTAGCGGAAGGTGACGAAAGCAATTCGTCGTTACTAGTGTCGCTGTCGATGTATTCAATTATGCTAAATTTGGCTACACTGCTGGCTATCGATGCTATGCTTACCAACCGAAATTATTACAGACGAAAGGGCGCGAACTTTAAGATCATAGATCTTTTTTTGATAATTATTCAATCTAGGGAAAACAGCTCTGATAACCTTGACCTTGACATATGTATGTTATCAAGAAAATGCTCCTTAATAAACTACAAGAGGTTATAGTCGTCTGTCGTTATTCATTAAAAAGTTATTAAAAAAAAAAATGTTTGAAAAATATGGCATTTATTTTCAGTACTACATTAAAGGTGTACAACTATGTTTATAAAGAGGTGAATAAATTGTTTTTCGTTAATAAATTGTTGTAAAATTCTATTTTAAAGGATGTCGAAATCAATAGTGTTTGTAACCGGAAACGCGAAGAAACTCGAGGAGTTTGTGGCCATTTTAGGAAAGAATTTCCCACGAGAAATTACAAGTAGAAAAGTCGATCTTCCGGAGTATCAGGGAGAGGTAGATGATATTTGTCGCAACAAGTGTCGAGCCGCAGCAGATTTAGTTAAGGGCCCGGTTATCATCGAGGACACTTGTTTGTGTTTCAACGCAATGAAAGGATTACCTGGCCCTTATATTAAATGGTTCTTAGAAAAACTTGGTCCAGAGGGTCTTCACCAGATGCTTCATGGTTGGGAAGACAAAGGCGCGGAAGCAGTCTGCACGTTCGCCTATTGCGCTGGCGAACCGCAAGATCCGGTTATATTGTTCCAAGGTCGAACTCAGGGAACCATCGTCGCTCCTCGAGGACCACGAGATTTTGGCTGGGATCCGTGCTTCCTGCCTTTGGATAGCGACAAAACTTACGCGGAACTACCGAAAGAAACGAAAAATCAAATTTCGCACCGCAGCAAAGCGCTGGAGAAATTAAAAGATTATTTTATGAAGGAGGTTTGAACATTGATCCAACGCGCCGCGTCTACGAAAGACGATTATTTATATTATAGTAATAAGTAACCCTATGTAACGGCGATAATTTAAAGAAGTACGATATTTGTTATCCAGAGGAGCTTTGTTTATTGCACCCCGCGATTGATTATCTTTAGAAAATATCAACGAGAAGGTTTTTTGTATTGTTGAAGATGACTCGACGTTAAAAACATATTTCTTCTTTATCAAAAATTTCTTTATTATTTATAAATTATTTTTAATACGTATCGATAATTTGATCGATAGATTTAATTGATTGTCAACCACGGGTCTACCATTTGATTATTATTTTTCTGTGAATTTTTGTCTATGGATTAGCGACAATAACATTTAAAACAAACAGGCGATTCAAATGTTGACCACGGTAATCAATATACCACAGATCGCACGTATTCACGATATTATTGTTTACATGTTTGCACAATGACGCAACACTGTTGTTATATTACTTTTACGAGAATAAACGTGCGATTATTAACGATGATAATTTCTGTATATCGTTTCCGATAAAATGACCTATTCTTGTATTATTTATTATTATTCTTGTTCATTACGAGCGACGGTAAACATGCAATCATTTCTGATTTGTTGTTTCGGGGGATATCGTTGATAAAGTTAACCAAATTCGTTAATACTCGAAACACTGTGCTTTTTAAATGTAAAAGATACCTCGAGGAAAATTTTTAACGCTCTGCCATATTTGTATAGCAACAATTCCAATGATTAAATATTGTTGCTTATATTCGATCATTATAATATAATTGTAAACTGTTGTCGACCATTGAATTTATTATATTTCGCGCGTAGTTGCTTTCAAAGTAAAAATACATACAACAAAAAGTTGTGGAAAATAAAATTCAAAAATTTTTTTATTGTTAATATTAAGCGACTTTAAAAATTAAACCTGCGGAACGAGTAAGTTAGGCAATAGATCCTGCAGGACCTATGAGACAGATTCCTTTGCACAATTTATAATTTGTTTGTAATTTATTTCTTAATATTTTAATTAAACTTCACGTTAATTATTTATTTATACACACGCATTCTCAAAAATGTTTATAAAAGGTAGTATAAACTAAATAACGAATATACTTTCTTGACATTTGGGGGAGGGGGATGATTTCACTCGCTTTTCTTATAAATACGCTTCTGACAGGACCATCCGTTGGAATCTCATTTATCTAAGAACTGTTGTGAACATACGACATGTAATGGAATTTCTTTCAACAATTCATGCAATTGATTATTCAAGAAATTGACACAAGATTGACCTGTTAATCTCTCATTATGAAAAACAACATGTTATCGAGCTTTGTAAATAAACGGTTCAATAGAATCAATTATACTTAATTTGTACCTATAAACCATCAGAGTATAAAAATGGCTGACTCGGGAATAGAGTCGTGCAAGGAACACGTTTATATAATATTCTTTCATTGTTTTCTTTTCGTCCTCGATCGACTGTTAAAGCGAGTTTCATACGTTGAAATGCACTCTTATGCATATTCGATCATTTCTGCATTTTAAACAATAACTTCTATCCTAGAGGACATCGTGTACTTTGCTTAAAATAGACATACTTTCAGCGAACGAAACGAAGGAGAGTAATATTGGGCAGTGTCTCGTTCAAGAGAAACAAGAAACTCGAAAATAAGTAAACTGAGAAAGAAAGCATTTAATTATCTGCTCCAATGAAAACGTAAAAAAGATAAAAAATCATAAGCAACCACAAAACATTCGATCGGGTGACACGCATACTTTTAAGAAGTCATCCACGTAAAAGAAAATGAGCCGTTGCAATGATGCCCGAACGGGTTATCTTTTGCATTGATTACACTGGCACGGCCGGTTCGTAACACCCTCTCGTTGGGGGTTATCGTTTATGCTTGCACATTCTCATTTCACCCGGATTCACCGATTTTTCGCCTTATAAAAGGAGAATGCCGCCTAGTAGTGGACCAGTCATTCTTCGAGCACCGTGCTACGATGAATGCCCTAATCGGTAAGTGAGAAGACGAAACCTTATTACGTGTTTTTTATCATCACGTCGCGCGGAGATGGTTCGAAAACAGGGTCTTTGATCGTAACATTTTTATTTTTCAGTGTTATTGGTGTCCTTGGCGGCGGCGGCTCACGCCGTGCCAGGTACGTTGATCGAAACTGTTCCTCCGAGCTCTACAGTTTCAAAGATCTTTGAACGTGAAAATTACCTTTTTCTTTATAGCTTACGTTCCCCATGGAAAAGAGGTGACTTACAAGTACTCGGTCGATGTGAAATCCGGACTGATGATGCCGGCTGAATACGCGTCCGTGTTCGGCATCGACTGTCGTCTTCGCGTAAAACACTACGCCGGTGATCCGGATTGGCCGAATTCCTACTATGTTGAATTGACGAACGTAATGCACAGGCTGTACAATGGACCAGCTAGACACGACGAGCATCTCAATGTTACGTCGCTTCATGTTCCCGAGATCGCCAAGTCGATCGAAAGTCCCTTTGTGATCGTTTGCAACGAACACGGCCAGGTAAGTTGCAAAGCGATCGTTGAAGATGGGAGCCAAGCGGTTCAGACTCACACACGTGTTTCCATTTTAGTTGGTAGGTTTGAAATTCGTGGGACCGGAACGCGAGTGGTCGAAGAACATAAAGAGGGCGATCGCCTCTATGCTTCAGCTGGATATGGTTCACATCTTCGCCCAGAGCCCGGTGAAATCGCATAGTTTCATAAACCGCGAGGTAGGTAACGACTGATGGGAACATCCCGGAGATATTGGTTAATGTTCTCTTTGGTTGTTACCACTAGGAAACCATCCATGGCTGGTGCGACGTGTCCTACAACGTTCATCCCAAGATCCAAGATTCTTCGGTGGACACTAACGAGTTGGTGGTCACGAAAATACACGAACCGTTGAACTGCACCAAATTTTCATACCTCACGTTCAATAATATCGAGCACAACAACTCGTGCCAAATCCCGGAAGAGGTAACGAGCGATCCATGTACTTCGAATTCGTTTCTCAAGCGTTTCGTTAACAATTTTTATAAATTTCCAGAACGGCATGACCACCGCCAGCAGACGAGTGTTCGAGATCGAACACCACGGACAGGAGATATTAATAAAGAAGTTTATCGGTCACTCTGTCATCAACTATTTCCCTTGGCTCGCCAAAGCCGAGGCTCACTACCTTCTCACCAAGTAAGTTAACGGTGGTAAAATAATGCTTGCTCGTAGTAAAACGCCTGTTTCCGCAGCCAAACGTTGATCTTCGACGACATCAAAGATCTGATTACGCACGACGTGCAAGCGATGAACGATCAAATCGATCGTCGCATCACTTTCACCGAACCGACCACGAACTACGACGTCACCGGTGACTTGGATGATACCCAAGGTCGACACCAAATCAAGGCCAAAGACGATATCGACAAAGTGAAGAAGATGTTGGACGAAGCCGCCAGCTACCTCAAAGAGAACCACACGGAGCAGAGACAGCCAGAATGGAAGCACGGTCAAACGATTAACAGGCTACTGTACACTATGGGTCGCATGAGTCTTGAATCGTTGGTTAAAGTGTTCAACGACGTCGAGGGCGCCGCAGATAAAAAGGCGGTAACGATGAAGTGCGTAAATCGGTGTTCGTCGATCGTCGAAAAATCCGTACCGAAGCTAATTCTTTTCGTGTTCGATTCTCAGAAATGTTTTCCTCGGAATGGTGTCGAACGTAGGAACCACGGCCGCGTGTCATTTCACGCGAAACGCGATCCAACGAAAGACCGTTTCCGATTTGACCGCCGTCGCGATGCTCAGCAAGCTTCCGATGAACGTGAAACATCCGTCGGAACAGCTGCTTAGAGACATGGAGGTGTTACTGGGCCTGGACGAGTCCGTTTCCGTCGACGTGAGGAAGGCTAGCATACTTTGTTTTTCTACCCTGGTCCATAAAACTCACAAGAACGGCACCTACACCCCTCTCCTGGACTTTTATTTGAACCGCTTCAACTACGGTTTCGAAAGTACGAATATTTTATTAAATTTCACGCTTTTCGCGACGATTCATTTTTAACGCGTTCCACAGACAGCCCAACGCAGGAGATGAAGATGACGTACCTGATGGCCATCAGAAACACCGGTGTGCCGAAGATTCTAGATTTTCTGGAGCCAGTCATCCGTGGCGATGTTGTCGTATCCGAGAATCCACATATGTACCGAGTATATGCTATTTGGGCCATCAAAGACGTGGCCGTTGAGTTCCCGACTCGCGCGCACGACTTGCTCTGGCCAGTTCTCAGCAACGTCACTCTTCCAGTGCCGGTCAGGATCGTCGCTTACGAAGTATTGATGCATCAGTTGCCTTATACGAATCGTCTCATGGACGTGTACTGGTTCATGGTATACGAGAAAAACGAAGACCTGTACAACTACCACGTAGAAACGATCAAGGGCCTGGCGTCTTCCTCCAATCCGTGCTTTAGACCAGTCCAGGAACTGGCTAGGAAAATATTGAAGTTCACGAGAATGAGAAACGTTCCTGGTCCGCTTTCGACCAAGTTCCACGTCGACTCATTCGACGAGACACACGGACACAGCGAAGCCGTAAAGGTCTCGTTGATCGTTGATCGCAAGTCCGGTCTGCCATACATTGGCACGGCCAATCTCTTATCGTCCGTCGCTCGCAAACCTGTCAGTCGATTGGGTGTAAGTATCGCTAATTTCAATCAGTCATTGACTTGATCGTCTACAGGCGTTTCACTGAATTATCTATATCGTAGGTTCATTGGTACATCGAAGGTTTGCCCGGAGTGATGAAGGAAACCATGAACAAGATTTTCGGTAGCGCCGTGAAAGGTGTCATCAAACAGAACGTGAGGGGCTTGATAACCGAAACAGCGAAGAATATCAAGGCAATCGGGCCTTTCAAGATACAATTGGTTCTTACGACCTTGAACGATAACGTTGTCACGGTGCTCCACTACGACCAAGACACTTGGTGGGAGATTTTCGACAAACTGAATTGGTGGAAGCAGTGCATCACCGAGCACAGTAAACAAATTAACGCGCAGAACGTTTATTACGACGACAACTACGAGATGCACGTGCCTACCGACTTTGGGGTACCGGCTGTCTTGGCTACGAAATCACCTGTCCTCGACTCTTTGAAACTGAGCATGGTCTGCTCGAAAGAAATGGATCTGACCAAGATGCAACTGAAGATGAAGTATCAGGAATGGACGCACGGGGAGTACTTCATGTCGATCTACAATCCCATCGCCGATACTTGGCACGGTATACGCAGAACAGGAACACGGGACATTGTCATACCGCACGATCTGACAATTGTTTATAACAATGTTTCGAATAGTATTAAGATTACCACGCCAAGACTGCCGATGAACGAATATTCGACCATTGGGTTATTGACTCAAGCCAAAAACTACGTCACCGTGAGGGACGAAACGGACACTTTGACGAAAAGCTGTCCCGATTGCTCTCACGTTCAGAACGTCACCGGTGTCGTCAGCAACAGGACACACGAGCACGACGTACACTTGAAGGATAACGGGCTTCGATATTACTTAGGAATATACAATTGCGAGGGCCACGTTACTCCCTTGCCTATCGCCGACTGGTACAACGCGATCGCTTTCGATCGTAGCGAACCCATGTAAGTACGAAATAATACAGCAATCAACGGTACAAAATGTTTGGATGTATCAATAAACTTTTATTTTCGTTACGAAGGAATTTCCAGAAATACGTACGTCTTCTTATAAGACTGCGTCAGAAGGTGAAGAACGACATGATCTCGTCGCAACATGCGAGTTGTTCGAATCTGATCAAAGTGGAACCAAGCGTCGTCTATCCTGCTTCGCAGGTAAGTTGGGAAAGACGCGATGCATAATGCATCTTTCTTTAATTTTAATCTTGAAACTAGGTCGATTGCACCGCGAAAGTTAATATCAGAGATACCCCCGGAGATAAATTGAACGCCCTCGAAGCTATGAAGGTCGACATCCGTGCGACCATGGACACCAAAGGGGACAGAAACGTATCCATAGTGCAGTGGGACGCGAATGTTGTCGTGCACATGTCACCAGGACACGAACACAATCGCATGCATACTGAGTTCACCCGCACCATTCCGGGAGAGAAGAATTTGAAGGTACGAAGGATCAAAGAATTCGTGGAGTAAATAGAGACTGGATCGATTATTGTTCTGTTTTAGATATGCATTGACGGACAGAAGGACTACCCACACATCGACGCCGATCCGTTACGCGTTACCGATACGGACAAGGAGACCCACACGAAAGTAACGATCGTCGCGGGAGAAACGACGGAGAACAAATGTGTGCACGATAAAATGGATGTCACGGTGAACGTGAAAGGTGAGATGTCGCAGGAGCAAAAGGATCACACGCAGCACGAGCACATTGCCCAGGTTTGTCGCGATCAGATGAACGATCCAGACTTTCATACCGAGGAGATGCACGTTCCAAAGACTTGGGAATGTATCCGGGAAGCTGTGCTTCACTCAACTCTGAGGAAATACACCGCGAACATGGAATTGAAGAAGGTGAATTTTTATTTATGGCGCGAATCGAAACTGGTCGTGTCTTTTTTTTTGGAATTGTTTTATATTCGTACCGGTTTTAATTTTTCTCTCGCAGGTCCCTTCGTTCGTGACAAGAGACACAAACGTGATGCAAAGTTTAATGCGAGCTTTTTACATCGATCATATGGATTATACTGGAGAACTCACGTCGCCTGGAAACGTAAAAGTGCACTTGGACTATTCAACCGAGACACCCACGGTTGACCTGGTCACTCTACGCTCGACGCATAGCTACCATATACTTCAACTGCCGTTCGGTGACACGGTTTGGAATAAGTTAATGGACAACGTTAATCTTCCTATGCCCATGTTGACGCAATACGTTGACGATACAAGCAGTAAGATTGCAATTATTAAATTTATAATGGTGCGACTTCGATACTTGCGTTTTGTTAATAAACAATGTTCGTTTACGAAATTACACGCGACACGAAAGGGCACACTGTGTATGTTTATCCAGTTCTTATTAGATCGATTACCTCGATAATCGCACGTAGTTTCGTCCTGCAACTATCGAAGCTAAACTCTAGTGATTATTTATAAAATTGATATTCATCGCCTTTTCAAGTTAGAAGCGTTGTTTTATTAATATCAATATCGTGCTTTTTGCAGAGCAATGCACAGTCTACTCTCGAGTTCGAGTAGCTTTCAACAATTCCATTATTCGAGATAAGGTTCCCAACGCTTGGACAGTTTTGTCTGGTCACGAAAGCGACACCGAAAACATATTTAAAGTTTCTGTGAAAGGACTGCCAAACGACAGATTGGCCATGTTGTGTAAAATTCGAAAACATAAAATAGAAATCGAACCCGCTGATTCGAAGGTGATAGTCAAGGTCGACGACGTACAAATAAATAATTACGCAAATGGTATTTTAGTACCTAAGGGTGATATGGAGACCTACTTTATGAAGTAAGTTTATCGTTTTTCTTTCACTGTATATTTTACAAAGAAAAACATAATTTTCTATGGGTTTCTTTGAAAAGTATATAAATATGACAAAAATGTGTGTTCCATTTTTCAGGTTGACCTCGAATTATGGTCATTTGATTATACAATCAAAATGGGCACCATTGAGCATCTTTTACACGCCAAACAGTGTGACCGTATTAGTAACTACTGAACTTCGGGGTTCTATATACGGTTTATGTGGATCCATGAACAATCCCGAAATTCCAAAAGTTCATACTCCTTTGGGCCATTGAAGTATCAAGGCGACCGCCAATGTGAACATTATAGCCATCTTGTAAAGTGTATCGAGCGGAAGTTCATCAAAGTTATAGGTGTTCATTAGTTTTTCATAAAGCGCAAAACATTGCAGGAATGTTGTTTCGTTAATACAGTTACATTTGCAATATAACATCAATATATTCGTAACACATATTATGCGCTTATGGTGAAGAATATTACAGAAATATTGTTATACCATTGCAGCTGCAATTGTACTATCGACACCGAACATTATTGAAATATTGCTGCAATGTTGCAGTTATAATAGCGTATTTACAATATTACAGCAATATGTCTGTGTAATATTGCATTGAAACTATTCTAAAAATATTTTAGTAATTATGAAACAAATACTATTTCGAAACGTGTGTAGTATATAGCATATTCTATGAATATTGTAGCAAAATTTCAATCGTCGTATTCACGATATTACAAAAACGTTGAAGTAATGTTACCGTGAAATGTAGCCTTGCAAATAGTATATTTTAAATATATTGCTGTAATATTTTCCCTTAACAATACTTTCAAAATATTCTTTTTATATGCAGGCAAAAATAAATATTCAAATTATTTACATTTATATATTACATGATATATATTTTTATAAATTATAATATCCCCAAAGTTTCAAAATTTGTTGAATTTCCGGCTTGGGTATGTTCCCTCGTAAGAATGACAAAATCATAATTGTGTATCTTTGGTAATAATATAAGGGTGTAATATTGCAGATAAACAAAGGTTTTTCATACAAATTATCAAGTACCTTGCATTTATGTTCTACACCATACATTCTTCCATCCGTATTATTACAACATTTTAAACCCGAATAATAATGAAACAATTTTTGCATTAATAAAGTAAGTTCACGCATGTGGCTCGTTTGGACTCTTGCTGGGACTCCCCTATACTTCTCCAATTTATTAAATCTAAGTATCGCTTATAATTAACGAATACACTTAAATAAATTAATGCAGAGATTTATTTTCAGTTAATGCTTCAATTTCTACCAGTAATTAATAGAAAAATATATATATTTATATAAAAAGAAAAGATATTAATTTAGTATAAACATATTTTTTTAAAAAGATACTATTCATAACATAACCGTACCATCTACTATTGTATTTAAATTATATAAATATACAAAATATCATTTTAATAGAAGATGCGATTTTTGAGTATTTATAATTAATCATATATGATAGTTATCATAACAAGATTAGGCTGTTACTGTTATATATTGTATAATGAAGTCAGTTGAACAAGTCGCCTCCGTGGCGCAATCGGCTAGCGCGTTCGGCTGTTAACCGAAAGGTTGGTGGTTCGAGCCCACCCGGGGGCGGTTCTTTTTTTTTTTTCATTTACTATACATTAAAATCTTATCGAAGTTGCACTTGGTTCGTTTAAAAGCTGGCATATTATATTTTTTCATCATTAAAACTGTCACGTTTATGTTCATTATTCAAACGAATTTCTGTTATTGATAGTAAGCACATTCAAATTTGCCACGCAACGAACGATCGAAAGGAGCGCCTCCATTGATTTCCTTCTCGTTCGACACCATCTTCCTTTTATCAACGCATGTACGCCACACGAGAAGAAAAGTTATAATCCCAACTTCAAAGATAGAATTTATTACGTAAGGATTAATTACGACGACATAAAGACGTTGATTATTCTTAATTTTGATAGTATTGTGAATCGTTGGTAGTATGAACATATCGTTTAAAACGTTCAATTAATCGAAAAAGTTTCTCTGGCCCGGTCTCTTTAAACATTTTTAAATATCTAAGTTCTTTAAATTAATTCGATTCGGACAGTTTGTGTGTTTCAAGCGTTTCTTATTATTATAAACTAATAGAAATCAAACTTCCGCTATAACTACTTAACGTGTAATTCGAGTTGTAATTCTTTAGAGTTCTAGGTTAGGATTACTTCTTCATAATTACGAGTATATTTCTTTGGCAGTAAGATGTTGTACATTCTTTCAGGTATCGCATTACAAAATGCTACAGTTTTTCAATAGACTAGGACAATTTGGTGCAGGCTTGGCTGTAGTTGGAGCTGCTGTTAACTCAGCTCTTTATAATGGTTAGTTTTCTTCTTTTTTGCATGTCAGAATATCTGTTGTTGCGTCCCGAATATTAACGACTTAGCGCAATAGTTAAAACTCTGAAAAGAATTATGTTTTTGGTGTTTGTAAAAAGTAGACTTCTTCCTCCTTCTGAAACCGCTCGCGTGTAAGCGAAATCAAAAAGAATTTCACATTATGAAGCGAGACAACACTTATGTACGATTTTCTCAAAGAAATATGTGTTTTCAATTTTCTAGTGGATGGAGGTCATAGAGCTGTTATCTTCGACAGATTTGCGGGTATAAAGAGTCACGTTGTAGGAGAAGGAACACATTTCTATGTTCCTTGGGTACAGAAACCTATCATATTTGATATTCGATCTAGGCCAAGAAACGTACCTGTCGTTACTGGAAGCAAAGATCTGCAAAATGTAAACATCACGCTTCGTATCCTCTTTAGGCCAGTACCAGATACTTTGCCAAAGATCTATACTATTCTTGGTATAGATTACGATGACAGAGTACTACCATCTATTACTACCGAAGTATTGAAAGCAGTAGTTGCTCAGTTTGATGCAGGAGAATTGATCACACAAAGAGAGATTGTGTCTCAGAAAGTTAGCGAAGATTTAACGGACAGAGCTTCACAGTTTGGATTAATTTTAGATGATATTTCTATTGTAAGTATCTTAATCGTTTTGATTTCTCTATATCATAATTATATTTTATATTAACTTTGGAATGCTCTTTCAGACGCATTTAACCTTTGGAAAAGAATTCACGCAAGCCGTAGAGTTGAAGCAGGTAGCGCAGCAAGACGCAGAGAAGGCACGGTTCTTAGTAGAAAAAGCAGAACAGCAGAAAAGGGCAGCTGTAATTACTGCGGAAGGTGACGCACAGGCTGCTAGTTTAATTGCAAAGTCTCTTGGCGAAGCTGGTGACGGTTTAGTTGAACTAAGAAGAATCGAAGCTGCAGAAGATATAGCTCATAATTTATCTAAATCTCGCCAAGTTGCCTATTTGCCACCGGGTCAAAACGTTTTACTAAACTTACCGCAATAAAGAGATAGACTGGAAACAAATTGTATACTTAAGTTGTGCATTTATATCATAACAAATGCATTTTTATGCTATAATGGTGTATGAGATGTAGATGCTATTCGAAGCATCCTGAAAGTGTTTGCCAGGAATATACAGGATGGAGCATTTGAAAGAGGTCACCCAGATAACTCGTTTTAAATGCCTTACTCTAAACAGTTCATAGCATTTATATTTCAGTTCAAGATTTACATTTTTTGGCTGTTCCGAATGACAGCCCGCGGCCGATCGATATGAAAGTTGGGGTTGGAGGGGAGGAGGAATAGATTCCAAATATAAAATTTTAGCTTCGGGAATTTAATAGCTTCTGAGATACTAGGTTAGTTTTGGCTATTTTTTATTTCGTCACTATACGTATCTAGATTAGGTTCCGATCAACAAAATAAAAACACAATTTCCAACATTACTTTGTTAATATTTTGGGAACTATTTAATTCTCGAAGCTAAAGTTTTATCTTTGGGACTTATTTCCCCCTCTCCCAATCTTCTTCAAATTTCATGTCGATCGGCCGTGGGTGTCATTCGGAAGAATATCTCATTTTGTATACGTTCCTGTACTTTTTACTGTACGCAAACAATTTTGAACAATTTATTCTACACTTTCAGGATCGTAGTTTTACGTCATTTTCATTTAGATAGTACTTGATTGATCGATTTAAAATGCGAGATTCAATAACACAAAGTTTAATGTGTGTGATCTGCTATATAAAAGTGATGGTTGTTGATACTATTTTTGGCCCCTTACCTCGATGTGAGCATTCATACGAAGTAGCGGGCAATAACAGATTTATTTATTCCAGTATAAAGTAAAAGTAACTCCATTTTAAGAAGATTTCTATGTGTTTTGTTACGGTTTACGTTACATCATGTATGAATTTTAACGTTGACGCGCTATTAAATCTGTAAACATCTCAGATACTATATATAGCAGAAATAAGAAAAAAGTAATGTCTCGTATGCAACCATGGATTGTAAAAACATTTTGTAATGCAAAATCAATAATGCAACGCATATTTTTAACATGCAGATTCATTTTGAATTGTTACATTAAGCACGGTGATACGTACGTGTTTTCAACGTAGTAACTATGTATACAAGCAGACATTGTATCTGTGAATAATGTTAGCAATCATTGCTGTAAAGACTTCCCAATTTAAATATTATTTTTTAGAACGGAATGTTTTAAAACATTTTATTTGATTTGTTCGCCTTATGTTGTGCAACGGTTTAAATTTCTTTTTCTCGTTTACACGAACACGAACGAGATGTACATCGAGGTTTCATCGCGGCGATTCGTTCGCATGAATTCGATAGATCGCGATGATCAATCAGCGACTCAAAATTGGTGAAAGATTATCTCAGCCGGGGTGCCGTGGGTCCCGTGTTTGTCGGCGTTCCCGGTTGATAGAGAAAACAATCCATCATAATTTGGTGAGCGCCGTGGGGTTTCTTCCGAAGGTGGTCTGCAATGAAAATTGGAAATACACGTTGCTAACTTGAACCACCTCGTAAAATAAAAATTTATACTTTATCTCGTGATTTAAACTAGCACGTGGAATTGAAATAATTCGATGGTTCACGACAGCTTCCAGTGTTTTTCTTGCCATTGGAATTTCTATTGTATTTGTTCCGCCGTATTATACGTGATAACGATAGTCTGCAAATAATTGTGTAATTTTTTTTAGAATTCGTTTCGCTTGGTAGGACTCTAGAGGGGAAGAAAGATTAGAAAAAAAAAAAATGATAGTAAAGGATCGTTTTCCATGATAGATCGTACAGGTATAATTTTCATTAAATTATAAACTAACCGAGAGAGCTCACAGACTGGAGGAGCAGAAGGGGTGAGATCGAGGCGGTCGGAGCGCGAGGCGAAAGCAGATTAGCGTGAATAATGAAGACACGACCCCGTGAAAGCCTAAGCGGGCCTCCTTAAGTCTGCTCCTTCGAGTAGAAGCCGAAGCCGGAAAGGAAGGATGCTGGTTGAGAGGTGGAGCGGACAGAAAGGAGGTAGAAGCAGTTAATTACTCCTCCCATCCAAGGGATAACGACTTCCCCTTATTTGTCGAGAGGCGCAAACAGCCAACCCTCGGCGAAATCCCTTGGCAAGACGCTTTCTCGGATATATACCTCACGGAATCTTGGGTCTATCCCATAACTCAAGCGTTGCGCTGTTTCGATGAGCAACAATGGATCCAATGCTATCGACGAGTCTTCGAATTGTCAGATACAAGTCGTGTTACAAGGAGAGAACCAGCAGGCGACCAGGAAGGTGATTTTTTAGCCAATTGTATCTCATATTCTATGTCTTAATATTTCAAGGGTGTAGTTTTTGGTTTAAAGGGCAAAAATTGCGACATTTTTTTCATATTAATTGAAGAATACGGATTTGTGCAGGGTTCGTTCCTGCCAAGCTAATTTTATTTAATTTTTCTTTTCATAAAATACAATTAGGTGCACGGTGCATTGACGAAACAGAATTATATTTATTCAGCAATGAAACCCCTGGTTGATAAACAGTAAGTTGGTGTCTTTAATTGTTTATAATTTGTATACATTCATTGTAGAAAATATATATTCGAAATCAGAGATGACTAGCCGTGTAGTACTTGTAATGATGATATTACAGTTGATATACTAATATAATTTTTTGTGGCACAGGATTTCAGATAAATAAAATAGACCCATGTTGCATAGAAACTTTATTGCGTTTTAAATTAAAGAAAATTATTTTTATTAATAAAGGTATCGCATAATGTAAAAACATAAAAAAAGATCGTCGCAATAAACCTTCCGCTTGCAACAATCGACGAACCTGTATTGTCATGTTGAACGTTGCCAACACGAGTGAATACATTTGTAACATTTGTCGAAGATGTTACCAATTGCTTTACGTAAATAAGACGAAATATAAAACTATGCGCATGCATCTATCGCAATATTTCGAGGTGGGACTAAAAATGTCCCATCATGCATCACAGGTGCATCAAAAAGGCGGGACACTTTTAATCCCTGTGTGCCCCAAAGATATACATTCATTGTTCTCGTTAAAATTGTCAGTAAATAAAAAAAAGCAATTAACCGACTGAAACAGTGACGCGAACATGCAAATTGTTTCGTCATCGTGAACAGCGTGTTTATGACCTAAAGTGTGGTTAGAGGGGGGGATGGAGGGGCGCATGAAATTTTCGCGGTGCACGTGAAGCCAGATCGCTCGTTTTTCACGAGCTACGACGAAGGAGGCACGCGCGACGCAGAAGCGTCATCGATGAGAAGTTCAAGGTCGTCGTCGTCATTACCGACGATGCCCTCGGAAACAGCACGGGGAGGAACGTAAACGACAAAGGCGGCACATGTTCCCCGGGCTGTGCATGCATGCAACGAAATAAATAATAGGTACACACCCGAATACGCGTACGGGAGACGTAGAGAGGGAGAGAGACAGAGGAGGGAGACTAATTACGAAAGAAATCATAATAGTCGCACATGCACCGCGGAGCTGTCGGGCTAACGATCGCTTCCTCTGCATCTGCACCTGTTACTGCGATCCCTACGGTTGCGACGACGCACGCGAGCCGCATATGCCCGATGGTCGTCCTCGGAGACGCGACCGCCTAAAGCGGCGGTCTCTTTTCATCGCTTCGTAGCCTTTAGAATTCCGGAGATCCGCAACGTTTAAGATTTCAGGTTTCGGTAGTTGCCCGCGATTAAGGGGTTACACCTAGCCGTAGCGTTTTCCAAAAATTTTTAGACTAAAGAGGTTCGAGAACTACCAAATCCTTCTTTGCTTCGCCCCGAGCAACGAAAATAACGTCTTATGTATTTTATATATTTTGAAAGTTGTTCGTTGAAGATTATATTCTTGAGGAACGGGAGTTAAAATTGATTAAAAGACCTCGAGAATTCTCGAGACGAGATCCTTAAGCACAATCGCCAGTTACGCGAAGTTGAGGGTTCGAAGGAAGCAAAGAGAGAATGTTTCCATAAATCGATAGGTTGAGACCTTTAAAGACAATGTAATGATTACTTACAGCAGAATGGCTGTCGACGTTTCAACCTGTTGCTTAAGGGGGTAGTCGTTTTTTTTTCGAATATCGAACTAATTTTTCCGATAAGTTCTCCCTTTTGTTCATTTTTTTAAAGTTGAATATTTCCATCGTTAACTGTGTGTAATAACTATCGCGATGGATTCAGTAGTTCGCACCTTGGAATTTATTTTGTTTCCAGAAAAGTAGTAATTAGTTTTCACTTTTATTGTTTGAAAAGACAATAAAATTGCGATCTGTAAGAATCGACGATCGACATTTGGAGACTGTTGCTCGTTAGCTAATATCAATTTGTTGCAATTAACTTTCGAACAAGCCAACTTTGCAACAGTTTGGAGAAAAGTGAACGAGCGTTGCATCGTGACCGCCGTGGGTACGATAATTGGGAACATAATTAATGGCCGTCCCGGGAGCTTTGTTCGTTCGTTTCAAGAGGAATGGTCGCTTTGAAGTGGCCAGTGTAATAAATTGCGGTGATCGCATAAACGTACACGTTATTAATTAAGGCGGAAAACGTGGAAACGAAAACATCCCCCGTTCGCAATTCCGTCCCTCTTTTCGCCACGGAGATCACGAGACTCCGGGGCATGCAACGAAACGGGTTGACCATCGTCCGAATTACAGCCCGGAAAATTGGATGCGTCGCGACGCTAAACGGTCGTGCTTCGTATTTTCTTTTGTACCATTTCGCTGATTGCTCGTTTCGATGGCAACTCGTGCATGGAATAGACATTGTCATTTGCAAGAACGGTAGAAAGAAAATCCCGGATAATTGTATCGTCGATTAACATGCGTTGTACCATAGACAAATTCAGATTCTCGCGGATGTAACAAGCTACAGACATTTGACCCTTCCTCTGTTCGAAATTCAGCAAACTAATAAGTCAGAAATTTACTCGTGGTACTCGAGTAAGCGTAAAATATTCGAACAGTCGAAACTATAGTTGAAGCACGAAGGTCGTATTATTTTTCCCGGCTCGTTTCGACGCAACGGTTCGGTTCCCCGGCGAATTTTCGGTTAGCGCCCGCGGGCTAGATCCGGGGCACCGGATGGCCGCGGTGTGAAGATATTGCGCTTTAAAGTGTTTGGACTCATTAAGGCAAGCGCCGCTCGGTTAGCATAATCGCGAAGAATGCCCCGCTGCACCTTTTTCATCCTCCCTGTTCCGTTCTAGCGGCCGAGCAGCTCGCACGCGAGCAGTAATTTTCAATAAATGCAGCCGGCTTGATTTTTGTCGCTGATCGTCTTCTAGTTGGTGCACGGTCAACGGTAGTCCCGCCATTCACGCTTCGCCGACTTTGTTTTCGTCTTATTTACGGTCCTGGTTCCGAAATCGCGGTACCCGGACCGATCGCGCGCGAGCAACAAGAAGAAGGCCCCCCGAGCCCGAGCGTTCGACATCGCGCCACGTTTCTGCCATTCACCTTTCCGCCGTAGAACCGAACGGTTCGTTCGAAACCCTCGGGGGAAGTTCTACGGGCAGATTGATTTACATCGAGGCCAACCTTCGAGCCGGCCTCTAATCTCGGGACTGTGCCGTTTCGAATACACGTGACCGTCGATTCATCCCTTTCGCGACCCCCATAGTGTATCAGACCGATATAGTACCCTGTCGAAAGGCAACCAATTTACCCTTAACCTCGTAAAAAGGCTAATATGCGGAATTATAAAATAGGACAGTGCAAACAGATTAGTAACTTCGTACTTCTATTTTCTCACGTTTCATGATTTGTTAACATAGTATATAGCTTGGAATCCTTCTTGATCTTCCTCAACGACCGTGTACGATTATATCCGATCTTTTCCGACGGTTCTATTGACTACTAGCTTTTGCCCAAGGCTTAATAGGAAACCGTTTAGTTTCCTCGAGAATTGATATTGTTTCTCCATAAAACCTTTTAAGTCCCCACCTCTATAGAGTTTTCGTTTTATGTCATGTCGCCATCTTAGATTTCAGAATTGATACCAGTTTAGTAGTTAACGTCCCAAAACGACACCCATACCGATATTTACGCGTATTTACACCAAAATATATAAAAAAGGCAACTTTAAACCGAAATAAGTGTATCAATGAGCATTTGGACCAAGTATCAGGTAAATCCGACCACGAACAAAATATGTCCCATA